GAAGGAATGAAGGGGGTGAAGGGTGTTCCCCGGGAGAGAGATGGGTTGGCTGGGGATGAAGAAGGTGAAGGAACGAAGGGGGTGAAGGGTGTTCCCATGGTGAGAGATGGATTGGCCTGGGATGAAGAAGGTGAAGGAATGAAGGGGGTGAAGGGTGTTCCCATGGAGAGAGATGGATTGGCTGGGGATGAAGAAGGTGATGGAATGAAGAAGGTGAAGGGTGTTCCCCGGGAGAGAGATGGATTGGCTGGGGATGAACAAGGTGAAGGAATGAAGGGGGTGAAGGGTGTTCCCTAGGAGAGAGATGGAGTGGCTGGGGATGAAGAAGGTGAAGGAATGAAGGGGGTGAAGGGTGTTCCCATGGAGAGAGATGGATTGGCTGGGGATGAAGAAGGATGATATGAAGAAAAGAAGGGTATGAAATGAAAGGGGGTCTTTCTTGTCTGTCGTCATGCGCATGCGAGACACAAGATCTACCTTGAAAGTCAATCAGTCGGTACCGGTGGACTGCAGATGTGACCATTGGCACCAGCCAAAATAACTCCCTTAGAAAAGAGATAGCACGCTAGCGGAGCGCTCCACTGGAGCAAAGACCTACATAGTATGTTCCTTAGATATGGGATTGAAAATGAAGAACTCGAGCCAGTTTTCAGGTGTTTTGTCTGTGCGTACGCATGTACTACAGCTTCTTCATCGACCAGATGCCAGTGATCACTTCTTGAAGCTTACTTTAATCGCCGCCGTCGCCGCGCACCGCTCTGAGAAGTAATTGATCTCCAAGAATGATTTCGAAATGAATTCATTACTATTATTATTATTATTATTATTATTATTATTATTATTATTATTATTATTATTATTATTATTATTATTATTATTATTATTATAGGTCGGCAAACCCAAAGCCAGAGGCCATAGGGCATACGCGCAGGGCGTCTGCAGCCACATCTGCGGGGCCTTCATTAGCTTGCAGCCTATCACTCACTTATCATATACATACATGCACTCCCTGCACCGGATGAGAACCCTTCTATATCCGGGGCCTCTGGCCTGCCAGCAACGCAACACCATCGTAGGTGACGTTGAGGGTATCTTGCAGGAAGACCCAGAGTTGGGCAGACAATCACAGACAAGCATGTGTGTAGTCAATCACACACACTTGGCAAGACAAACTGTGGTCATTATAAAGATAGACATTGAGCTGAACTCACCGTGCGGACAACAAAAAGTTCTATGTGACACGAGGTCAACAAGGAAACTGTCCACAAGACGGTGGATCGCAGGCAACTGATCAGGAACCTCTGACATGAAATCGTCTCTCAGAAAAGAGGCGGCTCGCTCGAAAGGCGACAAGGCAAGGAATGCATCAAACAACGCAGCTCCAGCTAACTCCTTAAAGACTCAAATAAGGCAGTCCGGAACTCTGCATAGGCTGCACAATGAAACAATACATGAGGCACATCCTCCATAACATCTGCGTGGGCACAGGTCGGGCAAGCATCTGAGTCCTCCTCGTGGGCATGGTTGCGAAGGTAGTCAGCGCGATGGTGTGCAAGCATGGAGGTGCCAGACCGAAACTGGAACCGGATCTTTGCTGCCCGATGCCCATCCAAATGCCGGAGCAGATACTCCTTTAGACCTGCACCCTCAGTGACACGGTTGTACAGTCCAAGCCGAGGCTTGGTCACCCCCGCAAGCAGCGCGGTGTCCCTCTCCTGAACAGCAGCATCAAGGGCAGTGACAAAGGCAGAATAACCTGCATCTAACCAGTCACGTGTGAACGAAGTAAATGATGACCAAATGCCATCACACACCTGGCTCAACAACCGCCTCTTCCTACCCCTGACACCTGTAGGGACCTCCTGACTATATAGGAACCTCTCAAAGCGACTCGCAGGCAAAGCATGCAGTCGGTGTTGCCACTTTAGCTTCGCAACATCTCTGCGCGAGCTAAGCAAAGGCAAGTACAGCCTCTGACCCAGTCAACGTGGGACACCCCAAAATCATCCGTGCAGCCTCAAGCCGCACAGACTCCAACGCTCTGGACTGAGCGGTGGTGGGCACAAGCACCTCACTTGCATACTCTAGACAGGGGCGCAGGGCGGTCAGCAAAAGTAGGCGCTTTACCGATGCTTACCTTCATAGCAGCGACACGTGCATTACCCTGCTTGACCACCCTCTCGAAATGTGCGTCATGCGAGCTATCTGCTAAAACAAGAACCCCTAGGTGCGTGAACTCCTCAACTACTGGGATCTGCTGGTCACCCCAAAAAGAAGCGGTGTGCACGATCCTGCTCGGTAGCAGGCCCACAAATCATGACACCAGACTTAGCGACATTCGCTCTATATCTATATTTCCTAGCATGGTCAAAACATGGCAAAATGCCCTTCTCCTGCAGGTCAGTAGCACTACTAGTAGTAGAGCACACTACTAGGTCATCTGCATACATGAGAGCAAGAATTCCTGCCATGAAAGACTCTGAAGCCTCCTGTCCCAAATGAAGCGTCTCTAGGAGTTCATTCTCAAAAATGGCATACAGAGTCGGTGACAGAGGGTCCCCCTGTGCAACACCCTGTAGTAATTATTTACCCCAACCGCTTTTCCAGGTCACGTGATCGCTCGATAGATTAAGAATATTTCTATATATATCTTACCCCTAGATTATTTTGCGTCAGTAAGTGCCCCAGATATAGAGGGGTACTCATTCGGGGCAGGGAGTGCATGCATGTATATGGTGAGTGAGTGATAGGCTGCAGACTAATGAAGGCCCCGCAGATGTGGCTGCAGACGCCCTGCGTGTATGCCCTATGGCCTCTGGCTTTGGGTTTGCCGACCTGTAATAATAATAATAATAAGTGCCCCAGTGGGTTAATTTTGGGTTGTGAGATTGAAGGGTCATCTCTACGTGTAATCCACTGGGCCCTAACGCACTAGCTTGACCTGCTATACGTAGATGAAAACCAGAGGAATACATGCAATTTGCAAACTATACATTTAAAGGATTTTAATATACACCCCCTGAATTGGACGGGTCCAATCACTTAGTTGAGAGTCCCCTGGTACACATGCAATTTGAATGTATTATGTGTGACCTTTGAGGACCTATCATCCCCTGTAACTTAATAAAACTACAGGGTGTTTTGATAATATCCCTCTAGAAGCTCGAGGGGTTTGATGGTGAACCTTGTTGCATGGTAAATAAACCGCAGCCGAGCAGTCATCAGGGGTTCTATATCTAACTAATTTTCTGTTAGTAAGTTAGTACTAAACCCTAAACCACGAACCCTAAACCCTAAGACAAATAATTCCTGCAGTCCTGCGCCCAAGATTGTTATCAGATTCGATTGGACCATAGATTGAGAACCGCTTCCTGTCGTTCCCATAACGCACCCATTCGGTATGTCAAGCGTGTAATACATAAGGTACTTCATAATGCAGAGGTGCATGTCGATCAAGAGATACTTTGGTTGAGAGATCAAACTGAAGCTTTGTGCCGTGAAAGCCCGTGCCCTTCCCTTCAGTGAATGGGGTTCACGATGGGTCGTCAGATTTTGCCGGAATGGCGCGCACAGGATCCATGATATCCGTCCATATAGCACTGAGTCATCCACAAGCCATTTGGGCATTTGGATTGTCTACGATACTTCTCACCTCGCCAAAATCGCTAAGATATATCAAGGCGCTTGTTTGGACGTAGCAAGGGTGCGTGATGCAATTGCTTACCATGCCTTCGCATATTTTTGCAACATAATCCTAACAAACAGTTCCTTTTCAAAGAGTGCCTATTAATTTTAGAGTGCTGCACCCTCTCAAATCTCTTCCCAGGAGTGCAACCCTTGACTCCCATCGATCTCGATGAAGCAGCCAGAGTCCCTCTCCTCACAAAAGTCTGTCACAATTACCCATGGCGAGGGCTTAACGTGAATTGGGCAGTTCAGTGCAGGGCAATGGTGCCATGCTGTGGGTTCAAAGCTTAAGTCGCCTAGCGCTGAGGAAGCTCTCTAACCTTGCAGGTAAATTGCTGTATTATCCCCAATACCATTATTATATTGGAACAACTTTGTATTGGACGCATGCTCATCGAATGCCACAAGGGGCACGTTTCGAATGCATGCAATTATCTCAATCTTAAAGCTTGCCTTACGACTCGTAACGCAAGCAAGAGCGGCGTGTTCGCGGGGAGCACATAAATCTATATGTATCACAATATTGATCCCAGCTTTCAAAAAATACCACCCAATGCTCCTCAAAGATGTGATGTGATTTATGCACCGCGTGGTTGCTGCAGACGATTTGGACACAACTTGACGGGCCCGTTGGATGGATGATGTACCTATCTCTGATCTACTGCCATGACTCCAACAGTTTAGTGACGATAATACCAGCACACCGGCAAAGACTTGTTCACTCCTGACAAATTCTCTGCCACTGGGTAAATTGAAATTCCCCTCCTGAGTCAGCCTGTGCTTGGCACCAGCACCACCACCTTGTGATAACGAAAATTGTGCAGGGACAATATAGACTCGTTAAGACTCTGAGGAGTATGTTACCATGCTTATTTTTGCTAGCTCACAGGTTTGGTAGATGGAATGCCTTGACCTCATGGCGCACTCTACTTTTGGCCCTTATAGCATGTCAGCTTCATACACAAACGCTATGCCATGTGCATGACAGCACTGCCTGTGAATACAAGTGCACTGGAACCCTTCGCTACTCAAGACACAAGTGCTTCGGCGAAACGCCTGATGCTAGGTCATGCATCTTTCGAAATTTGTATTACAACATTGAAAAACAAGAGTTCATATACTTCTTATGTCCAAATCAAGCGTCAGGCGTGTTGGCGTTTGGAAGATATGCCTGGTCCAACAGTTTTCAGGCCAACGAGTCTAGCAAGGATGACATATTTTTGAACGAGTATTTCCTGAGACACAGTGATGGAATTGAGTTTCTGCCTGGCCAAGGTGACCTAAGGGTGAAGATATCGGTGCAACAAGGGAAACCCCCAACAGATCCAGCTGAACTTTCCGGACTGAACGTACTATGGTCCCAGTGCTGTGGTGGCCCAACATATACGAGTTTCGGGCATTTCCTTCTGCAATCTTGGTTCCCAATGTTTCGAGTCCTTCAAGACCTCAATGTCTTGAGTCATAATTTCCAGCTGTTGGTGTTGAAAGGTCAAGGAGACCACCCATTAAGGCTGTTTCAGAACTACTTTGGAGCCTTCACTGTTAAGGTGCCGCGATTATGGCCAGATGTGATTCGGGAAGCATCTGCAGAAAACAATTCGTTCATCAGATTTTGCGAGGTTGTGATTGGAGCCGGTGGGTACACAGCCAATATGGCACGGCAGTACCCGCTGGCCTCGAAAGGATTAGGACAGCTTAGTGCGGGGACATCACGTGCATGGGCGGACTTCAGAGCTTTCATGATGAAAGGGGTCGGTTTAAACGAACCCAAGCATTCAAATATATTTAGGATTGTCCTCAATGACAAGGGCGAGGACAAGCGGTGCATTGGAAATCTAGACGAGCTTGAGAAGTGCCTGTCCGGTGATGCATTGTCCAGAATTTCATTAGATAATGGATGGAAGTTGCCATTCCGAAGCTCGGTCGCACGTGTCAATTTTAGGACCCTGAATGTCACCGAGCAACTGCAGACTTTATCCCGGACGTCGATATTCATCACAACTCAAGGAAGCAGTGCTTTTCGTTGGGTATTTCTTCCTCCAGGCGCTGTGGTGATTGTCTTAGGTGCACCAGACGGACTCGTGCAAACGGAATATCCTGCATTCTTTGAAGGTGCAGCATGGTTTTCAATGTCTCAAGTAAAATTCTACAAGTATCCCGTGCTACAACATGCCAAGTCTGAATATGTCTTAGACCTTGCAACGGCCCCAAATGAGGCTGTAGCCTATTGGAATGCTGACATCAAGCCAGAGTGCAACAAGCTTGGCATGCTGGTTGCACAAGCAATCCGAGACTCATTGGTTGATTTGGCAATCCCAAAATGGGGTCAAAGTCACCTGTAGACTGTGGCTTCTCTATTGTATTTGCATACAACGTAATAAATATATTATATTATATATCTCAAGCTCTGCTAGTATCGGCACTAATCCGCCGGCGGCATAATGGCCATTCGTGTACTTAGTAAGGATATTTATGAAATGATGGTAGTAATATTCTACAGGCAGCAAATATGGTGGAATCTCTGACTTTTTTATTGTTCCAAAAGGCAAATTGCAAGGCACGTCCTAGAGCAGGGGAATTAATATACTTTAATAATTTAAATATTGAAAAGAAATGTAAAGCCTGAGGCTTCCACAATCCTAGTTCTTCTTGGACTCGCCAGATCCATGCAAAGTACCAAGCCGTCACTAAAGTACACTGACCGTCATTGTACGCAAAGTTGAGCCAGGTAGTAGCGAAGACACCAGTGCATAGGGGCGTGGTTGCTGCTCATGATAATGCGCACGTAGATTTGGCATTGAGAAGTAAGCACATGGAATGACTTTTTTGCTCAAACACATAGGAATTAATATCAGCTCGGCATGTGACATGTTTTTACATTTGGATAGGCCAGCCGTGAATGCACGCAGGAACTTCTCTGCATAAATGAATACACACGGTCTTGACTGAATCGCATGCATGGTATCCAATCACAGACACTCCGGGTGTGGGCCTCCCATGCAGATCATGATCAAGACGCTCGGTTGGGCTGCCCAATACATGTGTAACACCCAGCTGCCCAAGACACAAGCAGGCTATGATGCCATACTAGTAGTAGTGGGTAGGCTCACTAAAATGTGCCATTTTATCCCTACTCACACCAGCGTTGATGCTCATGGCACTGCTGAGCTTTTCAGGGAATATATTTTCAAAGCTCATGGAGTGCCAGAAAGCAATGTCTCTGACAGAGACACCAGATTCACAGGAAAGTTTATGACTGACCTGTGCAAGATACTAGGCATTCAGCAGAAGATGTCTTCTGCATACCATCCCCAGACTGATGGCCAGACTGAGAGGATGAACAAGGTCTTAGAAGACATGCTCAGGAACTATGTTGGACCAGACCAGGATGACTGGGACAAGCACCTGAGCACCTGTGAGTTTGCAGTGAATAATGCATATCATGACAATTTGCAGACTACTCCATTCATGCTGAATTATGGCTTCAATCCCAAGAGTACTTACATCACACACTCAAGGGAAGCTGGCTCAGCAAGCAACCCCTATGCTGTCAAAATGAAAGTTGATATGCAGCAGGTACTAGTACAAGCTAGAGATGCTTTACATAAAGCACAAGACAGATACAAATTTTGTGCTGACAAGCACAGACGAGATGTAGAATACAAGGTTGGTGACAGAGTTCTTCTGAGCACCAAAAACATCAAGATTAGAGGCAAGAAGGTCTCTAAATTGATGCCCAGATTTATGGGACCCTACGAGATAATACACAATAAAATCCATGCTGATGTCAGTCCACTTGTGTGCTGGTATCTCAAGAGGCTGCAGAAGTCCTGCAGCTCTCTGAGTGACATTCTTGTTTTTCTGGCACTTGTCACAACTATACACATATTCCTTTGTTTCCTTGCGGATGCGAGGCCACCAATAGTGTCTACTGACAGCATGGTAAGTCTTGTCTGCACCCATGTGTCCTGCTGAAGGGACATCATGGAATTCATACAGGATTGTGTCCTTGATTTCTTTAATATTCAAGATGACCATGGTCTCGTCACGAAACCAAAAGTCTCCCTGCTTGTCTAGTGGGCTGGTGTTGCTATTATTTTTGAACCAGCGGTCAGTCTGGTATCCTTCAATAATTCTCTTGTCCAAATCTGAAAGCACTCGTGGTGGAGGAGGGGGCAAGTGAGGCTCAAAAAGTGGCTCAGGAGCAAGCTCATCAGTCAAGTCCTGTCCCTGCCCCCCATTTTTAGAGTGCTGTCCTGGGTCACGTGACTGGGCACGTGCTGGTACTGGTGCTTGTTCTAGTGCTGGTGCTAGTGCTTGTTCTTGTAACAGACGCTTCGTCTGCCTGGTCACTAGGGCTGACAGGAATGCAGGATTACGGCTGAGCGGGACAGCTACATTTGTTCGCCCTGGCTGGTAAATGAAATTAATATTTTCTTCGCCAAAACTTGCCAGGTACCCAGTCCACTTAATCTGCATCCTGGTCATAGTCCTGAAAGTTCCAGTGTTGGGCTTGTGATCTGTAATGAGGTCAAAAACCCGGCCCTGCACATATGATCGATAGTGGATCACAGCACAGAAGGCAGCTAGTAGTTCCTTGTCACTAGTGCTGTACCTTGTCTCCGCACTAGAAAGCTTGCGGCTAAAATAGGCAACAGGCCTTCTCTCTTGCATCAGGACGGCACCAATGCCAAATCCTGAAGCATCTGACTCTATCTGGAATTTCTTAGTAAAGTCAGGTAATGCCAGGCATGGAGCATGCGTGAGTGCATACTTGATTCCATCAAAGGCATCCTTGTGTTCCTGACTCCACTGAAAAAAGTGCCCTTTGCGAGTCAAGTCTGTGAGAGGTGCAGACAGCTGGGAATAGCCTTGCACAAAATCCCTGAAGAAATTGGCAAGGCCCAAAAACTGCTGCACATGGTTCACATTTGCTGGTGTAGGCCATTCTTGTACAACTTGTATCTTCTTGGGATCCACGCGGAGGCCATCGGCCCCCACTATGTTGCCCAAGAAGGGTAAGCTAGTCTGGTAAAAGGAGCATTTGGGAAGCTTAGCAATCAGCTTTTCCTTCCTCAAAATGTCCAGCACGATTTTAACATGTTGCTTGTGTTCCTCCAGTGACTTGCTGAAGATCAGGATATCATCCAGATAAACGATAACAAAATCCAGATGCTCAAATATCCTGTTCATCACTGACTGGAAAGTGGCTGGTGCGTTTGAGAGACCAAACGGTAGTACCAAAAACTCATAATGCCCCACTGGTGTGCGAAACGCAGTCTTAGGCACATCTGAGTCTTTGATTTTAATCTGGTGATAGCCTGACATCAAGTCAAGACTACTAAAATATTTACCTCCCTGCAGGCGATCAAACAGATCATCTATCCTGGGCAGAGGGTACTTGTTTTTTATTGTTATCTTGTTGAGCGAACGGTAATCTATGACCATTCTGAGGGTGCCATCCTTCTTCTTCACAAACAGTATAGGACTGCCAAAAGGAGAAGTGGAAGGTCTAATCAGGCCCTTGCTCAGTAAATCTTGTACTTGTCTCTGCACTTCTTCCTTCTCAGCAGGGCTGAGACGGTAGATTTGCTTGAACACAGTCAATCCTTTCATTTACAAGAGGGATTGTGTGTACAACTGGTCTGTCTGGTGGCAAACCCTGAGGTTGCTCAGTGCACAACACATCTGAATAGTCATGCACTAGCTTGTCTACCTCTGAGAGATGCTCAGATGCTTGTGTTGGTGCTTGTGGGATGCTGGCATTTATCATGGAGTCACAGGAGAGTTCAGAATCACTCCTTACAAACACCATGAAAGTTTCAGCATCATCTGCTTTCAGCTCATGTTCAAAAGACAGAGCATTTATAATTGGGCTCAGAGTCTGTGTGTCCCAGTTAATATATACGTCTGGGACAGCCGGCACTGAATGCATGAAACCTAAGTGGTAAAAATATGCCACTGCTGGTCCATCAAAATGCAAGCTTGTCCTGTGCCTGGCTAGCCAATCTTGTCCCAGGATAATATCAAAAGACATATCAAGGATCAGCAGATCTACTGGTTCCTTGTAAGTATTCATACAGAGGTCTAATGTACAGCTAGTGCTAGTCTTCTGCTTGCTGCCATTGAAGGCGCGGACTTGTCTTGTGCTTGTTGCGCTCGTTGCCCATCCCCCCGCAGAAACACAATGCTGGGAGGCGCGGGAGTCAGTTGAACCTGAATCCAGCAAAATATTGACCTGAACACCTTGCACTGTGCCTTGCACGAGCATTCGCAGTCTGGGGTGTGGGCTAGTGGGCTGAGCTGGTGGGTCATACAGAATCTGCATGGCTTGTCTCAGGGGAAAATTAACTGTATCAAAGACACAGTCCCCTGGCTTGTATTCCCTGAGCACTTTCATGCTCCGCAAACATGACCTCCAGGCTCCAAAGCCTTTGGGCACCATGATGCACAGGGACATGGAGGGCTGCTGAATTTTCAGAGGCCTATAACTGGTCAGAAATCTAGTAACCTGATCAGGGGTCTCACACGAGAACCACACATGATCATGCTGGTGTGCTAGTGCTGGTATATTCTCCACCTGGTCTGGAAGGACTTTCACAGAAATCGTCCGACCAGTCAAAGCTTGTAGCTGGTCTTGTTCTGTGGAACTCAAACCACAGTTGCGCTCGGTGGGCCCTGTGAGGAGAGGGGAGAGAGAGGAGGTCTCAGTTACTGACCCGGGCTTGCGGGGAGGCGTCCAGGCGTCTGGGACGACGATGGGCGTAGGCATGCCGTTGGCCATCTTCACCGGGCAGTTGTGCAGTCCACGATCATGCGCGCCAGGGATCCGCGGCTTGCCCGGGACGTTGACCTTCTCGCCGCAGTGGAAGCACAGGTCCAAGGCAGACGCGTACAGCTGCTCTCGGCTGCCGGAGGGGTACTGCGGCGTGAAATGAGGCCGCCAGTTGTCAGGCGAAGGCGCTGGTCCCTGTTTTAACACACCCCGCTTGTGACCGCTAGTCTTGTTGGGCTCGTCCCTTTTCCTCTTCTTCCCTTGTTGGCGAAAGGCCCCATTTGCTTGTCTTGTACTTGTGTTGTTGTTTGTGTGCTGGTCTGGTTCATCACCAAAATCTGCTGGTATTGAGGTGTTCCTCTTTTGGCTCGCCTCAAAGTTGACAGCATAGGAGATCAGGCTTTGCAAGTCCTGAAAAGGTGTCCCAGACTGTGGGTTCCAGGTACACTCTCTCCTGACACCATCTTTGAGACCTGAGAGGAAACACTCAACTTGATCTGCTTCAGCCATGGGGCAGTCCTTCAGCTGCCAGATCTTAGACTTGAAATTTCTGGCGTATTGCTCAACACTTTTATGCTGTTTAAAAGACTTGAGCTGTTGCCTGATCCTCTGCTCTTCAAACAGATGGCCATAGCTTTCCCGCATGGTGTCAAAAAACAGATCTATGCTAGTAACATCCTTGTTTGCTTGTCTGAGCATCTGCTCAGCTGAGTGCCATGCTTTGGCAGCAGATCCTGTCAAACAGGCTGCCGCTACATCGACTTGCATTGGGCCAGGCACATTTTGCAATCTGATGTACCTGGCAGCTTGCATGATCCATGACTCAATATCTTGCTGGGGATCTGTGCCAGCAAATTTGTCAGGCATGGGCACCTTAACATGTGAGGTTCCTGGTGAGCTAGTGGCTTGTAAGGGACTGGGATGGCTAGTTCCTGGCCTGAATGAGAACACAGGATTTGCTGGGCCTGGGAGGCTAAGCTGTGCTGGTATATCATTGCTAGTCATGGAGGGTACAGACCCCACATGTGTTCCAGTCAAAGCTCTTGTGGCCAGGTTAGTCAATCTGGGGCCTACCGCTGGTGCGAAACCATTGATGCTCTGGGTAGCCGCGGCACGCCGCAGCAGCTGTGCAGCCGCTACGATCTCCTGTCTGCTGGGTTCCATGGCACCGGATGGCAGAGGTTGCAAGTCAAAGTCCATCAAATCAGGCGGTGACGCCGCTGGTGGTGGCCACTGTGATGCTGAACCTGCAGCTTGTGCATAAGAAACTTCTGGTATTGCTAGTGCTTGTGTGCTAGTAGCTGGTGGTGAGGTGCTAGTGGGTTGCACGCGTGTGCGAGTACCTTGCCCTGAAGACAGGCTCTGGTGCATTGCTTGTGAGCTAGTGGCTGGTGATTCTGGTGAGTTTGTGCCTTGTCCAGGGGCAGATCCTTGTGCTTGTGCTGAAGCCATTCCTGTAAGATCAGCCATCACATTAGATACATTCACATTGCCTCCTGTGGAAACAGTGCGAGCTGATCTGCTTGTGCCTGCAGACATTGCTGGCACATTAAAATGAATGCCTAATCTTGTAGAGATACCTCTCAGTTCTTGTGAGATCCTGGTAGTTGTGCTTGCCACGCTCATCAAGACAGGATGGTCCTCATTCTGCAGCTCTTGTATTTGCTTGATCAATCTGGTCTGCTTGTTGGCTCTTTTTGCAAGTGCATCTACATCAGCCTGGTGAACAGCATCTTGTTTTTCGTATTGTAGAACACGTTGCTCAAGCCATACCAGCCTTTCTTCGTCGGTGTAGCAAGGCTGATCCTGCTCGTGGGGCTGATTCTGCTGGTGATCTCCCTCGGCATCTGGCTCATCGTCAGTGTAAGGAATGCCTTGTAGGGCTGCTGGTCTGTCTTGTTCAGCTTGTGTCATGTTTTCATCAACATCTACGTCTTCATCGGACGTTTCACCTTCAACTCTATGCGAGAGCAACTCTGCAACGTCTTTAGGTGCATCGGCAGGAGGATACGACATCACTCATCGATCACATCCAAAAGCCATACATGTTCACTCGATCTTTTACTTAACATCTCCGAAACCTTTATCAGAGACTCTAGCTGTATGGGTCTAGTGGTTGTGGGCATATTGTCTTGTGCTGGTCGAGATAGTCTTGTCTGGTCGAGCCTATACAGGCCTCTGCACAGATGAGGTAGTCATCTGTGACTGTACTGTCACATGCAGTGCATGTGATAGTCCTGGTGCTAGTCTGGTGGCTTGTAATATCTCAGATTACATCTGTGATCTGTGACAGTTCAACCATTGTGACATTTGACATTCGCGGACCACTGACATTTTCTCACACCCAACAAGCCCTTGTAATCTTGCACACATTCCGAGTATTCAAACATTTGTTCTAGCTGGACAGATACAAGTAATACGTGCATACGTCACAATGCTTGATATCCTCCATATGATATTCATGGTCTAGCGCATATCTGGAGGATGAAGAATCCATCCCGGATTGCATTATGCTTGTGAGGGCGGTCTAAAACAGTCGGGGTAAAGCTGGCCGTCAGGTATTATCCATGCTGATCTCTCCTTTAGAAACAATCGCTTGTCATTTTTGCCAATTCTGTAATTTGCATGGATGAAGACAGGAAACATCTTTGACTTGTCACGGTGCTTTGCTTCTGGCACGCTGTCAATCTTTGGCTCCAACCTTCCTGAAGGGAACAACTGTCTCGGCATAATGTACCAATGCAGTCTCTGCTTCCAATCACTCTCCCTCCACAAGGCATTCAAGGCGGTTTGATCTGGGAGCTCCTGTGTGGTGCACTTGTCATACCACTGACGTAAAAAGTCTTTAGCATTCCTGGTAGGCCGAAAGAACATTAGGCACCCACATATGTTTCCCGTTTTCTGCTCTGATTGATTTAGGCCCTCTTCATCTAAGATATCGTCTGTTGCGATGAAGTCGAGGCCCCCCGGCATCACAGCCACCGGATCTTGGTACAGCACAGTATCCATATCAATCCAGAGCATAGTGAAGCCTCTTTCCAAGACCTTCCTTTGATAAGTCAGCCGATCGCATGACATTTTGTTGAAGAGCTTGGAACCGAAATCTAGAAGCGGCTGGTCAAAGTTTGTTGCCCCGGGCGAGAAAACATCGACCGACACAATGTGACCAGGATATCTCAAATTGAGGTATTCAAAACTGATTTCATCATCTACAACCGTGAGGTAGTTCTTGATGCCTAGTCCTTCGGCGTGCTTTATCCAATTCTCAGCAAAGTCTATGTATCCGCAAGAAGTCTGCGTGAGAATAACTGTTTTATCAACGGCCACCCTTTCAAGAATTGCTAGCAGACGATCTTGTGGTTCAACACGTCCGTATAAACGACCCAAGGTGCACAGGATGACGGACGACAAGAGTATACGGTATACCATACAGGGAGACTCCTGCGTGACAGCGATCCCATGAGCTTGCTCCAGTTCCGGAGAATTGTGCAAGACAGAACAATCCCCTTACAAGCAGACGATCTAGCAGCTTACCCGGACGTTTCCGATACGTCCTCTAGACTTCATAGAGTGGTTCCTTTCGAGTGGCAAGTGCTCGGTAATTAAGATGCTGAAGATGTCAAAGCATTCGCGTCTGTGTGTTGCTATGCGTTCATTTCTCCTCTTTGCTGCACCTGGCGAACTTAGGAGACTTTTGTGCAAAGCACGCGCGCAATCTATGGAAACGGCCCAGGAATTAGGGTATTTGTAATGTTGTTTTTGTGTGTGGTATATGGTTGATGTAAAGACCCCTGTTGGTGTGGATGCAGGGGGTGCTAAAGCCAAAATATAGCTGGAAAAACTATAAACTATAGCAAATTTATTTCATTTATTTACCCTAAACCCTAAACCCTGAATCCCACGGGAAAAAACATAAGTTTACAAATTGGCCCAGGGGTCTATGAAAATTTCTTTTTTTAGGGTGAATAATTAAGGTGGTGAGGTTTAGGGTTCCAGGGCTTAGGATTTTGGTTTAGGATATGTCGACTATGGTTTTATTTTCTTTACAAGTGGCGAACCCAGAGCCCAGAGGGCCATAGGGCATACACAGGTCCGTCTGCAGCCGAAACCTGGGGCCGATCTGCACAGGTTTGCAGCCCACAGGCTGTCTACTCGCAAATGCACCCTTGCAGCCTACAGGTCTTCTACACCCCTTCTGACACGAATACTGAGGGGTCGTCACGTGCACGGTTCCTAGGGACGGTCCCTAGCAAACCGCTCGAAACTTCGGGACGGATTTTGACATCGACGATGTCTCTGTCTCAGGAGCGGCCGCATCGCCGAATGTACCCGAAAATCGATCCGAAACAACTTACTTGAAGTACCAGTGTTTTTCCTGGGGATCGAACCTGGGAGCGTGGCATAGACAAATAGCAAGCTCGGACTACAGGGGGTAGCCTTTAGTACCCCAGGGCTCTGGTGGATATATCGCACGTGTATACTTACCCTGGCGCGGGGTGTCTGTCATTACAGGCCCGGCAAATCCCAAAGCCAAAGGCCATACGCTGTATGCAACCATGATGGCATACTATGCCCAAGTAGGGCATACACGGAGGGCGTCTGCAGCCACGCCTGTGGGGGCTACAAGAATGTTGCCGCCTAGCAAGTGTTGCAACACTAGCAACTGCTTCAATGCTCAATTTGCATATGCACGCAAGGGCATTCAGCCATGGCTTGAGCATGCTAAGAAATACAGGTACAGAGCAAATGTTGCTATGTCTGGGGTCATGATTTGTGGGCCTGCAACTGAGCAGGATCGTGCCCACCAGTTCTCTTGGGGTGTCCAGCAGATTCCGGTGGTGCAGGAGTTTATGCACCTAGTTTCAGCAGACGGCTCGCATGACGCACATTTTCAGAGGGGGATCAAGCAGGGTAATGCACGGGTGGTTGCCATGAAGCCACTTTTTACAGATGCTTACCTCACAGTGCGTGTTAAGCGCCTGCTTTTGTTGACTGCCCTGCGTCCATGCTTAGAGTATGCCAGTGAGGTCCTTGTGCCCACCACCACCCAGTCGAGAGCTTTGGAGTCTGTGCGGCTTAAGGCTGCACGGATGATTTTGGGGTGTCCCACGTTGACTGGGTCAGAGGCTGTCCGGGGAGATTTAGACTTGCCTTTGCTTAGCTCGCGCAGAGATGTTGCGAAGCTAAAGTGGCAACACCGGCTGCATGCTTTGCCTGCGAGTCGCTTTGAGAGTTTTATGTACGGTCGTGAGGCCCCTAGAGGTGTTAGGGGCAGGCAGCGGCGGCTTTTTGGCCAGGTGTGTGATGACATTTGGTCCTAACTTGTGTCTCTTTCGCGAGATGCGCTTACTGCACCCTACCCTGCATTTGTCACTGCTCTTGTCTCGGCTGTCGAGGAGAGGGATGCCGCACAGCTTGCGGGGGCTCTCTCAACCAAGCCTCGGCTTGGATTGTACAAAAGTGTCACTAGGGGTGCAGGTCTCAAGGAGTACTTATGCCGACACACCAATGGGCACCGCGCGGCTAAGATTTAGTTTCACTTCCGTTCCGGCACCTCCATGCTTACAGATCACCGCGCCGACTACCTTCGCGCACATGCTCACGTCAGGAGGCCTGCCCAACTTGTGACCGGGCAGAAGTCGTGGAGGATGTGCCAAATGTCTTGTTTGTCTGTCCAGCTTATGCAGTGCTCCGGAGTGCCTTTTTTGCCTCTTTGAGGGAGCTGGTCGGAGGGCAGCAGTTTGACGCGTTCCTTGCCTTGTCACCTTTTGAGCGAGCCGCCTCTTTTTTGAGAGACGACTTCATGTCAGGAGTCCCTGATCACTTGCATGCGGTCCACCGCCTTGGGGACAGTTTCCTTGTGGACATTGTGTCCCTTAGGACCTCCTTGTTGCCCGCATAGTGAGTTCAGCTTTGTTTTAGTGGTGTGCACTGTTCCGTGTAAGAATGACTACATGCATTTCCTTGACTTGTCTGCCCAGCCTCTGGGTTTTCCTGCATGATACCCTCAACGTCACCCACCGGGTGCTGGCAGGCCAGAGGCATCGGATCTATGAAGGGTACTAATCCGGTGCAGGGAGTTCATGTTTGAGGTACGATGTGTGAGTATACATGATCATGATAGGCTGCAGACTACTGTAGGCCCCGCAGATGTGGCTGCAGACGCCCTGCGTGTATGCCCTATGGCCTCTGGCTTTGGGTTTGCCGACCTGTAATAATAATAATGATAATAATCCGCGCGCGGCGTTCCTCTGGACTCTTTGTCAGGACGTATGAGCTCTCCTGTGGGGGTGCAGGCCTAGGTACTGACTTTCTTCAGACCTGTCCAGGCCTGCCAGGGTCTTGCGACGCGTAGATGTTGCTGGTTCCCCCAGTACCGAGCCAGGCTTGTCTTTTGCACCTCTGTGTTGATGACACACAGCGGATATAGGGCTCCTCTGGATGCCAGGGTTTAGAGTATTGGTCATCACGATAGCCTACCCTCAGGATCCCTAAGACTGGCCTCACTGAGTCAGGGTCCAGACCCAGATTGATAAAGTGGGTTACAAATTAGATCGCTCAGGGGATGAATGTGGTGACCTTGGTTTACAGAATTTGCTGTCCAACTTCATGCACGTTGTTGTAAAGGCTACTTTCACTGATTCATGTTATATCAAAGAATGCGCCTCACCTTGTAAGTGGAGTTTCAACCAGTGGTTCGGTCATACTATGTATTTGATAGGTTGATCACTATGGTATGGCCATATGGCATGGCATGGTGCTCAACCCATGACCAATGATGCAGGTGGCACCTCGTATAAGGCCTAATGACCCCTGTTCACAAACCCAGGCGTCACGTGGGTTTATTTAGGGGTGATCAACATACGAGTAGGTTTGTTGTGGTGATTCAACAAACGTATATGGAGTCCTGTATCCCTGACCTTAACGTTCAACCCCTAAACTCACCATTGCATTCCACAGGAGGATTTAAAATTATGAAGGCCCCTCCCCTAAACCGTAAAGCCCAATGCCAGTGGCCCTAAAACTACCCTAGCGTTTGAACTTCAACATATTTATCTGATGGTTCTTTCGGGAGAGACTCTCCGAGAAAGCGTCGTATTCGCAGTTAGTCTCCCCATTGCATAGAATTTTGACAATCTTGTCGTTATATCTGGTGTCTGCACAGGGCTTAATGTTCACCCACAACGAAAACCTATAGATATTTGTAGAAACATTTCTTCGTTTAATTTACCTCGTTGTCTCATAGGAATTATCAAAAGAATCAGTCCAGACAGTATATTGTTTTGTGGAAACTTTAATTAGCTATTGAGGCTGAATATCTGCAAGAATGTGACGTACCTGATAAAACCAATGGTTGACACCCTCCACCAACACGGAACTTGAAGAATGCCGACTACACCTAAAACTCTGGTCAGGCACAGCATACCCTTTCTGCTACTGCTGTTCTGCGCAACTCGATCTGAGACGAGAAGCTACTTACGACTCCACGCTAATGGATCGGAGACACATTCTCTCAAGGAGAAAGGAGACGATTTATTTGCGTTATACAGGTAGTTGACTATGTGTTTTGTATGTCGCTGATTGACCTGATACTTGGGTAGATATACATCATATACACAGCGATAAATGTCGATAATCGACGTTCAGCTCATAGATAAGTTGTGGAGGTTGGGAGTCCTTAGGTTAGACACTCCAACCTGTGGAAATAGTGGATTTGCATGAACCCAGGCATTCAGCACGGTAGCCACCCGTCACTGATGGGCTGGCAGCTAGGAACGGTTTTAATCAAAAAATCTCAAATAAAGCGTTGAAATAGATACAATTGAAGCAACACGATATGCTGTAGGCTTTTGGATAGTTCTAATGACAGTGCTTCATGAAAATGAAAAGTTTGCCATATAATGGACAGTATTGCATGCACAGGGGCACCATTTTGGCAAATGATTCTAAGCGGAAAAAGATAGCATACACTTGTGGTAGTGGCGATCTCTGTGGAGGCGTTGGAGATAGGCTTAAAGGCTTTGCATCCACATTTGTGTTGGCTCTCTTGCTCGATGCTGAATTTGTCGTCGAATGGACAAGCCCGGTAAGCGTAAGACAAGGAAATTTGAAACTCTGCACTTGCAAGTCAGATCATGTCTTGTGCTCTCAGCAACACTTTCAATTGCTTTGGATCAGTCACATACAAGATGGTGGAGACTCAAAGATTTCTTAATTTACTGAAGTTTCTTCTTCCTGACAGGTCCCAATAGATTCCTTTTTCAAAATGCCTGTTATGACAAATGGCGAAGGCTTGAGAAAATCAGCAAAGAACGCGACCACCTGGTCGTTGATAGATGCTCATTCTAGTTCCATGGAGCTTAAGAAGCTGCGCATGAGCAACTTTCGAGAATTGTGGAGAAGTAATGACTTTATTAGTATACATCTTAATGGTGCTGTGTGGAACCATTTTGTTATGAATGAGCATCTAGTGGACATCGGCGATAAATATTCTCTGAATAGGTTTAGCAAGCGGCAGCTCTTTGAGGTGGTCATGAAATATTATTTTTCTACTCCTATGCCGGCTCTTCAAAATTTCGTTGTGCGGGAAGCTGCAAAATTTCGAGGTAACTTCCATGTAGGAGTTCAAATTAGGTTTGGGGGGCAGTGGGGGGATGGCAAACGATATTTAGCTGATACTAACACAGTGACATCTTGCTTCATAACTGAGACGCTGAAGGCTTGTTTAAGTACATCATGTCCCAGAAATTGCTCTGTGTTCATAACTACAGATCAACCAGAAGCAATACCAATATTTACCAGTGCCTTGATACCCCACAATATACATGTCCATGCGTCATCAGGCAAGGCTTACCATTCAGAGAAAAGTGTTGGAGATCAAGTGCAACATCTGAAAACATTTGGCGATTGGTATTTGCTCACCATGATGTCGAGATTGGTCAGCAGTAGGAGTGGATTTTCTGAAACGGCATCATGGTTTGGAAACGTGCCTTCCAATTCTCTTACAAAATCGAGCAGTTGCTTATTTTCTGAGGAAGGAACTGAAGTTCCTGATGGTGCAGAATTTTTCAGCCAGCAATGAGAATACTGCCAGTAGTACCACAGTGTGGTGACGATTGATGATACCAGATATCATTCTCAGGCCCTGAGGCGATTCCCTCAAGGAGCATTAGCAAACTCTATCTATTCATTGAGATGCATATGCGCAAATTGCAACTTTATTAACAGGCTTAAGCTGGCCTAGACTATCAGCCTGGCATAAGCTAATCATGTGACACCACTGCAACAGCTGATTACTTATTCCGAGCTCGCTTCTTCTTACTTGGCGCCTTGCCAATTCGTTGCAACTTAGAATCCTCTGTATGCATGCCGCACTATGCAAAATGCAAGCTGCGGCAGTGTGCACAACTTGATTGAATCTGCCCTTTTTTTGAGTTTTATAAGCGATCTTAGATGGCTCCTTGACGACATGGGGTCACCTCTACAACCGGGATGTGAAGGCCTCGATGATGGGTTCTTATAGGACCAATAATTGATAAATTTTCTGCGGATGCATGGGCAAGTAGCAATAACTGAGTAGTTTTATGGGGATGACAGTAGGTTGCATGGTGTTTCTTCAATGCCACCATTTCCACTTTCTAGACAACAGCTTCCGTCGGACTAGGTTTTGCATCAAAGCCAATTCGGACCAACTAAATTAATACACTGGCATTCGAGAAGCCTTTAATGGAACAATACTAGGCAGCCTAGCAAGGGGTTCAGGCGCTGTAAGATGTTGCGGCAATTTCTGCCATTTGCTGATGACACATGCGCTCCCATGCGTTGCAGGCGGCTGCGACTGCCAAGAAGCCCCGGAGCAGCAAAATTGCTCAGAAAGCGCAGACCACACGGAAATCCGCCAGGGGCAAGGTATGTCAGACAGATCTCTGCAGCTTGTGCACCACCAAATCAGTGCAGATATTAGCTGAGCTCCACATGTGATCAATTCAACTTTTGCTTTTTGTGCCTGCTTCAGATGCCTGCCAAGGCAGAGGGACCCCCCTCGGAGGCAGAGTATGACTCAGCAGGTGACTCGTCTTCAGAAGATGACAACGCAGATGACAACGCAGATGACAACGCAGGTTCAATACATATTCCTGTGACTTGAAAACCCCACATGGTGATCGCGAATCCGTTTGAGTTTTGATCTTATTGGCTTCCGTTACTTGTCTCGCCTGCAGCACCTGGAAGCTTCTAGGCATGTACATGACATCAGCGAGGAGAGACTGATCAAGGTGTTTTGTGTACGCAGAGTAAAAGTATGCTGGGGACAAAGGTGAGATTTGCCTCAGAGCAGGGCCTGTAACAGTGGAGCGCTGTCGCGCTGCAGAGTCTTTGCAGGGCCTTGCAATTGATCTTCAGCCCACCATGGTGATGCGGCAGGATTGTATCTCACAGCCGGTGCGGTGGACAGCCCCATGTTGCAATTGATGCCGATAACCAGTGAGTCCCACAGCACCCAGTGAGGACAGGCTGGCCAATACTCTGCTGACAGATATTGTGTGAATCACGCCATCTGTGACGGAGTATGCGATCACATGATGATGCAGGGACTTCAGGGCGTGTGGGTGTGTATGTGAACAAAGGGCTGGAATTAGGATCTATTTCTTTTTTGAATCGCATCCATCTTTTATGGGAGTGCTACATAGTGCATATATGCGAAGCTGTAGGGAACCTGCCATGCCTGTAATAGGAAGCTACAAGGAAGCTTACATGATGCCTGCCGGCCCCGGCTAGACTTTGCTATCTCTTCCTGAACACTTCCCAAACAGTGAAGGCGAGAAGCATTAAAGAAACTATAAGGAAGCCTAGGGCTACCGTAAGGACTTGTTTACGAAGTCGGCCGTACCCGGCAGCACTTCACATACAACGCCCATAATGGTACTTCGCAAAGGACTTGTTTGCGAAGTCCGCCGTGCCCGGCAGCACTTCAAATACAACGCACAATGGTACTTCGCATAGATCTCCCATACGATAAATCGTCGCATATGCTTCGCATTTTGAGCCCTTACATGTCCTTAAAGCTTCTCACACTTCACGCAATTCCCAAACACTTCTTATAAATCAGCAATTGGGAAACGTTAAGGACATAGATGAGAAGTACCTTCCTTGCCCATACAGATCCCCATTGCTTCTCTATATCCTGGTGTTCTTTCCCTAAACTGTATTAAACAATTCCCCATAGCTTCCTTATCAGTACACTTAGAGAAGTCTTTGGGAACCTTTTGCGAAAGATGTTGTCTTCGTAGTGACTGCTGTCATCCGGATCTCCGTAAGTTGGTTTTTCTTTTCTTCTTGTCGAGGTTTCTTCTTGTTGCCCTTCCCCAAAAGATGCATGTATTCTTTCACGGTCAATAGCGATAGTACATACAAAACACGGAATAGTCAGAACCATAACATGTGGGGCATCCCTGCATGGTGGTGGAAGCAGCATGATTAGCCTGCGTTGCTAACACCGAACCTGGGTGCGATGGAACCGCCCCGCTGAGAGCTTTCCATCGTGACATAAATCACCGAAGACGGTGGCGTCTGGAATTATTTGGACGTGCCGGGCTGCGGCCGATATGCAAGCACGAACACCTCGAGGCACCTTGTAGCCTTTTCCCGTGGTTCAAGCACTATTCATATCACTTAGTAATGTGAAAACCCTATTTTTAAAAGAGATCATACCCACTTTGTAGCTTTGTAGGAAAGCTCATTGTTTCACCAATGAGTTTCAAACCAAGCTTGACTAGTAACACTGAAAAGTGAGTGAAGAAGGCCACCAAAAAATATACACACCACAAGTGGCCATTCATGGCCACCTTCTCTAGTTTAACCAGGGTTTCACAAAGTTTACTTCACTGGAACTCGGACTTCCTGTGGCTGTTCATGATTTGACCATTGTTCACACTCTCCATTACTTGCAAAAGAGTCCCTGATTGGTTGTTGCACGTGATTCTGCAGGCTCCAACCCAACTCATGCCCTTGTCGTAACTAGAGGTGACTGCGCCCCCCTTCTTGGGGGCGCACATACCGGAATCTTTGACTCGAGGCCCCGTCTTCGGCGGGGGAGACGACCAAGAATTACCTCCGGCCTTCGGCCTTCGGCAATTCTTGGCAGTCAGATGCTCTTGTTAATATTCATCGAAAGGGAAGGAGGAAAGAGAGGCCGGAGTTTCGAGGAGCATTCTGCAACTGATGGATACGAGGGAATAGAGATACGGGTTGGCGATTGCGCAACAAACGCTGCTCTCTGCGTCGTAAATGGACGCGGTATCCGGAAAAAAGAATACAAAATGCTCTTGTGAATCACAAGTTGTGATTAGTTGCAAAGCTCGTGCGATCAGTATGATGTGAGCGGCACTCGAAATCCATCTACGTCGACAGCAAAGGTCGATATACCAATAATTAGCGAAACCCTGCAAACTTCGGAGCCTTCGCGAAGACTGAAACAGCTTTTAAAGAGAACACGCAAGTGTAACAATCTCAAAGAGGAGGAGTGCAGGAACGGTTCGGTAAATTCGGTCAAACTGAAATTCTGGAAAAGTAGGGGCTGCCACCCGTGAAAATTGCGTGACAGACATTTTAGAGTTTCTGTGGAGTCCTCATAGGCGCGGTAATTATAGGCGCGGTGAAGACGCGTAGGGTTTATAAATAGAGGGAAGTACCGAAGGGTATCTTATTCAGACACAGCCTGATCTGTGCTCATACAGTTATTACCCCTGGGAACCGACGCTGGGATTATACAGAGGTTTGACTGTATACAACATATATTTTACACTCCCACAAGATGCAACGCCGATGCCGCACAATACGGCAGACTCCGATCTCTGGTGGCTCAGTGACGGTGTGCTCATGGCCTACTTTTTGATTGAGTATCAGGTGGCAACTCACTATACGGCCCCACAACTTGTAGGAGGATCATGATCCCAGCTTTCTTTTAGCATGTGTAAGATATTGTATCCAATGCATGAGTCATGCACTGTTATGCTATGGCATTTAACAATTAAAAGTTGATAAGGCCTTAAGCATTATGCAGTGCATGTCACGCCCAGGCAGTGGTGAGATTGAAGAAATTGTGGAACAAGTGGTGAAAATCAGTATTTGGCGCATCAAACATCACCAAGTCAGAAAGGATGATTTGTAGAAGGTCAGTAAAACCGAATTTGCTTTAGTCTGGTAGGTAAAGGCCGTCACGGTGTTCAACATCCCAGTTAGAGGTATGCCTGGTTGACGAACACTGTGTATAGTGACTTTATTTCCCACTGAGTACAGAATGACAGCCTGCCCTGAGGGCTGCTGCCCAATAGCTCTGGGGATCATCTAAGGTGTTGTCACGCATGTCCTTGACTTGTCTGCCCAACTCTGGGTTTTCCTGCATGATACCCTCAACATCACCCACCGGGGTGTTGCATTGCTGGCAGGTCAGAGGCATCGGATCTTTGAAGGGTACTAATCCGGTGCAGGGAGTTTGAGATACGATGTAAGAGTATCCATGATCATGATAGGCTGCAGACTACTGTAGGCCCCGCAGATGTGGCTGCAGACGCCCTGCGTGTATGCCCTATGGCCTCTGGCTTTGGATTTGCCGACCATGTAATAATAATAATAACAATAATGTCCACTTGACAAATCAAAGTTGTACGCCTGAGATGAGAATCTCAACATACGCGTGCACCTCAACATTGCTGCCGGTGCAATCTATGGAAGTTGACACATGCGCAAGCCAGATGCAATTCGAATGAGTCACACTTACAGTGTTATTGACATGCCCCTGAGCAATTGCCCTCCGTGGGTGAGCACACTTTCTTGCACCACCCACTGGGCCACTGCCCATATGGCATATGACATGACACAATGTGGTAATGGTAGGGCGTTTCTTGCAATTGAAGCTATGCCTAGCAACGCAAGGCAACGATTCATATACATATTTTGGGAGTCTCATGCAGCCTTACGCAAAGCTTTGTCGGATCCTCGACCTTACCATAGCCGTTTGCACCACAGTAATACCTTACAATGCGTAAAGAGTATTTTTGCAAATGCGCTTCTGTACTGGCTTGACCAAGCTTGAGATGCTTGAAGGTCTGAAATACCACTGAATCGTTATTGGTTATGGCCAGTAATGTACGATGAGACCCATTTGACGAAGCTTGCCTAGGCTCCTTTGCGCCATCTCCAATGTGACACTTAAATTTGTACCGAAGTACGGCGCCATTTCTGCGCCGTATACACAGAGTATTCGCGTCTAGCAATCGAATCCCACAGTTGGTGTGTGTAATACTATTGTATACTATACAATACTAGTAGTATACAATGTGACATTCGTACAGTCAAGAGAATCCTAGATCACTAGCCGACTCGGACTCACCACGGTGGATGTAGTGTTGTTCATAAAACATCTCGCCAATGGATTGCACAAGGTGTGGATCATTTCCAATTGCTTCGACGATAGCGGTCTCCAGAGGACTGTTGTCAATGTCAAGTTTTAAGGCAATGAAGTCCCCTGGTCGGTAGATGTCGCGTATAACGCTCAGAGGATGATCCGCATGTGCAATGTCATCTGTTATAGGTGTATTATAATAATGAAGCCGCGACTTGTAGATGTCAGGTACTGCATCCCAATAAGCCCTGGCAACAAGTTACCCTAAGGTCTGAAGTCTGAAACAGGAATGCCAATTAGCTAGCATTGGTAGACATTGGACCATAACCCAAGAAGTATGGCATCATATAAACGCGTCATATAACATAAATACAAGTAAATCCAATGACTGATGCTAATCTTCATTCAACTTGATGTATTTGCAATACTTCAATTTCTGAGTTGAAAACTGATTAAGGGGATCTTTGCAAAGAATAAGCAACACGGCGATAAGCTTTGGTTGTGAAAACCTTGATGGCTGTGCTTCTGCCTCCCATGCCCATATTCTATCAAATTCGATGCCGGACTGCAACGGATAGATTATTTACCATTCAATTTTAATACTTGCTTTGTTATTGTTTTGAATACGCGAAGAAGCAGATCGCGGAATAGAATTTGTCCAACAGACGGACTGTTTTGAAGAAGAAAATTTGCTACTGGCTGCTAGATATGATGTTGGATTTTGAATTAATGCAAAGAAAGAGGATGACTACCTGACGATATCGTGTTGTCAAAAACATCAAGCTGGTGTCAAAAGTTGACGTGCCACAATCCAAAAGATACCTATCAGGGAACAAAAAATGGTTTGATGCCATTCATTGTTGAAGGCTGAATGTTGGTGTCCTAAATCTGCAAGACGTCATATCATATCATCCAATTTCTGAGTCAGAAGCACAGCAAGGTCACCACGGTGGGAAAAGCAACTGATGCAACTCACCAAAATCATTCAAACATATGATCCATTGGCAACCCAACAAACGCCAAACACGTATGTTTACCTTTTGCCAGGGTACAATAATAGAAAATCAGATGCAGGCCATGGATTGACGAGCAAGTATGACACATCCATCACCTACGCATGCGCAGCTGGATACTGTAGGAAATTTACCGAAGCACTTCATGTTATACCTGTACGGGTGTACGTGGATAATAGTGTACAAGCCCAAGCTTGCATAAGCTCACATGGACTTTGGCTTCAGTAAGACTACACTCGTCCAGCGCTCGGGGATGTCGCATGTGCCCAACGAGAGGTTCGATATACACCTTTTTCTCAAGTCCGTGCAATTCACCTAGATGATGGCATCAACAGAACTTAGGATGAACGTGTGTATAGAAATACTGGGCTCTTTTAAACGCAATACACATGGATACATTTCCGTAGACATTACAGCGTATGTATTGGTCCTTCAGAATGTCACCCGGACAGTCGTTCACAAAGTGAAGCTGAGAGAACACTTCTGTCGTCAATGCGTGCATGGCTGTCTCTTTACGCACTGGAACCTCAGCTTTGAACGTTGAACCAAGCTTCAAGGCCAGGTTATTGATATCCTGCACCCAAGATACAAGAAAAAAAATTGGCGTGTGTCCTCCCTTTAGCTTCTTATCGTCTACTGATATCTCCAGCAACCCGGCACCGAGGGGTCCTCTTCATCATCTATTTTTACTATTTGAGATGTCTCAATCAAGTCCTTTGCCAAGATTTCTCGTTAGCATCAGGCAACGAGCTGGCGCAGCAGTGCTGCAGTACCTTTATTGTATCGAGCCAAATTGTTACTTTGTCGGGATTCTCCTGAATCTCGGCACAGCCTTCCTCGTGACCGTTTTTCAATTCTTCGGTCCATTTTTGTTCCCAGGTACTGGGTTCGTACCGTTTAATCCTACCGGGAAGAATACCGAAATTCGCACCATATTTTCCATCACAATCAACAAATCACAAGGTCTATAGTGCAGCAATGTGGAATACCTGAACCTAGAGCCGTGCTCGCAACCAGAAACGGAACCGGTGTGATGGTGGCGACTCTCATGAAGCTGAAAATTTGCTGTAGATTCGTAAGCCTCTGCGGTAGCTACAAGGTGGTAATAAAACACATAGGCGCCGAATAAGGAAAGCAAATCCTTCGACATTATGAACTCGCAAGAAATGTCATAAACAAGACGCTTGATGTCTATCAGAACACTGTAAACGTACTTTAAATGCTTTGTGCTGAACAATGTTCACGGCGTCTCGAGAAACGGAATGCCTGCGACATGACATCGGACAGAATCATCTTACGATTCGTAAGTTACGAACTCGAAGCAGTGTTTCAATTAAGGATTTGATGAATTATGGCCCTGTGGCTAGTTCCCCTGGCAGGCTTAATTTGGCAGCTGCATTAATTTTCAGGCAGCCACGATGGCTGTTTCAGAGTGGAACCTGAATGTCTTGGCTGCAACCCAGGATTGTTTACAAAGGCTTTGCAAATGAAAGAAGCACACATATGAGCATATCCGTCTGTCTGAGTCTGCCTGCTTACCTTCTGAAATTTTGAAGTGCTCACTCTTGCAACAGGATAGTCATTGTCCGCCTGCCCATTCCAACACACACATAGATGTTTGTTACAGCCACAGCAGAGCATTCGACTTGCCACTGTGTTGATTGCTTAGCAGGGGACTCTAAAGTTTAGAGTCCCCAGTGCTTAGGGCGGCAAGGGTGATTAATGAACTGGAGCGCCCTACGCTGATTTAAAGACTAGGGTTTTCAAGGGAATAATTATCGCACCGGAATGTTTCACGCGCTTCTTGATAGGGACTTGAAGTACTATATTATCGCCCCCTCTGAGGGGAAGTAGTATTATCATGAACCCTGGGGACTTCGACGAAGGGCTCGTCCACATTTAATAGTCCCCTCTGGGGTCAAGCTCGTGGTTGTTTCCTCATTATCTCCCGAACGGAGGGCTTCGCGTCCACACTTTCGCCAACTTTGCCCGCGTTCCTAAGAAATCCTCGTCGTTGGCCCCAAACACGAGCAGGGCTCTTCGTTGGGTCCAACCACGGGCCCCTCGCTAGATTCAGCTAACCAGATGCCAAATCCAATCAAGATTGAACTTGATAATAACAGTTCCCAAGAAGAGTCACAGGAGGAAGCGAGCCTTGTTTGTATTCCCCTGCGGGGTTGCGGCAAATGGCATTCTGAGCACCTAGCTTTATAGGGGCTAACCGCACTGGATCAATTTGGACGGTCCATTTCTGCCCCGTCGGGCCCCCCGCCGCAAATGTGCCAAATGGCATTTGGCAAATGCTAATCGCACTCGGCGAAAGTTTGGCCCATTTCGCTGAATTTGGCCCAGAAAAAAAAAGCTACGCCGGAGCAGCAAAACATGGTCAATTTGGCCCACGTGATACGGCCAGCAGGTTTGGCGACTGAAATTTTTCCCGGAAACTTCGTCGTAAGGCAGACGGACGCCGCACGACTGGTCTAAACAAGCTGAAGAGACAGTCCGGGGCCTTCAATCGGTGTCCGCTGGCATATTGCACTGAGCGGGTTTTCACGTGCACTGACCATCGTCTAGGCCAAATAAACAGTACGATTAGGGTTGGCTCAGAAAACTTGGCACAACTATGGCGGTGGCACATTTGGGCAAAACGTGCGCCACTTATGCCATTTCAAGTGCGATTAGCCCCTAATATGTCGGCAGCCATGATTCTTAAAGAAGGCCACCATCATTTAATTCAAAAAAGACAAAATGGCTGAAAACAGCCACTAATCGAAACACTGACTTGAAGGCCCAACGCCCTATTTTAGCTGGAAAGAGGTCCGCCAAAGTTGAGCATTGAGTGGGGCCGTGGACAGGGTGTGGCGTGACCAGGGATCCCTTATGACGTTAAATCACCCATGATTGAGATTAGCCTTGTTATGGCATGTTCTAACCCTGGTTTACTGTGCATGTTGTAGATGTTTCTAGAGTGTCACTTGAATGTTCTAGATGGGTTTTGAGAAGTTTACAGAAGGATTTTGAATTGATATTAAAACCGTTGGCTTCCTGTCATGTAAGCATTTCTACTGAGCCTCTGCCAAAATGTAGGCCCACTGGGCAACAGTGGCAAGGCTACAAGGTCAGCGAAGCTCATGCATTCCCGTCACTCGCGGTCATACAGAATCATTCAGTCTATGATAGACTGACTGACACTCACACTCTGCGACAACATATTATTATTATTATTATTACACGCTTTTCCTGCCGAAGGCAAGGTGCGTCTGCAGATAAGCTGCATGTGAAGGCTGCCAAATTCCTACCCCTTGTTGGACTTGCCAGATCCAAGCAAGACCCAATCAATTGTGGGCACGGTGCTCAATATTTGTACCGCCCCCCACCAGCCGGGGCCCAACTTATTATAAGCAAAGACACTTTGCATCACAGACTGCACCCAAAGTAGCACTCTGCAACCCCCAAACTACTGCTACTTCCCCTCAACTCTATTCTGCCTCTCAGCAGTGGTAAATTCCTTTGCTCTGTAACCTCTGAATCGGGCCCACGCTGCGTAATCACTCTTCCCTACATGTTCCTAGGTTGCCTGAGCTACATTCGAAGGGATAATTGTTTACAGTGCAAAAAACATTTAGTCGACGCTGTGACACGGTCACCCCCGGCTGTGTCACAAGGGGACTATTTACTTCAGAGTCCCCTGATTGTCTGCGGTACTTGGGAATAAAAGAGTACAGATTCGCGTCAATGTTCGAAAGCACTACTAGGTAGTACCAACGAATTGCTCTAGATTGAAGCCAAGATCTGCATGCAAATCGCGAAATACTTTTCTTATATTATATTTCGATTCCAGTCCATTCAAGGCTTCAAGAAGTTCTTGCACTTCGGCTTTGAGAGCGTTGGGTTGCATGCAATCTGTTCATGCACGGGAATGTACACAAGCGGAATGTACACACCAGAAATTCGTGATATCTAAAAGACTGCCGACAAGACAGAAGCCTCAGGTGGCTCCCAGTGGGAGTCCCAACAGCTCTCTAAAATGTACTTATATCAAATACTAATATCATGAACGTTTCAACGCACTCATTGGTTAATCAATGGGGGTTCCAAATAGGCAGGCTCAGAAAGTTATTGAATACGTCACTGACAGTTCTCGTCATTTTTTCAAAAGACTTCATGGATGAAAGCCTTACATGTGCAAAATACAGTATCCCGGCGGGCCCCTGTGAGTAGTAATCAATGCCTTTTTTGAATGAAACCTACAACTTGGCTTGAACCATCTCAGTTGGTAAAAGGTAGAACATTTTTGAAATTTAAGCTAGTACTACTAGCTAGTAGCCTACTTTTCCTAGGAGTTAAACCATATGTGGGCGGAAATCGAGATCTACTAAGTAGGTGGGAGGTAATTTAGTAGATACAAGGGTGGCAGATAAAGGAGGATGGTTGCACGTGACGTGTGACGTGACTGGGTTGGGTTACTGGATATGGGCAGCGGAAGTGGAGGCAGATCCGTGACTTGCAGATGTATTTTCCAAGAATTTTGGCTGAAATTGCTTTAAAGCCAATCATTGCCATCCGAGCCATAAGGTGACTTTCAAGATGTCTTCGAAAAAAACCACTGAAGCCACAAAGGTGGCAACTAATAGGATGTTGAAGAAACTCTGGGCTAAAAATACTGGTGGTTTTGGGGGCATTTCCGAAATGCCCCTGAGTCAGGTAGGATTCAGTTTACCCTTTGATTTTGATGCCTTGCATCATGCCATGCATAATGCTTGCGCCTGCTGGCTATGCCAACGCCACTTCGAGAGCTCTTCTCAGCGGCTTTCATGAGATATTCAAAAACTTGTCACAATACAATCACTGCACGGTGCAGTACATCTACATATTCTGGACAGACATGGATCATCCGATTCGGATGACTCATTGGACTGGCAGTTTTCAAGACTTCTATAGGAGAAAACCCAACAAAACAAGATTCCAAGGGATGGAAATGCTATATGAGCCAACAAAGTACTACTTCTTTAGTAACCTACTTTGAAAGGAAAAGGCATGCATCATTGCTCCATGCAATGCCTCAAAATGTCAGCGGGCATACATGTTGATATACATGTGATTTTCGTCCTGACCAACAATGCCATTCGGTCCTGCCCCAACGCCCACCGTCCTCTCCATTGGATCCAGATAGCATCAGGGTCATTGGCATGGTGTCACCGTCACGATGAGTGCTGTTATGGACCTTTTTGAAGAAGGTGCCCTGCAATTATTGCAGCTGATCTATTGCTAGCAGTGCAGCTATAGGTGTCCCAAAGACACCTTTGGGGTTCAAAAGATATTCCTCGCATGCATATGCTCATAGCAAACTCTGAATCATCTTAATTTTCAACCTGAAAGGACTGTCTAAGGTTGTGTGCTGCCCAGGTTGTCTTCTCGGAGTGACCCAATTAAAAGATTTCCTTTTTGTACGGTTTGTTGATTCCTATGCTGAACACTGAAAAAATCTGCCTATGCCACAGCCGTTAGCATGTCCATTACGTGGTCAACATTTGCTCCCTTTTTGAAAGGGTTGTCACATGTAAATCTGCAACACAAAAAATTTATGCATGTGACAATCCAATAGGGAAGAAGAAATGATAGTAGCATACGGGGAAACACGACGACAAAACATGCCAGAAAACATTCTGAAGTTGCTGGTTGAGCATTATATCAATATTCATCTTTACTTTTCACGGATGTTCTTCTGTACGTTTGCAGGCATATATATCAAGAATGGACGTTGGCTGAATTACTTCAAGAAGGAAAAGTTGTATCGACACGCGTCGTCAAAGTGGCCTTGCATCAAAAATATGTAATATTCGGCCTGCAGTGCTAAGAGTGGGCTTCACCTGAACGGTCTACCAGAAAATTGATCTTGTTCCACAAATAAGTCCCAAAGGGCATTCCTCCGAAGTCCCTTTGAGTCAACCGGCAAGTTATCACGAAAATAATCGAAGTCAAAACAATCATTACCACGAAGACGCATTTTTGCCATTCTCGCCATTTTCAAGTTTTTTTCAAAATTGATCATTTCATTTGTTGAGACACCTCCAGGCACCCCCTGCAACGAAATAGAAGGTTCACGATATTCAAGACTTTTATCAATGGGCAGAAAAGGTTGGCATGGCAAGGGCCATCTATGATATTAGTAAGCCCACGGTCGTTAACACTATTATGGTGTAATTCCAAGGGCTGTCCAAGGAAGTAGAAAGTAAAAATCTGTCACAAATCCTACATGGCAGATTTCATGATCCCTTCGGGACTGTTGTTTTCAACGCACCTGATTAAGCCGCCATCGATCATACGTTACAGCAAGTTGAGTCGAGACCCACTCGCTTTCCAAATGGAAGCTTTTCACTTTCACAAAAAGAACCTCCAAAGGATTTATTTGGATACCATCATACGAAAATTCACTGGTGGGGTTTGTCCTGCGAAAAAGCAACACAATCAGCGTTGTGTCCTCTTCAGAAGGATTCCCTGAAGGATGATTCCTTTTAGCACAAACGACAAGGAGTGCCAATATTTTGACGGTTAGTAGGACCTCATCTCAGAAACCTACTTTTTCTAGACATGCTTTTGTTCGTCGATGAGGCCATCCTCTCTATCCACATGTGTTTCAAAATAAGCAAGGGTCAGGTTCACCTAGCATTGCAATCCCAATTTCTCTTGTCCGTCCAATCCAAATCTCTGTATCGCAACATCAATGAATCGATGGTGAAACCAGCTCCAAGAATCACTCTTGAAGCACCTACTTCAGCATCGTAGATTGCTGAGCTCATGCTCTTGTGGCAACGAAACACGCGTCTGTCCTTAAGCAAAAGCTGTAAGCCAACCTACACCCAAGAAGTGGCGGCATTATTAGCTGAGAGCCTAAGGCCTTGAAAGTGTGTTATCCTGTGCGAGTCATACAATGTGACGCTAAAGCATTTCAGTTGTGAAGGGAGCTGTAAAAGTGACACCTGCGTTGCAACTACTGGTGTTATGTAGTGTACGTGCCTGATCTGTTGCCATCAAATAGCTTTGCACGTGTGGATTGCATCGTTGTTGATCAGGATCATCACCATCTCGAAGCCAACACTGGCAACTGATTGTGCTTCCGACAAGCTTGGTCTGCGTGAAAATCAAACTGCTCAAGCCAACACCCCAAGCATGATATTAGGACCAACAGCGAAGTAGTCAAGAGTGTCCCCATGGGGAGTGCATCCTGTGAATATACCTTAGAATTAAGACGAGTGGTAAGGATCTTGCTCCAATGCCACCCTCTCTGCAAATCATACATGCATCTTACATGACGATAGGTAGATGATGGTAGCATGAACAAAGCCATCCAGGAATTAAATCTGAAGGAAGCTTATTAGAACATGTCTTGTATAGTTCTGAGCCTTGGTCTCCCGGTGGATCTCTAAGATGTAATAATAATAATAATAAAATGGGATAGCCATGTACTGAGAATAGAAGGAAAGTTGTTAAACCGGCCAGTAGGTCGGAAGGTAAGGGCCGCGGACAGAGGCGTTTATAAAGACAAAGTAGCTGTAATTATGAAGCCCAGATCCAATTTGTAATAGCGCCCAACCAAACGTCCCCCAGTCATAACAGGCGTTCTTGTGTGTCACGTATCGTGCATTGCTCGGAAGCCGAGGGAGTTGTTTGATAGAATCAAGCCCACCATCCTGAGCAGTTGAACACGAGAGCGCTTACACGACATAAACAGTAGGAGACGGTCGGCTTCCTTCATGTTTCGTGTTTTGTTTGCTTTGCAGCAAGGCCGAACTATTTTATGCACATGCAATGAAATCGAGATATCTTTAACCCGTTGCACAACAGTTCTGAAAATACCTGTTGTTGAATAATGATGTAGTTGGAATCATCAGATCCCCTGATACCTTCATTTACGAAGAACTTTAAATTATCTAAATATTGCGCATCCGTGGACGAAAAGGTGTAGAGTACCAGCGTCCTTCTTATCGCCAACTGTTGCCTGTAAAGATGGCAAAATGTCCATCGCTAAAAAGCAGCCGATTTCCGCCCGCAGCACTTCAATTGACGAGCTAGAATAATACCACGCGCACCTTGCTTTTGCCCCAAGAGCATAAGATTGAGCTAAAGAAAATCCACCACATGACAAATTGTACAACAAGATCAATAAAACAGTCCTAGTAGTACTGGACATACGAAATTATCGTTATAGCACCACGTAGAGTATGTGTCGTGTGGCAGTTAGCGACAAGCATAAGCATCAAGGTGAAGTGCGATTGAACGCAGGCAGTGAACGCAATGGCTTTGTCATCGAGAGTGCAGACATTGCACGCTGTGAAGACCCCTATGATTATCGGGGGTATTTGAGGAACAACTGTTTTCTTTACCCCTACTTGATACTCATTATTATCATTAATATTACAGCCTTTCTTTTTCAAAAGGCCAAATGCGTTCTGCAGACAAGCTGCAGTTGAAGGCTGCCATAAACCTACCCCTTGATGGACTCGCCAGATCCAAGCAAGACCCAATCGACCGTGGGCAAGGTGCACAGTACTAACCGCCCCCCGCCAGCCGGGGCCAATACAATATCTATAGGCTAGCTAGCCGTTATTGTCCAGTAACCTCCGTTCAGTCCTACTAGGCTTACTAGGTCTACAGTAGTACTAGGCCCGGCCTATAGTATACATGTAGTACATGACATCCTTGGCTTTGGAACGTTTACTTATATACTCTCTAGTCTTCAAGTTGGAAGTGCCTCCACCTAGGTAGGCCTAAGGCCTGCGGAGACCTTTGACACTCTGTGCCTGCTCTAATCAGGTGCTCTAGCGAGAACGCACTGCGCCGCATGCTGGCGCTGAAAAAATGACGCTATCTTTAGATACAAATTGTTGAACTCGTTGCTTATTCAACACTTTTAAGAAAGTTATTAGAGCGGAAAATCTGTCTCAATAGAACTGGCATTGAATAGCATTATAGCTAGCAAGTTTTTCCTGGAGTCAACTGGCCCAGGTCCAGTGAGGAGACTTGCAACGTTGACCGTTGTCAGTGCATGTTGCAATTGCTTGCTATCATGACTAACAACAATAGCATATTACATCATATACGGTATGGCATAGTATGATACTATGAGTAGTAGTCATGATGAGTACTTGAGATAATTGAAAAGTCCTCCGAGTTATGCGAGTCGCACAATGGCACGTTACTTGCTTTGAAATTTCTGGCAACTTTTAGGTTTTCTAGAATTCCGTACGAAGTTCAGGTTGAAGTCTATATTCAATATACAGTTAGACTTTATAGTGACTATTACATCGATGATATCGCTTTTTGAGGCCCTACCCTACCCTACCCGGGGTAAATCAAATACTGAGTAGGCTATTTGCTCATTCAATGACTTAATTTCTCATACAAATAGCCTACTGAGTGTATCAAACTCCCCTACCCCGGGGTGCATTGCCTAGTAGGGAGCCAGTGGCACTCAATGCCACAATCCCAGGCATATAGGGCCGAGCGGGGCATACATGCACCCCGATGCACCCCAGGCCAGGGGTGCATCGGGGTGCATGTATGCCCCGCAGATACGGGCCGTACCAGCTGGTGAAAATCTAAACAATAACAGCACCTTCGTTTGAGTATTCACATTTTGCCCAGAGTCTTGCACAAGAAAACGTTTGTCCAATCCGCACGTGGGCTTGCCCAACTAGTACTAATTAGTGATTATAATGTCACATAATGTCACGGTGACAGGATCTAATTAGCTAAGCAGACATTGGCCTCTGATGGTTGCCAAATTGCGATATACCGTGACGGTATCATGAAGTAACGGACAATGGGTGCTGGTTTATGATACCGTCACGGTATATTTCAATGTGGCAACCAGCCTGAGAGATTGTACTGCACATCAGATTGACGCCCCTTGCTAAGTGTAAAATTCCTTTCACAGCAAAATTGTCACATCTGTTGGATTGTACTACATGGGTGGACACCCAGTATTTGATTGTTCCAGAGGAACTGCTCATCTAGATTTCAATTTCTATAAGAGACTCACATAGGCTAAAACGTGCGCATAGCATCACGAGCCTATTGTATTTGCCCAGGCCATGATACATCAAATCACCCGCCTAGGGAAATGGGTAGGAGTGCACCACGAGAACTTTGCAAATAAACTTCACGTCCAAGAAAGAACTCAAGGGCTGCGCTTTTTGTTAAATCGCTCATACCACGCCATTTTGAGGTCAACGCTTTCATCCAAGCAGAAGTAAACGGCATCATTGTCAATGGGAATGATTTCAGGGCGCATGTTATGCATGTCGAAAAATTCCTTCATGGCTTTTTGGCATGCCTCAATCACCCAGTCATCCACAACGATGCAAGCGCCGGGTGCTAGGACATCCGCGAGATTGAACAAAATGTCCATGGTGCTCTCATACATGTCCCCGTCCATGCGCAAAAGCGCAATCTTACGATCCCCAAAGTTCTTCCGGAATCTTGGCAGGCTGTGACGGAAAAACCCTTTATGAAACTGCACCTGATTGTCGAGGAGGTGGTATCTCGAGAACCCATCTTCAACCGTGTCCTGGGGCACCTTCAAAAAATTGACCTGGCTCCAAATGTCTTCATCCTCCGGTGTGGATGCGGGTGGAAGGCCATCAAAAGAGTCAACAAGGTGAATAACACGGTCCAAGCTATTGTATGCCTTCAAGACACCACGCATGAAAATTGAAGACCCTCCACGCCAGACACCGCATTCCACGAAATCGCCCGCCACGTTGTTTGCCAGTATCGTGGTGATCAGTTTTTGTAGGTTGTCAAGGCGCTTGATGCCCACCATAGTTAAGCCGTACAAGGGCCAGTCCCGTCCGACGCTACGTACGCTTTCGTTGTAAACAGGCATGTCTGCTGTGTTCATAGCTGATACGTAAGCCTGGTAAGAAGGAGTCTGCAATAGCATCCCGGTCAAAGAGTTCTTCAGTGTCCACAGATAGATTTCTCGAAGGTCGGGGGCATCGCTGGTTTTGGTACGGCGTGAACAGTGTACAGCCGCTTGCAAGTGTGTGCCTCTGTATCTCTCCGCACATGAGATTGGTATTAAAATCCCAAGCAGGAAGAAGATGCATTTCATCATTGCTCTTGAAATTGTCTCCTGGAAAAAACCAGATAGTTGTGTGAGGCCCCAAACAACGACACATTATTAAGAGCTTTTTCAAGCTGCATTACACCTATACCGGATAAGGCAAGCACTCTCTTCTTCTTGACTAGGAGGGATTGTCGGCAAAAATGCCTTAGTACACTTCTGAGGCGCACCAAGCATCAACCGTTGATCGCACTATTCCTTTGAAGAAGTCACTGGACCGTGCCCTGATTTTTCTCAGCAAGTCGCATCCTTCTGGCAAAAATACTTCTTGACGAAATCTATGTGTCCGCGCATTCGTGCGTAGTATTCATTGATAAACTTATCAATCGCAAAAAGCTATGTAATTATTCTTCATCCACTTTTAGCTTAGGATTTAAGGAATATTGATATCAGGGTTTCAAGTTCAGGTTTAGGAAAGGGGCCTGTATAGTAATATTTTTTTACGGGGAATGCAATGTGGATTTATATTATTATTATTATCACATGGTCGGCAAACCCAGTGCCAGAGGCCATAGGGCATACACGCAGGGCATCTGCAGCCACATCTGCGGGGCCTACAGTAGTCTGCAGCCTATCATGATCATGGATATTCACACATCGTATATAATAATAATAATAATAATATCAAACATTAAATCCCTGCACCGGATTAGTACCCTTCATAGATCTGATGCCTCTGGCCTGTGGATTTAGGGTTTTAGGGTCGAAAAAGGATGGAAAATACTACATACATAACATAAAGTGGATGATGTCTATAGATTTATAAATATATTTAGCTAATGCCAGATGATCGGACCCTGGAAATAGTCAACAATAGTATGTAAGATGTACGATTCATGAAATATGACGACCCCGTTAACAAACCATCCAGGGGACTCTAAACTAAGTCTACTTAGTAAGACACTTTCGAGTCACCTGAGTACTTGGGGTACTAACATATTGCTCCTTAAAGCCTTTCAAATAATTATTTCAGTCTTTGCCGCGCCTATACACACTGGAACAAGGGTTGAGGGTTTATACAAACCTGGCAAAATTGTATCCAGCCACATACAAAGCTGACAAACCTCAATAATGATCCAAATCTGGCCATCCATATCACTTAGAGACCTCAAGGATGGACCTTGCTGGCAGGGGTGCTCGGTGTCCGGCAAATGCGGGTATGCTGAAGCTGGCTGTAAACTGCTGTGCTTGAAGGCAAGAGGGAAGCGCCAACGTAGTAATGCAAAAGAACGCGAGGCACCAGCTGAATGTATACACTATATGATTGTATACTACGTAGTACAGTTGAACAGTTGTACAATTGTCTTAGTGCATCACAAGCACACCCCGTGGCGGCTGCCCCAGAGATGGAGGCTGCAATGCGATGGGCAATAGCTTCGGCTTCCCAGTTGCACTGATAGGCATCAATTCGTGCCCCAGAGATGGCATCGTCGGGGTGGGTGCTCCAGTATTCTTTCGTGTCAGAATTCACGTTCAGGGGAGATGCAAAGCGCTCTTTATTCATTTCTAGACCAATGCAAAGGATATTGTGGAGCGTGTCGCCAATCGTAATCTGCCTTTCAGTGCTTATCTTGCATCCGAGATGCGATTGTCCATCTCTGTACCGCATCAAAAGCTTGCGTATTTCTTGGAGAAAAGCTCCTCGTGGTTACGGTTGAGTGTGTCTTCATGTTCTAGTTGCACTTCAAGGCACCTATTGTAAGTATTGTAAAGCATTTCAGCGCGCTCTTCTGCCAAAGGCCCAAAACAACGCCCGTCCGGGGCGTAGCAACACGCCACTGTGGTTTCATTGTACTCATTGGTGTTATTAGCATCTTCTGAGTCTTCGGAAGGAAGGTAGAGAGTTTGTATCTGCATTGTATATTTTGCTGGGGCGACAATATCAAGGTGTGGATTAGTTTCTTGTAAATGGATCAAAATTGTGATTGTAGTTTATGATTTTGGAGGTGTGTCAGCCATGGGCTTTTTGAGGAAATTGCTTGCCTTCTCAAATATGGCAGGTGTCTCTCTTTTGCGGGGCTGGGGGCTCAGGGGGGTGCGGTTTGCTGCATTAATCTTTATACTTATTATTACTTGCATGTGCAGATGACTCACCGCCGCTGCCAGCAGCGCAGCTGGGCCGTCTGAGCCTGAGGAGTGCGGCCCGAGCTCCAGCCCAGCCGCACACCCCTGCAGTGGCACCCGGCGGCGCAAGCGCCGCATGCCGGCCAGCATGCAGGGAGGCAATCCAGCTCCTCAAAAGTCTGCGCGTGTGCAGCCAGGTACTTTCTGCCAAATTGTCAGATCGTTTAAAAATCCATGCCATCAGGGCTATACACAGTTTTGCCCATACAGAATTGGCAGCATGTTCAACAAATTAATGACAGGTGCATGCAGAGTCATGGGGGCTGTCGTGGATTTTTTCAAATCTGCGCGCACCTGTGTTGCAGAGGCTCAGCTGCGGCGGTGTCCCAGGCAGCATGGGCAGCAGGAGGCTGCTGCGCCGCTTGTGCCCCAGACCACTGCCCAATACTACACTACCAGGACTTTGCGGCACCCCTTCTGGACAGCCTTTTCGATCACTGAAGTGGTTGGACAAGCCTGCCGCGTCTGCTGCATTCCTATCAAGTGAGATATTGGGCTGGCTTGGTAGTGACATCCTTCTTGTCGTTTTCATGTCCTGATACTGGAATTGACTGCCTTTGCATGTACACAGGCTGGACGACGAGATCTGGCGCCCATGCACCTGTGGGCAGCGAAATCGTGCTGCAATGCCAAGGGGGACAAATGGGTGCACAGGGCATGCTTCCAGGCAGAGCCAACTCCACAGGCTCTGCCCATACAGGCAGAGCCTCCAGAGCAGGGTAAGCCACATGTAGCCAATGCAGCATGCATCTGAATAATTCAGGAACTTATACCCAATCTGCAAAGCATGAGTGCCTTTTTGAAAATAATGTCAGTGTCTGTGACAGATGGGCACGCCAGCAAACCTGCAGACGCCCTCCTGGCGCTGGCAACGCCCTCCCCGCCCGCCGCTGTGGAGCCACCCTCACCACTCTTGCTGACCGCCGTTCCCCACCATGTTGCCACGCAGCGCACAGGTATTTCTCTTGATTCAGCTGCAATCTTAGGGCACACATGTGATGCAGCTAATCAATTCATGTGAAAAACATAGCAGCAGGTCTTCAAGCTGATTGCTGCACTTGCATTTCTGCAGAGGGGCCCCTTGACAGGTTTTGCAAGATGCAAGCACTGCACAAGGCAGTGCACCTTCTCCTGGCTCTGGAGGTTTTCCTTGCACCCCTGGTTTCTGGTTGGCACTCTCTAAGAGATTAATACCATCTGCTCCCTGACAAGCAAAGGGACAAGAAATAACTTGTTTCTGGGGGATGTGTCAGGTGGCAGAAAGAAGCAGAGAGGACCGAGGCGCCTTTTGAAACCTATGGATTTGGCGTTCCCTATTCAGACAGATGGCGAGGTAGCTCTCTTTTTCAGCCTGCACAGTGACTCAGCCATGAAGAATCGGGATGGCTCCGACAATTTTGTCAACATGGCTACACAGTTCAACGCTGCCTGGTAGAAACAAGTGAATATTCATAAATTGTTGGCACACACCACTGGAAAGCTTGAACACATTTTGATTTGGATGTTGAGCATTCTTCTTTGTATACAGTCTGGAGAGGGCAGCCCCAATGGGCTCAGTGCAAATGAGCTGGAAAGTTTCAACTCTGCTGGCAGCCCAAAGAGGCTTGAAGCATCTCAGGAGCAGGTCAAAATACAAACAAAATATTTTTTGGATTTGATCTTGGCAAAATATGTGTTTTATTAATTCAATTAATATGATAAGTTATCATAGGACAATGGAAATACTAAAGATCTGACACGAGTGCTCTTGTCTTCAGACTGTTGCCAGGAGGGAGGGCCATATGTTCCCCCAGATCAGCAGCTCAAACTGACCAGCCCTCTGCACTTGAAGAATATCAGATATGAAGTGTCAGCCAATGCAAGTGCTGTTGCAGCTGCAGCACTGACAGGGGCAGCAAACAGCATGCAGCAGTTGAGCACTGTCAGAAATGCGGCCATCACAGCAGCAGCCAGGCAGCATAGAAGGCTGAAGTTGGCAGAGCAAAGGCAGATGTCTCAGGGCAGCCTGGCAGTGCAAGTTCAGGTGCCTGCCACCAACAGAAGGGGAGGCAAAAACACCAAAAAGCACTGTTGTGCTTGTGGGTTGCATAAATCTCTTGAGACAGGCCACACAGCCACAGGATGCCCAACCCATTGCATCAAATGCAAAGAGCTCTGGCAAACAGCAGACAAGTCTTGCAGCTGCCAGCAATAGAGCCAGCACATTGTGGCAGACCCAGCAGCACTTGAACGATATGAGGCAGTCAACATGCAAGCTTAGGGTTTGTTTTAGGGTCTTAGTTTGTACTAGAAACTTGAACTAGCAGTAGTAGAACACATTGCATCCCAATACACCTTTGTAACAGGCATCTTTCTGGGCTTAAATAATATATTTCTATATTTATAAAATACATTTTTTTTAAAACAGGGCTCTTGTGGTCAGTTTTAAGGTGGGGCAGCGGGCCCTTCGGGTCGCTGCGGTCTTTCTGGCGTTTTCAGCTTCGGTTGCTGTTGCCAGCGACTCGGCCTCACATCTTTCTCTGTTCATTTTATGCGCCGGAACAGAGTCGATGTTATCGATCATGGTCCATTCTGGTTCCCACGTGATCTTTGTTTTCGTGGTGCCCGCAATATTTGTGCCTTTTTCAATTTTGCATCGCCTCCGACACTTTTTATGGTAGAAGTACTTAAGGTGTGCGGTCGACCGGTCTCTATTTCAGTGTCCTCCCAGTGTGCGAGGTACACAACTTGCCCTTTTTCTTCTGATATTGAATCATCGTCGAAGGCTCTCCGTTCACCTTTAGTTTGTAGCTTTGGCGTCGTTCGCATTCGTTTTTTTTTCGTGCCATGCTTTTGGGGACTTCCTTGACATAGCGTCTTGCCTCGATGTGTTTGAGCTTCCACTTGTCATTGTAGTGTACAACCACGTACCATGGCTCCTCGTGCATATGTGCTAAAACATCTTCTGCAGAGATTGTCTCTGGCTCCACAACGAAACTGCATGGTATCATATTCATGCCATGCTATCAATATGTTAATCATGGAAAGTCATGACATTCTGCTTAGTTACTGCACATGTGCATTGTACAATGGCCCGATGCTTGCTTTGTCACCACTGGCAACTTTCGGATCTTCATTGAACTAAACTTGGCAAAATATTTGGGTTGACGTTTAAGTTGGACTTTGATGTGACTGAAACTTATTACATCTATTTTTGAGGTGCATCCCGGGTTGGGGTAATTAATATACTCAGTAAGTTCATATACTAAATAGTAATGAATATACTTAGTATATTAATTACCCCTTCCCCAAGGGCCCTTAATGCCTAGGTACCACCACTAGTAGCCACTCAACTTCCCTGCGAGATTGAATCCCTGGGATTGTACTACAATCCCGGGGAAGGGCCTACCACGACATATTTGCACTCCGTTGCACAGCACCACAATGCACTGTACAACAATAGCAACAAAAGTTCTAAATCTTGCCAAACGATTGTTCACAAACTCTAGCACTTCAGTTCTATCACAACAAAATGGCCAATTGTGTTGGACTTGTACCCCTGTACTACAGTATATGAATTTTTCCAGAGAAGCTGGACATCTAAATCTCTATAACAGACTCACACAAGCTAAAGTGTGCGCAGAGCACCACAAGCCTACTGGAATCCGACGCTGGTCATGATGCATCACATCCGATGTGAGTCACACTGTGGCAATCGCCGAAACATGCCACACCGTGGCACCATTGAGCCTCAGTTTGCAATTGAGTTTGAATTTTAGCATGAGGCTAGCCGAGTATCTGCGCGATCGTGTCTGTCGTCAAAGATGTCCCATCACACAAGAAACTTGTTGATCACCCGCCTGGGGAAATGGGTGAGAGTGCAACAGCATTCATCACTTTGTCATATGAAAAATGTAAAAACCATCATAAGAAATCTCAAGGGCTGCGCTTTTTGTTAAATTGCTCATACCACGCCATTTTGAGGTCAATGCTTTCATCCAGGCAGAAGTAGACGGCATCATTGTCAATGGGAATGATTTCAGGGCGCATGTTATGCATGTCGAAAAATTCCTTCATGGCTTTTTGGCATGCCTCAATCACCCAGTCATCCACAACGATGCAAGCGCCGGGTGCTAGGACATCCGCGAGATTGAACAAAATGTCCATGGTGCTCTCATACATGTCCCCGTCCATGCGCAAAAGCGCAATCTTACGATCCCCAAAGTTCTTCCGGAATCTTGGCAGGCTGTGACGGAAAAACCCTTTATGAAACTGCACCTGATTGTCGAGGAGGTGGTATCTCGAGAACCCATCTTCAACCGTGTCCTGGGGCACCTTCAAAAAATTGACCTGGCTCCAAATGTCTTCATCCTCCGGTGTGGATGCGGGTGGAAGGCCATCAAAAGAGTCAACAAGGTGAATAACACGGTCCAAGCTATTGTATGCCTTCAAGACACCACGCATGAAAATTGAAGACCCTCCACGCCAGACACCGCATTCCACGAAATCGCCCGCCACGTTGTTTGCCAGTATCGTGGTGATCAGTTTTTGTAGGTTGTCAAGGCGCTTGATGCCCACCATAGTTAAGCCGTACAAGGGCCAGTCCCGTCCGACGCTACGTACGCTTTCGTTGTAAACAGGCATGTCTGCTGTGTTCATAGCTGATACGTAAGCCTGGTAAGAAGGAGTCTGCAATAGCATCCCGGTCAAAGAGTTCTTCAGTGTCCACAGATAGATTTCTCGAAGGTCGGGGGCATCGCTGGATTTTGTACGGCGTGAGCATTGCACAGCCGCTTGCAAGTGTGTGCCTCTGTAATTCTCGGCACATGAGATTGGTAGTAAGATTCCAAGCAGGAAGAAGATGCATCTCATCATTGCTCGTAAATTGTTCTCCTGAAAAATAGGCAGGCAGTTGTCAGAGGCACCGACAACGACATTTTTCAAGCTGCATAGTCAGTACACCGACTGAGGCAAGCCCTGTCTTCTACGTAACCAGGAGTGAGTGACGACAAAAAAAATGACTTATCGTATTAGCTGTGAGCACACATCTGAGGCGCACCAAGCCTCAACGCACTAATCAGTAGGCTTCTTCAAACCTGGTATTGGACCGTGCCGTGTTTGTTCTCAGCAAGTCGCACCCTTCTGGCATTTTGCTGGGATTTTTTCGTGTGACCAATTTTTTTATCAAATTGGGCGATTTTTTATTCACAAAAAGTACATTTACCGATGTTTCCCTTCTATAACCAAATGATTGGAGCCTTATTGATATTTCATATTTAGGGTTTAGGGTTTATACCCTCAAGTACACCTGAGGTGGGGATTAAGGTCAAGGTTTCAGGGTTACATACTCAAAACCTATACTACTCAGGTGTACTTGAGGGTATAACGACCCCGATAAAATATTTTTATATCCAGGGGGAAAACTGCTCCCCTAAACCCTCATAGATTTCAAGGGTCTGCAGGACCTTGAAGTCTTCAGAATGATCTTACGAGCTTAAAAGGCCCAGAGCCCCGGGAGGGCTGGTGACAATAGGAGCTCAAAAGGTTATTGGTAGAGATGAACTCCCCTTCCCCATTTTCTGACCTATCGACGGCCCTACTGAGGCCTTACTGACGCATCTTGAGCGGGGGGTCTTTATACTGTGTTAAAACCACTTGGGGGTTTCAGGCTTGAGCCACAGGCTTGAGCCACCTGACTCAGGTGACCTGAGGTAGGGATTAAGGTCAAGGTTTCAGGGTTACATAACAGAGTCTATCAAGAGAGTTTGTTGGATGAGGATCTTATGCCCGCAGGGAGGTGATTACGACGTCGTAAATGTATGTGCGCACCGAGCCTCTTGGCAGGAAAAGCGTGTAACAATAATCATAATAATAAAAAATGTATGTACCTCAATAACCTAACACCTATGTCTCTATTACCCTCTACTGGTGAATTACCAGTGGTAATTAATTCAATTGATTCAGCGCCCTGTTGATAGGAAGGTTTAACTTGGGCTTGAAGGATGCGTAAGGAAAGTCTCAGAAAAGGTCGTTCTACACCTCGCTGAGGGCGTGTACAACTATTCCACTAGCTGTTCAACTATGCATCCAAAAACAAACTTCTTTGAAATGCTTATACTGTCAAGATGACACAGCTTGCTGGGTTCTGAGAACCCAAGCATATCCGACAAGAATAAAATCCACTTCGTGAACGTGTCTTCAATGACTTTCAGCTTTAGACAAACATATTATACCTAGGATTTTTGCGTCAGTTGCCGGGTCTGTCGGAGCTCGTGTGTATATTCGGCAAGGTTTCGTCAGGCTCCCCTGATATAGGGATTGCCCGTAGCTTTACATTTCTGCAAAGCCCAGCGATACAGGATCTCAAGTGTATCTACGGTTCTTCAGTGGTAATAATTCCCTTGAAAGGTTCCGTTTGGATAGACAGACTCTGGAGGCTCATATTTCCCTTTCATATGCTTGGGATAAAACCACCATCAAACTGTCTTCACAGTGAGGCTTTCGCAGGTGCTTCATGCTTGGCGCGACGATGCATCAGTCTCGGGCCTGTTGGAGGTGTAAGATTTGCTATGAAGCAAGCAGAACTCCTTTAAAGCTTTATTGTGGCGGCGTTGAGTTTATGTGTGTGCGAGAAGGTAGGAAAGTAACGAAGGGATAGCTTTGTGCAACACAAATATGCCCTTGGGTTGTCTGTTCAGGACGCTTGCGCGGCGGCTTGGGCAGAGCTTAGCATGCCTTCTTAGCCTTGTTTTCATTACTAGCGCAACTCCAAGGGGTCGTGCCTCAGGTGACTATATTTGTGTTAATACCTAAGTCGATCTGGTATTAAGCCTTTGCTGCCCAGACCTCGATAAAAATGTTTCCGCACCATTTATTTGATACCTGATGGGCCGGGTGCAGATCCTTTGTTTCATAAACAAGACAAGGACGTGAAAACCGCTGAGAATGAACGCATGAATTGGGTGGTGCGTGCTTACATATCATCAATTAAGGATGTAAATATCGGTGCTAAGATTTGTTCGATCATCTCATCCTGCAAATGTATGTGATCAGGCGTGCCTGTTTGTACAACTTACAAACTAAGAAGGCACCAAAAATATTCCTCAGAAAGTATCTGCTGACAGCAAGGTGTTATCCCTTGCAGGTCATAACAACGATAAATTATCCAACAGAGACCATCAGATTACTTGCAAGTGCACCTGACTGGCAAGTTGTTGTCGTGGCTGACAACAAAACACCCGTGGACTGGGCCCTTGACAATGTAGTGTTGCTGAGCATTGAGGAACAGGAGTCTCTCAAATATAACATAATGACGTTGTTGCCCTTCAATCACTATGGGTACGACACGCCTACTCACTGCCTGGCAAGTTTGCCATTACCAAGTCTTTTTGCGTGTGCAACCGAATTAGTTTACTGGTGATGTCTTCCTACTAGATGCTCGCCTCCATTTGAAGTTGTCTCTAGACCACAAAATATCATCACAGACATCAGCCCTCTGGGTAGAGGCCATGTAATGGCATACCTTTTCTTAACCCCTTTTTCTTGACATTGATATAAAGTCCTGAATTCCATGCAGGCGCAAGAATATTGGGTACTTATATGCCATTGAGCATGGCGCAACCCAAGTCTATGAGACAGACGATGACAACGAAATAATTTCTACAAACCCTTTGAAGGTGCCCAGCTTTCGCGCGCTGGAGTACTTCGTGTACAATACAACAGGTAAGAGGCCTTTCATATTCTTGTATTTTCAGGTGCTATCAAATCAATAAAATGTAGAGTAATGCCACCAAGCCCAAACTAATGAACTTTTCTCTATACAATGAAATGATGGGGAAAAAAACCCGACATCCTGATGTCACCTGGGGCGTGATTAAGGAAACACGCTTTCCCATTTTTGGGGCTGCATTTGCCTCGATTGGCTAGATCGCGAGTGGCTGCCGTCCCAGGGCCGTAAACGGAACCTAGGTGGCTTTGCCATACCGGATAGCCCCGCCGAGGGCCCCAGCTTAGACTTTGCCGGTTCTTGTACGTTGCCGGAAGAGATTGTTCATTCGTGGGACAGAGCTCGTAGAGGATAGATGACACTCTACCTTGTGCACACATTGCAGTTACAGGCAAACATCAGAATGTCTCGAAAACATTTGTTTTATACACCTAATTTAGCTTCATCTAGGTGTGACATGTGTGTGAATGCATGCAACCAGGAGTCTGCAACCCTTACCATTATTTTGGATACCCCAGCATCTGGCCTCGAGGGTACCCTTTGGACAAAATTAAAGATGCGCCTTGCGATTCTTTTGTTCGCAAGGACGCACATCCATTGATCCTTCAGGTGATGTTCACACGAGATGTCACGGTACAAGCTATTGGCGTTCAGAGTGCTGTAAATGCTTTGTCCACAAGGAAATCGCTGCATCTTATTCTGGTTTTGTGCTGTTGCAAGCATTGCATAATTATGAACAAGTTGGCCACTGGTAATAATCGGCAATTGACTCACTGAAGTAGAATTGCAACTTTACGTCAGCATTTTCCGTGCACCTGCATGAGTGTGGAAGGTCGTTTTTATGCATACATTCAAAATTCTGTCTTGTAAACACCTTGTGCATTTACATTGTCATGCAGGCTACTGTCGAATCGCTACACATGTGTGCTAATTGTTCCAACATATCCCTCTGTGCTTGCATTACAACAGGGTCTTGCAAATCTGGATCCAGATGTGGACGCAATCTATCGCCTGACACAGCCGTTGGGAGTGCACTTCCGAGCAGATTTGCCAGCTGTGGTGTTGCCGGAAAGGACGATTTGCCCATGGAATAGCCAGAATACTCTTTTTGCCAAAGATGCACTGTGGGGACTTCTCATCCCCATCACAACTACATTCCGCGTGTGTGACATATGGCGCAGGTGCGGTCATACAGCTCTCCTAGTAGTTGCTACAGTACTCTTTATTCAATGCCGGTGTGGAGGCAATCTTTTCCTAAAATAAGTTCACCATAACGAATGTTGATTTCAAATTGTGGAGTTAATAACTTTCACGATTTATGCCATGCTTATATGATCACAATGTGAGGATTGTTCGAGACACTTGTCTACGTGTTCTGCCGCCGCTTCACTAGTTTCTGCCCAGCATATAATGCGGCGTTAGACCTTTTTGCGATGGGCTCATACTACGCAGTGGCCTCAACTCGAGAGATCACCCCCACCATCTCGTTATCTGTATTTTGGTAGTTTATTTTGTATCATTTACTGCAAAGAAATGAAACTTGTTTGAAGAAGTATTGAAAGGCCTTGAATACTTGCGTGTCACTTTGAAATCGTTGGATGTTTGCAGCTATTGGGTACAGCGCTTGCTTTGGGAAATTGGTGGGAACATAGCGTTCGGACCCCCCACAGTGAACCAGTTGCGCAATGCACATAATCTCATGCGAGATTTTGAAGAGGAGAATCCATTGTACAATCAGGCCGGTGCCCTAGTTGAGCTGCTCAATGCCTGGGTTGCGCCACCCGGTAGCGACCTGCCCACCCTCATGACTTCGCTTGCCCAAAAGATGGCAGATGAAAAGATGTGGGAGCAGGTATGGTATCATTCCCTACAAATGGAAGGCCAGCTATCATGTGTATTTTATCCCGGCTGATCAAGTCCTTTCTTGAAGACCCAGACCACACTAATGAAAGCTTCTTAGTCACCTACAAATTCAAAGCAAGCCTGCCGTACATTTTGAATAACAAATCACAAGTTTCCATGGGAACTACCGTTTCAAGCTTCCTCGTCCATGTATTACAATGCTGAAAAGGCTCTTCGCCAAGGAGGCGTAATGTATCTTGCGGTCATTATGGGTGAACAACAATAGACACGGGACATCACAGTACGTGCACATCATTGATCACGGCGTGATTGACCACAACATCTTAACAAATCTGATAAATCCCTAAATCGTAATGATGAAAATGCGATTTTTGGGTGCCCACAGGGGGATGTTGATTTGATGGCAGCTTGGGTGGCAGATTTAAAAGAGGTCGGCTATGTCTTCCCGCGCTTACGCAATGCGGATGAGAGGTCTATTCAAGGACCCGATGGAGATTTGTTGAGGGAAGATGGCGCTGAGGCAGTGGCACCACATGATCCATTCGTGGCACCACGGACACCATTGCACTGGCGGCGATATGACAAGTATGCAAATTTCCACCACTTTCTTCACGTCCTTTGACTTTGGTGACCCGTGACTTTGGTGAAGTACATACTCTGAAGACCCTTTCCTAAGAGTCATGCGTGCATAGCCAATTCAACACGATTATTTGCCAGTCATTTAACGAGCAATTAATCCAACATTGATTCCTACAAATGCTAATGACGATGGCCCAAACCCTTAATAATGCGATTTGAAGAAATGCATTCCCAAGCGATAAGGATGAGCACTTTAGCATATTAGTTCTTATTGAAGGCGTGACGCTGACCATTGATTGGCTTCATGCAGCATTGTCCTTATCATCATGTTCAATACCAAGTACCCAAGCTGGCTGGAGACGTTCCAACTGCTAAAGGAGGCTTACACACCCATGTTCGGCACCCTTGTCTTTACTGGGTTCCCGGAGCGTCCGGAGGAGGTGCCTATGGGTGATAATTTCGTCACCTGCTCTGGGACAGGCCACTTACAATACATTTGCTTCGCCAATGCCATGCAGGTAAGAAAATCTAAGAGAATGAGGATGCAAACACTTTGTTGTCATCATGATAATTATTATACTATGTAGGCATGCTGGCATAGAGTGCACTTGGACTTCCTAAGTACCGTAATAGGATGTAGTGCTTCATACCTAGCAGCTTTGGCAGATGTGCATAAGACCCGCCATCCATGCTAGCTTTGCAAAATGCATATGCCGTACGTGAAGTGCATGCAAAGGCACATATCTAGATAAATTTGAGACCAGAAGGGGTACTGTCAGATCCCGCTTGTTGGCACCGACAACCTCCTCTAATGACAATCTAGTCTGTGGACCGATTTGGTTGGCACAGATTAAATCATTATGCACCATGACATAATGTCATTGCACAGGAGTTTGCGGCACCTGCTAATGGTGGTTACCTCATCTTGGGGGATGATACAATCATAAACCACTGTCAAATGCAGCATTTCAATGCCAGCAAGGTACACCTGGCCATTTCTTAATATATCATCGGATACATGACATTCAATACAAGTTACTGAACCCCCTTTCTTCCTCTGTAACTGGACACTAATGTGCAATTGCGGTGATCACCGCACCCGCGTCTTGTGATGTTGATACTATCTTTTCGGGGCTAGTGACTGATCGAAGGGCGGTAGGCACGTTTGCAATGGAAGAGCAGGTGCAACGTCTTGCTTGGTTCTCATACAAATTTCCTGATCTATATTCCGTTTGTTTTGAGTAGATATGGTTCCCACGTGCTATTGAGGCCACTCATGAGGATATAATGAAATGGGCGAATGAGAAGGCGGCCGAAGGGGATCCACTGGGTCAAGTTTGGCATTTTCATTACAACGGTGAACTGGCAAAGAACGCGCTGAAGCACTTCACCGAGGGGCACACCCGCAACAAATTTGCAAGCTCCATCCTGGGCAAGCTGGGCCCTGACCTTGATAAGGTGCTGTGCTCTTGTCAAGATCTTGCAGGGTTCCCATTTACGTTGACAGCCACTCTTGCTTGAGCAGGAACACAAGGGTTGCGGTCAAATCCAAATCCTTGCTATTGATACCATGGACAAAGGCAAGCCTAACTAAGCATGGAAGTGGAAGTGCTTGGCCCTCAACAGGGGTCATAGCAGTGAATCGAGCGAATAACATTGCCATGCTCATTGCCAATTCAGGCTCATTTCGGAGGGGAATTTACAGATGGCTTGTACATTCCCATGCGCCTCTCATTAGATTTTCTGCTGGCGTCAACGGCTTTTGCAGAAAGAAATGTCCAGCATGAGGTAGCTGTGCCAGCAATTTTTGGGATCATTACCTCGAACAAGTCTGATTTCGAGGTGAGTGCACTCTTTTGCCTTCCATCTGTGTTTACCTCCATTATGGCGGCCGTAAGGTGAGCTGAAATGACAAAAATGGAGCTCCAAGGGTGAAACAAGCGTGCGTGGCACAAGCTTAATCTGTGTGGCACAAGCTCGATCTTCGTGGCACAAGCTTCATTGGGACATTATTACAGTATCAAATTCGGATCTTCACTAAGTGTTAGCCCAACAACGCAGTTGTTCGTTTGTTTGCTGTGCATATGCATCTCTTTGTCGTGCCGTTGACCATTGACAAGATCCACAATCTCCATCATTGCCACGATGTTTTACGTAGGTAGTCAAGTTGATCAACCTACACGATGAAAGGAGGGGCCTAGTTATAACAAAAACAGAAGATTTCCTTGTTAAAGACGGCTTGCCCGATCAATCATTTATGTTACACCCCCTGAAATTCACATCACCAGACAAAGACATCAAGCAAGCCTTCTGGGAGTGGTGGACCAGTGGTTCTTGCCTTGAGCATTCGGGAGTCGACACTTCCTACAAGGTGATCTTGTGAAACATTGCACTTGTGCAAGTTCTCAATGAAGAGGTTCCTAATGTCTCTTTTGGCAGAAGCTTCCTACAAGAATAACAGAAAAGTGGGTGCTAAAGAATTGAGGCCTAAACGTATCCACTCTAATCACATGATGTTGTCGTGTGCACCATACAAGATGTCTGGCAAATTTATTTCTTTACAAGTGTCACGACATTATTTCAGGCCATTTAGATTGTTGGTGTCACACAGTGTGGTCTACCCCAATCGAAACTGGGTACATCATCGGTTGCTCTTTTAACAAGATGAGGTTTTAGGGGGTACTAAAGGGCAAATAAAAATTTTGAGTTTCATGTGTTGTGCATTTGCAGGGTTTACCAGCCATAAGTGCCTCAGCATTGGAGAGCAAGCTTCCTGGCGAGTCTCAAAATCGTTGGGCTGAGTCAGATGAAAGACTCAAGCGAGCCCAACACAAGAGATCTGATGAAGTGCTTTGACTTACTTCCCTTCAAGTTTGAAACAACTTGATCGGATTGATCTGGTGAAGATCTCTTTCATCGCATCTGTAGTATCACTGATGAATGATGGAGAATGTTTTAGACTGATTCATTCGGTTATGTTCGGACTGTCAAAAACTATCATGGCGTGGGCCAGCCTGAGCCAATCTTCCTACTGGTTCTCATACAACAGCGAGTCAGGAAATTTTCTGTAGAAATACTGAGCACAAACATTGCCCAAATGATCAACAGGCATAGGGGCGTGGTGAGGACCATTATGCCTTAGTAACATTCACCTCTGCCTGTGTAATTGCGCTCTACATATCCTGAGGGGTCCAGGATTTTTCAACACTGTGTCAGTCATGGGAAGTAGTCTGTCTCGAAACAGATTACGAGCACGTGTAGGAAAATGCACAAAGTACCGTACTGGCAGTGGAGTTCATGTGAACAGTAGGATAGCCATACTTGTCAACTCATAAGCCTGCAAATTAAACAATACCATACCAGGTGTTGCAGTACCACACAACTCTGCACGTGCCCATGTCCATGTCCATGGACATGTCCCGGAGCCCCATTGCTCGGTTAGTCTAGACTGTCTGAGAGTCTGAGAGATCTCTCATGCAGCAGATTCTACCAAACTGTGCACGAGACCAAAACTTATGGTGGCCTTGAGAAGCACCAGGCCATTCGTAAAATCTTCGATACAAATCATCGATAAAAGAATCATGACGGTAGGAATGCTCCTCACCTGGGTTAGTTCTGGTACAAGTGCCTGATGAAGGCTATCCCCTGACAAGCACTCGCTCTCAAAATCCCGATTTTGATCCAGCATGGGTGGCGGCACGCTCTTCAAGCTTCAAAAGTCGCTGTTGCCTCCATGTGCTCCTCTGCAGTAGTGCAAGCAATATAGGCATGGTCTTGCAAGGTGGCTATGCCGAGGTCTGCATAGCACCTACACAATTACGCATAACGGATATTCGAAATCATGCGCCTTGCTTTCAGAATTCAAATTTGCATGCTTGAAGCCGCTTCACGCAACACTCTTTCACCTTGCAAACCCAGGGCAGAAAGCATGACCTTTAACACCTGCTCCTTGGTCCCCAAAATTTGAATAGTAACCAAAATTTGACCAAAATGTGGCTGCTTTCTCGTGGTCAGATCACCCAACCTCGAGCCAGCCCAGCTGCAAAATTCAGCTGTCAACAGACCCTCGACTCACCCAAAAGCTCCAACAGGTCATGTAGTCCACTCTAAGCAGGTGCTAGCCCTGGAGAAACCCTGTGCTCCAACTCCTGCTGCAAAACAAACATCCTGTCAGCCTACTTTCCCTTTAAAAGTTGACTCTCTGTGGACCTGCTTTGACCAACCTGGCAAAACACAACAACAAAGGCCATCTGCATAAAGCCCTTGCAATCAGCGAGAGTACCTAAAATCACAACTTCTGGTGCCAGGGCAACCTCAACACTTCTCTTAATAGACACTAGCTTGCCACAAATCTGCACATCCATTTCAGCGCTCACATTCGCCCACATGGAACCCTCCACGTGATCGCCCCTAACTGTGGCCCAGGGGTGTTCGGTTTTACACGCCGGCGTACGAGACCGAGGTCTGGTCTGCTGAGCGTGCCAGCCAGGAAGGCAAAGAAGGCCGTTTAAGGCAGGTGATGCTCAGTCAACGGCCGCTGCTGCCTGAGATTCTTACTTTTGTCCCCAACTGATCCTTGCCCCAGCCACATTATTGTGTAGCTTCATTTAATTCCAGCCTAGGAGCGAGATTTCTCACTTAATGCTATCGTGGTTGGGGGGAGGTGCAGTCTTTCTGCTGATGTGGATGTTCAGGCAAGCAGGAGTTACACCTTTCTTGATAGACACTAGCAATGCAAAATATTCCTAATGAAGAAAATTCCTAGCAGTATGCATGGATTTTACACGCCTATGTTGCCGGCAGCACTGGGCAAGTACTCTGGATGATTCACAAGCAAGGCACTGTCCTAGTATTCTGTTTACTCAGATGTATGATAATCTCTTCAAACAGCATGTCCTGGCTCTTCTAAGATAGCCTCCTTGTCTTTGCACTTCTGCTTCCATTCTGGGTTCCTGCAGCTTTCGCATGGACTATCCCTGAAGTTGGAGAATCCTTGCAGCGCGCTGGCGGTCCCCTCTCCGTGCCGGAGTCCTTGCGCTTGCGCTTCTGCCCAGCAGGCTGACCTGCTGACGGTGCAGGTGCTCGATGCTCTGCTGCCTTGCCGCTGCGCGCTGCAGCCGGGGCATTGCCGCTGACGCCATCTCGGCTGCCCAGATCTGCTGGCGGGCCAGCGCTGGGGGTGTCGACGAGCGGCTGCGCAAGAGGGCGGTCGCCGCTGCCGCGCACGCCGCAGCGGGGATTGCAACTCCAGTCTGCTACCCACCAGGTGCGCTCGTCTGATCGCCAAGGGATTCAGCGCGCAGGGATGGGGATGGGCCGCCAGGTGGCAATGGTGCTGCGAGAGGCACATGCGCGTTGTGCACATGCAACCTGTGCTGGGGCTGTGGCCAGCTCCTTTGCAGCGCGCCGCTGGTCTGCCAGAGCTTGCATGAGGAACCAGCTCTTCAATTTGCTGGCAGCTACACCGAGCGTTGCAGCCAGAGCCATGAATTTCTGCAGACCCTGGCGTGCGCTCTCCAGCTGGCAGATTCCTGCAATAACAAAGGAGTCCTTCTGATATTTTGGCGGCTCGATGCTGGAGTGGCATCAGCATCAGATGGATTATTGCGCAGTGAAACTGTAATGTTCTAGTAATGCAGAGATCACAGGCACCGTCACAGTGCAGTGGTCAGAGAATAAAGTTCACCTCTGGGCGCGCTTCAGCTCCGGTAGCTGGTCTGGGGTCAGCTGAAAGGGGCCCATTGGCAGGTCCGGCAGAAATGCTGGAATAGCGATGGCCCCCTCCAGCATCCCCGTCCCGCCACCTTCCCAGGGCCGCATCAGCAGCTTGATCCTTTCATAAAATGGCTGCTCTGCTTGATGGCGCAGCCGCGTCCTGACGGGGGCTTTTCTGATCACAGCCGGCTGCCTGCAGGGAGTGGACGCCACCACCGCTCGCAAGAGGTGGGGCCTGGTGGCGGCTGTGCTGTTTGCCGCCAGTATGACCCCCTCGGCGCAGCCATGCACCTGCAGCGAGCTCGGTGCGCTGTGCATGTGCACCGGCGGCAGGAGCCCCTCTTGTGGGCAGGTGCAGCCTGGTCGGCTGCCCCATGCCGCTCGAGTACGCCTGGACCTCCCATAGATCTGGCAACGCGCGCAGGTCCGGCTGCCGGGAGGGATACGCTGGGGACAGGTGCGCGCCACTCGCATGGTTCTATGCTGGGATTCCGCTGCGCGCCAAGATGGCTGCGTACCCATCCCAGCCCTGCAGGTTGCAGCAGTTGGGTCCAAGCTGAGCCGCTGTGCGCTTCGCAATATCTGACGGCTGCCGCGGCGGCTTGGGCCGGAGGCTGTCCAACTGGGCGCGCTGGAAGGGTGCCTGCCTCGCCGCCCAGCGGAACCATTGCACATTGTCCGCGCCCCTCCCCAGCAGCATGGTGCCGCCGAAGGCCTTGTCCGCCATGAATACTGAAAATTTGCTGACGTGGAGCATATTATGCTCTGTGTAAACTGAGGACATCCACGCTGCAAAGTCTGCAACAGCTGCTGGGATAAGGATGCTGCTCTGCATGTTTGGCAGGCTATTCGCCAAGCAGCCCTGCTGGTCAGTGGTGAGCACATCTGCTCTTCGCATCGCTGTCGTCAGCATGCCATGCGCCGCATTGGCCATGTGTTTGGCGTGGTTTGCCGGCAGGAAGAGGAGGAGGCACCGCTCCACGACGCCGGCATCGACCATCAACTGAGGTACTCTTGCCCACAAGTTATTATGCTGGTCAGCGGCATTGTCGAGCACCACCACCAAGACTCGCTCCCCATTCAGCGTTGTCAAGGCGTGGTGCATGATGACATTGATGCCGGTGGTTGCACAGCCGCTGTAGTTCTGCCCCTTGAATATTAGGTACTCGTAGCTGCGGCCGGTGCTCAAGTCTGCAACGCCGTGCACTTCTATCACCTTCCGCTCCCTGCCCCAGCCGCCGGCGAGCTCACGCGCCGTGTCAGGCAGTTTATTTGGGGTCTTCTTGTCATAGTGCAAGATGCTGACGGCCTGCACTGTTGCGAAGGGCTGGGAGCACAGCTTCTGCGGCGGCGGCACCTCGCAGCGCAGCTGCACAGCTTCGGCCTCAGCGCACGCCACCAGCTGGCGCTGTCGGCGGGCTGCTTCTGAGTGCCTTTTCAGGCATTCCTCCACCAGCTCCTGATGCAGCTTTGCAGCTGCCACAGCTGCGCCCGCAGCTTCCACAGCTGCGCTGACCGGCGCCGGCGCGGCCGCGGCTGCCGGTGCAAGAGCGCCTGACTGGGCAAGCCTCGGCGCCTCGGCTTCCCTCTGCCTCTGGAGCTGCACTGCTCTGTCAACTTCCTGCTCGAGCTCCGTACAGCAAGAGCAGTAGTTGTGGTCCCTCCGCCGGCCGACCAGCCTGAAGCCGGGCATCCCTGCCGCCAGAATGTTCGCACGCTGCGTACTGACAGGCTGTCGGGACAGAGCGCTGCGATCGCTCCTCTGACTAGGCGGGAAATTCTGTGGAGCCTCAGGGCGCAGCTGTATATGAGCCAGCAGCTGGCCAACCCAATTCGCAGCTACCAGCTGCGAGTCCGCTGCCAGCAGCTGCAGCGTCAGCTTCTCAAGGTCAGACGGTCCCCGCCCCTGCGGGCCATGCAGATGGCAGGAGGCGACGGGACTCGCTCCTGTCAGACGGGCCATTGGGTCTGGACTGGCCAGCCGGCTTCTTGTCAGAGGAGGCCACTGCGAGTGCATGCGACTACGGCGGCTTCACCTGCATCAATGCCGCCTTGCGAAGGGAGCCGCTGCGACAGCGCCTGCTCGATGCCTACAGCCGGGAGAGGTCTTGCTTTGGAAGCCCACAAATGGCGCGACTCTGCCAGCCGGCGTCAGGGCAGAGCAGCTGCGGCAGAGCTGACGGCGGCAGGCGGCCCTAGGGGCATGCTCGAGCAGTGTTTCCGACGTTTCCAGACAGAGCACATCCTCGGCGGGGTGACGCTGAATGCCCAGCGGCGAGTCCTGGGTGGGATGCTGATCCATGGCCTCTGTCGGCAGGGCATCCGGGCAGTGCTCCAGAGCAAAGTCAGCAACTCCCGCTTCGCTGCTGTGGAGGCCAGCCTCACAGCGACAGCGGGAGACTTCACAGCAGCCTCCAGACTGCCGCACCCCCTGTCATTGCGTCCCAACTGGCCCCCCATAGCCATCAACACTGCGGTGCGCGAGCGCGTGCTGCAGTTCCTGTTGGAACGCACGCGGCCCGACCCGGAGAGGAAACTGCTCCACGCCTGCGACCCGGCGCTCAATTCCAGAAAGGGGCCTGCAGTGGCACCTCCTCTTTCCCCTCCTCTGCGAATTCCTCCAGACTGTGTTCACCCTTGCGGCAGGCTGGACACGCCTCCGCACCACCGGTGGTCTCCACTCCGCAGCCCACACACAAGGTGAGGTCTCCACATATAGCTGCACTTTCTGCCTGGAGAACGCACTCCGCTGCCCGCACGTCATGCACGGGAATACCATCACCCCATGAGGCCTGGTTGACGAGCAGGCGCGCTCTGCAGACTATTGCTTCAGCTGGCCTTTGTCCACTGAAGAAAGCGGCCTAGAATGCTTCTCTTGGATTTCCACAGTTGGCCTCGGCATGCTGCAGCTGTGAGGGAGGCTGCTCATGCTGTCTTGATCCTTTGCAGCTCTAGCAGTGAGCATCCTGTGCCGGAGCAAATTACTAACGAAGTTAACATGCAGTCATAAGCATTTGTAGGCTGCCATACATTTTAGAGAGCGTCTAATGCAAAAGCGACGCGGAGTGGCTGCAATCTGAAAGGGGAGGCACCTGTTCAGGAGGGGCGTCCCTGGCTCTGGCAGCTCTACATCCCCTCTTTGGTGCCCGCGAGTCAGTGTTCTCCATACAAAGCAAAACCTTCAATATCATGCGTTCAAGGCAGCAAAGCACATACACATGACGCCAGGGTTTGACACTCCTTTAGGATTCCTAAAGGGATGGGCACTCCGGTTCAGGGATTGGGGGCAGCCTTCAGGGAAGCCCCAAGAAAAATGGGGAGAAGACGTCCTGGCCAAAACGCCCCAATCTCAGGGCATCCTCTAAATTTCTGGCGTGTGCTGTACAGATCTCAGGGACCTTGGACTGTTTCCAAATGCCATTGCATACGCATGGCCGTTGACAGTTGACCTGGTTTGCTGCAGATGCTAGATAACTACTCAAAGCGTCCAAATATGGCCAGGCGTATGTCGTGCCAGTTGCCCAGACGTTCGACTCCTGGCAGGGCCTCATCCAGTTTTTAAGACCCGAAGGAAAAAATTTCGAGGTCAGGGATGCCCTTAAATTTCAGCACATCTCACGGGAACAGGGCCTGTATTTTATATTCACGATCCAGAGTAAATTGGATGAGCAGCGCTGTTCCGAGGTGTCCACCCCAGACTCCAGGAAGCCGATGGCTATGCAGTCCAGCGATCAGATCAGATGGAGGAGCTCCGCAGCCTCCTTGAGAGCCTCCAGGGTGATGTGGGCCACTTGCTTTCTTTCCATGACCAATCAGGCCCCAGCATACCTTTCTATGGGCAACCAGCGCCCCCAGCCAGCTACCAATCTCCTTTCCCAGCTGCAACATGCCATAAGCCTCCTTTCCCAGCTGCAAGAGGTATCAGCCTTACAGCTACCGCCAGGCTTTGCAACAGCCAGCGCCTTTGGAGATAGAGCCCAGCCATGGCGCAGTTAGAGGCAGGGCCCACTACAGTCGTCCAGACTCTGGGTCGGACCCTTACAAAGAATAGTATCAGGCGAGCCTCGCCCCACCATTATTGTGTACATTTTTTATTAGTAAAAAAGGAACACTACGCCCTTCCAAAGGTTGGGGGTGAGGTTGGCCCTAAAATCCCTTAACCCTTTAATCTCGGATATTTTGCTAGGAGGAATGGTCGCCCAGCGTATCTGCATGGTCCAGAGTTAAACAATACTGAAATGTGTAACAAAAATAACTCCAAAACTCATATCTCTTCGAAGTTCGAATACGCCACCAAATTGAGTGAGCTCAGTTGCTATGGAGTGTTCTAAGCGACCTCTTTCCGTTGCCACATCGAGCGCCGAAAACGGTGACGTTCGCACGGACTTGCGCGGTCGGGCTGCAGGCATCGGGAAATCGAACCCTCATAACTTGGCGAGTACATAGTCATTTTACATAATTCCGGGTGCGGTAGATTCGTCTGGACGAGATCTTTCCATCGCGACATCGATCATAGCAAATAACGGCGTATCGAGTGACCTGTGCGTACCGTGATGTCTGCCCATGGCCGCGAGGGACCCCCCCAAAATGTACACACCCCCAGTGGCCATTTATGGACACCTTCTCTAGTTAGTATCAGACCTGCAATTTCCCGCAGCATCCACAGTTTTGCCATCAGCAATAGACCTAACTGGGGCCCAGTCTGGTCAAGATTTGCCAAATCAGAACACCAATCTTAGCAGTATTTTTAAGACAATAGCTCCAGAAAAGGTTCACAGGCCTTGACAGGCATCAGGACTTAGATGACTGCATTCTCTTTAAAAGCATACCCAGCCAATATGCCTGCCTTACACCCGAGGGATGCAATGAAGCCAGCATTGATGTTTTATACACAAATATTTTATAGTAACGACGCCTGGAGACTATCCACCGGGTGTGAACACAGCGGCGGCCATTGCAGTGCTGTCTTGCCACATATCGAAACGCTAGAATTCTGATAAAACATGTGCACAGGTGAACTCCTCACCAGACAGAATAAATGAGCACATGTTGACCACAAGTTGAGAATTTGTTCCATCGTGCAGATTTTAAGATCATGGATCTCTCAAGGTCTGGTGAGCAAGCCGACAAAATTCGTTGTAATGATGGAGTTGTCCTTGTTAACACTTTATATCAACATGTGTGTAACACATGCAGTATTACAGAATACTTTTGAGTGGTTTGATTCGGAACTGATTGTCACTCAAGACTCTCCAGAAGAGTATCGATATCGGTTCACAATGTTCTGCAAGCGCCTCTTAGAATTCTCAATTTCCTATGTATTTGGGTTCACTAGTCGGTGGATGATTTCTCACAAGCGTTTCCGCATTGGTTCTCTTCTGCAATTGGGTTTTCCTGAGCTACAACCGCTTCTTAGCATCTGCAGAGGACAAGGTGCATGCAGACTTATCTATGCCATCGCACAACACTTTCGCATGCAACTCCCTGAATGGAATCGAGCTCCATGCCATTGAGCGATAAGCAAGCTTTGCATCCACCAGATACATGATAGCTTGCGCAGCAGAAGCGTCTCTCAGTACTTTATGCATGATTGTTGAGTCTTTTGGCAGCATCTGTAAAATGGATGGGAAGATTGGGTACGTGGGACCAAGCGCCTGTAACCGCACGTTACATGGTCGTCCCCGGCCCTGCAAAACAGCAAGCACCGACCACTGTCAAGCACAAAGCTTTTGCAACACACACTATGACAAAGGACCAAGTCGCATCTTCGTACCTGTTTCGCATTTTCGGGGTTTTGCGAGCCAGATACGACTCATTTACTATCTGGTTGCGACGCAGTTGCGCTCAATTGCAACTCAGATGCGACCTAAATGCGTCTTGCAAATCGTAACAAAAATGGGGGAATTGCGATGCAGATGCGATGTTTGAAAGTTGCTAGGTGATGGCACCTGAATCGTAATCCATGCTCGCAACCCGAGACCGCAGCAGCCGTGCGGCGAGACACGTGACCTCTCGGAATTTTGTCGAGGCATTTGGTAAATACTAGTGTCAGAAGCACGTGAATTAGCATGAAAGATCGAAATAGACGGAACACCTTGTACAAATTCGCTATTAGGCGTGCACAGAACCGCGCAAGATGGGGATGTCGCCTTCAGGAATGTGCTGTGTGGCTGAAGAACATCATGGCTTAAATGATTAAACTTCGAGACAGTAGATCAAGAAAGGTCCTTGGCTCGACTTGGCTCGAAGTGTTGGGACTTGTTGGGATTGCTCTCCGAGAGTCTGGCGGGGGTTGTGCCCGGTACCTAGAACCTACTCGCAAAATTCATAAGAGCTATTCAGGGTTTTGAGAATTCGTGGTTTTGAGAAACCCAGAAATTGCATTTGGCGCCTGGCGCAGGTTGTTAAGTTACTTATATTATTACTGGTCGCCAAACCTAAAGCTAGAGGCCATAGGCCGGCCATACCGTATGTAGTACACGCGGACTGGCAAGGCATCCATAGCGACATCTTCGGGGCCCACATAGTACCGAACTATGTGGGCCCCTAGTGTCTGCCACCCAGTGTTGTTGCGCATTAATCGCCTTTGAACAAGCTGCCCTTATTGGGCAAGACTCGCACACATATAAGATAGATTAGTTGAAAAGACAGGTAAGAATTTCCCGAAACTGGCAGAAATGTGTCGTCAATATACAAGTTGTCAACAATCTCCGAGGGTTGGCCCCGAAGATTTTTACAAGAACTTTTACAAGATGTAAAATAATTGCCCGATGAGCGTGTCTGTCGGAAGGGTTTCGGACGAGCTGCCACGTGTCGCCCTCATTCGAATTACAGGTCACAGTCGCGAAGTACTGAAATCTCGGCTCCGCCACTTGAAGCCGGTGTGCTCGTAAACACCACTTGGCAAGCACTATGCACTCCCTGTCACACTGGAGCAAGGGTTCAGGGTTTCTACATACCTGGCAAAGCTGGATCCAGCCAACAAAGCTGACAAACCTCAATAATGAGCCAAATCCGGCCATCCACATGACAACCCTTACACAGCTGCCAAAGCCTACAAAATGAACGTAGCTTACACACCTTACAAAGCTGCCAAAGCCTACAAAGCTGACAAAGCCGACACACCTGACAAAGCTTACCCACCTTACGAAGGATACAGAGCTGTCAAAGCTTACAAAGCTTTCACACCTGACAAACCTGACACACGTGACAAAGCTGCCAAAGCTGACAAAGCTGAATCGCCGGCCGCGCGTGCCGCCCCGTCCGCCCTACCCCAGGAGGACTGGAAGGAGTGGCTGGAATTTCAAAAATGGCCGGAGTAGGAGTGGCATGAGTACAATGAATGCCATGACATTGTCACCTATGTCAGCTGTACCAGCTTTGCCAGGTTTGTAAGGTAAACCATTTAGCATGTTTGTAAGGTTTGCCAGTTTTGTCAGGTTTGTAAGGTTTGACAGGTTTGTACAGCTTTGTCAGCTTTGTCACCTTTTTTAATTTGTCAGGTTGGTAAGCTTTGTCATGCCGATGGCCAGATTTGGCTCATAATTGAGGTTTGTCAGCTTTGTATGGCTAGATCCAGCTTCGCCAGATTTGTAGAAACCCTGAATCCTTGCTCCACTTTGAATCCCTCCGGGGGCCCTGGGGGTTGTAGAAACCCTGAACCTTGGCTGCGAGGCTGTGCATTGCAATTGGCCCCGGGTTCCGGCTGCATACGGGCCATCTCTGTCATGGATATTCAGAGAAATCCAGAATGTTGCAGTTCGACTGGCCAGCGCTGGGATTCGACCCACCACCAGGAAATCCTACGATCTTCTTCCCTGGGATATCCTAGATGGCTGCCGCAGTTCTCGGGATTCCTACGACTAGGAATCACGTGGGAAATCGTAGGCCTGGTCGCTTCGTAGGATTTCCTGGGATTCTATGTCTTCTTCTACGTGCTACAAGCTCTCCAGGGTATAAAAATAAGATAAAAATCGATCGAAACAAAGGGATCAGCACGGAGTCGACCCAGAAACCTTTTCATTGTCACAATGAATGCAATACGTTGCTAACACCTTCCGAAGTTCGTTGACACAAGCTGGTAATCACAATTTGTCAGTGGTATTTATATGTATAGCGTGAGAGCACTGCAAAAGCCCGCATTCCCACAACTTGGGGACTCTACGAGCGTTGTAATCTCCATTTCTCCATACATTCTGTTGCATTGACAAGAGCAAAGGGCTTTCTGAAAGGCTACTGGGCCAGGACGCCGCGCACACACCGGGAACGGCGGAATGCTCGCACATCCCTTGATTTTTCGCTGTGCTTTGGTCTTGGAAGACATTGCAATGCATGAATCAAGCGAATATTGAAGAGATAGAGCCCCAAAAAGGCCCAGAATCACACTACATTACATATTATTCGGCCTTTCGTCGTCCACTGGGGTGACGTCACGCGTGCGTCTTCCCAGGAAGGCGACGGGATCTGGCATTTCCTACGCAAATCAAGCCCAGAAGTTCCAGTCTAGATGCCGAACTCTAACAGATTCAACAGACCCTGTGCGGGTTTTCCCAGGGCCATTGCACTCCTAGATTTCCCTATAGATACTAGTAGTTCTTCTAGGATTTTCTAGGTCCAAGAAGCAGGCTCAAATTTGCTGGTGGTGGATAGCGGAGGGAGCACCAGAGGTGACCCATGGCCATTTTCTAGAAGATACTATACTGTAGTACAGCTACTGGACTTTCTTCACTTTCCTAGGTCTGACATTAAAACCGAAAGTTTCTAGTTTCCTTGAACAGAGACGCGACTTGAAAAAGTGGAGATTGCAGCTTGTTGTAGGAAGTTTCCATGAAATCCAGTGGGAATAGACGATGACCTGATGTCGTTCGCTGTATGTCTGAAAAATGTCTCCGTATCCATCATCCCTATCTAGGTCCTTCGAGATCCGGCTTCAAGCAGTTCTCGACAAACATGGCAACATATATAATGGCAGGGCAAAGTGCTTCAATAGAGGCGGCCCTTTACAGTTAACGGCATCAACATAAATTACTGTCAGTTACATGTGGGTGGAAACCGAAAGCCGACATGTGACTTTATGGGTGTCGGAGTTTTGACGGTTTTTGACGGTTTACGGTTGAGAGGGCACGTGCTGGAAGCCGTGTGAGGCGGTTAGTAACAGCGTAACTGGTGTAGCGACAATCCTAAGTCGACCTGCAAGAACGTGAAATCGATGTAAGATGACGACGATAAGAAGCTGTGGGTGATAGATGTGAGTGGTCGTACGACGAGGTGGCTGACGAGGTGCCTGACGGTTGCTGGCCGTGAGATGAGACGATGTCCGGCATGGGAAGGGCAGGCGATCGTGTTCAGGAGCAACGTGGTGCGTGAAGTTGTCCGTTGCATGTTGCAGTCTTGATGTTGCAAGCAGTATGTAAGTCCATGTGGGTGCGTCCTGACACCGCCAAGGAGATCTGTGTTTGGTCCTCGTCCGACAGAACTGCAAGGTAGGCACTTGATCATGACTGGATGTGAAATGCCTGGGCTTATAGACCCGGGCGACAAGTTGCTCTTAATTTTGGTGGTATGATGATGGAAGAGTGCGCGGTTTGGACGCTGACGTGAACTGATCGTTCAGGACGAGGATGGCAACGGGAGCGACCCTTGGAGGGTGTGTCAGGCGGCTTCAGAGGACGACTGATCACCAGGACAGCGTTTTTGGTGCGTGGCATGAATCTCTGAGACTTTGGGGTGTGTTTGGATGAAAGCTGGTCACCGGATGTTGGGTTGGGTGTGGTTGTCTTGAGAGGGCTTGAGGCTGTGGCACAGCTCACTTTTGTGATGTGCTTGGATGATGGATATTGGTATGATGTTAGGATGGTATTGGCCCTTGGTCAGGCTTGGTAGAGACAGTCGCATGCGCCTGACTTTCCTGCCTGTGTATGAGAGGTTGTGTAAACGGTTACAGGACTGCTGACTGGACTGCAGACTTGCCAGTGACTAAGCGGCAGGAATACCCCAACCTGTGGAGCCCAACCGGTGTTATTTTTAACACCATCATACCCTGGAAATCACTACTGTTACAGTGGTTTCGGACACGTTTAGTATCCTCTGCGAAAAATCTCTTCCACATGTCTGAGCGTACCAGTGATGCGGCTGTCCCCGTGGGGAAAGTCGGCAACGTGACTAGGGTCGGGGGTGAAGGTCCATCCCAGAGCACCCTGCAGTCGTCCGCTCTGGCTGGCATTCTGGACATCCTCAACTGGTCTGGACCTTTGACTGCATCTCTCGTCCAAGGAACCTGTGAGTATCGATCCTCTTGCCTGGGGTAGGATGGATTCTTGGCTGGGCTGACTGGGCTGGCAGTACCCCTCGATAGAGGTATCTTTGAAGTTGGTGCTGTCCGCTCGAGACCAAGCCACGTCAGGACACGACGCGACACGTCAGGACACGATGCAACATGCGTAGGCTCTTCACGTCGCGCCAGCTTGTCTCGCTAGAAGGTCGAGCCTTCGGTGCGAAACATCCGCTGGGTTTCCAAACCCTCGAGCTACCTCTTTACGCCGTTCTAGGGTGCCTTAATCCCCTTTTCGGACGCAGTTGCTATATGCCTTGGTTCACTCTTGAAGTCGAAGTGTTTTGTTTGGGCCAAATGCATGAGTGTTTGACGTCACCTTTCTGTATCGACAGGGCAAATGGCGCTGCATTCTCCGTCCGAGAACTGGCAATAGTTCGAACTTTCCGATCGCGCCGCGCCCACGGCATGCTACTGGTCATGTTCATCCCCTGCTATCGCACGCAAGCAGCTTGAGCTGCGCAGCGTGTTGCGTGGGAGCGAACCGACAACCCTCAGCCAACTTCTCACTTGAATTTTCGACACCCCTCTCGACACACCTTTGGACATCAAGGCACAGTTCAAGCCACGGATCTATCGACCAGGTGTCTACGGCCTGCCCAAACTTGTGTGCTCAAACGCTTGCTCAAACTCTTGCTCATACACTTGCAGGCACGGTGCAGGTATTATGCTGTCGGAGCTCGTTGAAAAATCGTGAGTGTGTGGTGCGGAAACTTCCTTGGAATTTGCGGAAGCTATTGCTCAAGTTCTTGCAGACATGCTGCCGGAACTTGTTGAAAATCCGAAAGTGTATGGTGCGGAAACGTCCGCAGGGTTTGGCAGGAACTTTTCCAAAACGTCTTACAGGCATGGTGCTGGTATGCTGCCGGAACCTGTTGAAAACTGAGAAGTGTATGGTGCGGAAACGTACGCGGGGTTTGGCGTCAAACTCTTGCGGACATGCTGCAAGTCTGCCGTTGGAACCTTTACAAAAATCGTAAGGATATGGTGCAGAAACGCCCGCAGGTTGCCGTAAACCCGCGCTCAAACTCTTACAGAAACGCGGCCGATATGCTGCCGGAAGTTGTTGAAAATTCGTAAGGAGGTTTGCCGTAAATCCGCGCTCAAATATTTGCTCAACTCTTACGGAAATGGTGCTAGTATGCCGCCGGAACTCCTTGGAAATTCGTAGGGGTTTGCCGTAAATCCGCGCTCAAACTCTTAGAGACATGGTGCTGGTATGCCGCCGGAACTGCATGAAATTCGTAAGGGGGTTTGCCGTAAACCCGCGCTCAGATCCTTGCTCAAACCTTGCGGACATGGTGCTGGTATGCCGCCGGAACTCCTTGAAAATTTGTAAGGTATTGTGCCGTAAACCCGCGCTCAAATTCTTGCTCAAACTCTTACAAACATGCGGCTGGTAGGCCGCAGGAACTCCTTGAAAATTCGTGAGGGGGTAAGCCGTAAATCCGCGCTCAGAATCCTGCTTAACTCTTACAGACATGGTGTTGGTATGCCGCTGGAACTCCTGGAAATTTTACAAGGGGGTTTGCTGGACACCCGTGCTCAAGGTCTTTCTCAACTCTTACAGACATGGTGCTGGTATGCTGCTGAAAAACGTCAAAATAATCGTAAGGGTTTGGTGCGGAAACGTCCGCAGCCGGTTTGGCTCCTGAAGACCAGGTGCAAGAACTCCGGAAGACATGGTGCAAGTATGCTGCCGGAACCAGTTGAAAATCGTAAGGACATGGTACGGCAATGTCTGCGGGATTTGGCAGAAACTCTTGCTCAAACTCTTACAGACATGGTGCTGGTATGCTGCCGGAAATTGTTGAAAAAATTGTGAGTATATGGTGCGGAAACGTCCACGGGAAGTTTGGCGGAAATTCTAGCAACTCTCATAAGGATGCTAATTCTCATAAGGTACAACTCTCATGAGGATGGTGGGTCGGCCACTTGAATAACAAACAACACGCTCTATAATCTAGTATGGCTCCACGCACTCCCATCACCTTTGGCCTCCACATCTACAAAACACAGTCTGCTGCTCTTACTGCCGTGCGATCGGTATTGGAAGACCTTGGCAATTGCACCAGCGTCAAGCTCACCAACCCCATACATTTCCAATTCTTGACGAATCTGGTGAAGCGCCATCCTGAAGCACTCTCCAAGACACGTGGAATGGTCGACCTTGCCGTCAGACGCAGTATCATGAACTGGAGTGCGTGGGAGTTATATGTTTGTCTCGAAGACGGAAGAGAAGTAGATATCTCATGGCGATGCTCTATAACCGCTAAACCAAAGCCTTACTCAATCCTGATACGTGAGGCCGCAGAGTTGCCGTCCGTCTACACAGCAGACTGCGCAAGTGCCTGCATCGCGAATTGGGTCCATGCTGATGCGCTATGCATGAGATGTGGAGTCCTCGCTGGTATTGAAGCTCACCTCGAACATCATGGGACGTCGTTCTAGTCTATCGTGACTGAATTCTTGGCAAACACAACTGCTCCCACTTCCTTTGTCGACCATTACGTCCTCCACTCTGCCGCGTTTCTGCCTGGAGACGGTGCCTTCCAAGTAGCATGGCTCGACTTTCATGACGCTAGAGCAAAGTTCTGCGTGCTGTGCCCCAAGTACAACATGACGCTGGGCAAGAAGCCCAGTGATTACGACCCCATACCACCTGCGTCGTTGTTGGAAGGTGCCTTGCACCTTCTTAACAGTGCTAATACTCAACTCATTCCGATTGCACAAGTCGCCTAGGATCGGAGAGAATTGCAGCTTCGTCCGAGTTTGCTCCACTAGAGATTGCATGTTGCTTCTTTGGTCCCCTTCTGATATAAGGGTTCCAACATCTAGTTCTCCAAACATGCAGAACTCCACGCTTGGTGCAAAACTCTGCGTTATTTGCAATGTAACTGGTGCCGAGCTTGTCACCTTCTGCATTGAGCTCTCGACCTGCCTGCAATTTGCATATTCGCATCCCAGCCACCGCGCTCGAGCCTCTTCCAACTGCCTCCTGCTTCTCACTGGTCTGCCCCAGCTTCAGCCACAGGCTGTAGTACTTCTCGCCGCCTAGGTTCCTCAAAGTATTGCCAGATTCACCCAAGTTGCACGGTCATCCCACCGCTCTTGGCTCAGCATGTTCAACATCATAGCAGTGTTGTCTGACGGCCCTTCTCCTTGGATGCCACGACTCACCGCACGCGGTTCTGGCACTTTAGGAGCCGTGCTGCTCTTGTACATCTCAGCGAGCGCGGCTACAGTTGCATCATCCAGCTCTGGTAGCTCAGTGGACCACAACGGACGCACCCGCACCTTGTTGGTGCTTGGTGACACTATGATGATGCCGCTCGTACCGGTACGTGTCACCGTCTTCAGGTCTATGTCCAGCTTGGTATCGCCCTCCTTGAAGCAACGTGTGTGGTCCGTGATGTTCTGCTCATCAAACTCCTTGGACCGCTTTAAAAATTAGTGCCCGCCCTTGCGAGTCCTCTCCGTTGGCGCCGTCTTCAGCACGGGAAAGCGCTCCTCCCACACCTCCATCAAGGCCGCATCATCAAAGTCTATCACGGCTATCTCTTTCAGCAGGATACTCACCTCGTAATCGCCGTCAGACTTGATAACGTTAATGAACTTGTCTTGGCCCTTCCTCCAGTTGGACACGCCGTCCTTGTGCGGTAACATTGGCTTCTTCAGCGGCTCTTCCGGGGTTCCCAGAGAGCACGGCATCAGCATGTCCTCCGGGTACTTGTCCAGCAGGAAGTCCATCAGCTTGTACACGTTCTCAGCACGCTCGCTCACCACTTCCAGAGACTTCTTCCAGTCCGTTGCCGGACGTGTTGGACAGGGCGTGGCAGTTGTAGTTGGTTCGGCTGGGGAACTCTCTGACGTATTTCTTCACACGTACCGCCCTTGTTGTATTCACTGCTGTTGCTTTCACTGCTGTTGCCATGCTTGCTTGTAAGTGCCTGTCAGATATTCTTATGTCAAATTTAAGCGCACACGGCAAATGTGCTTTTCAATTCTATCGTATTCATTCTCTCCATGTACAATAAGTCTCAAGGCTCTCGAACCGCCCCACACATCATTTTGACCAGGAGCCATTGGGATTTGTTGCCTCTGGGATTTGTTGCCTCTTTTACGGTGGGGCAAAACCAGTACGCCATACGGGCTAAACTGTCCCTTAAGCTTGATGCGGCTTTGGACCTTCTGAGAAATCTTACGTTTGAGGACCTCAACTCATCTCAAAGAGGCATCCTTCGGCAACTCACTGCATCGCAAGAGAAGCTAAAGGGTGCCCAGAAAGCATACCGACCTACTCGAAATCAACACGACACGTTCCGTGAGAAACAACAGCAAGATGCACTGGCTGCTCGCCGAAAGCGACGCCAAAATGACCCGGCTTATCGAGAGTGGGAAAACCAGAAGAGGCGTGAGCGATATCTGCGTCAGAACAAGCTAAAACTCGCTGCTGCAACATCCATCGACCAACACTGATGCCACTCAAGTTCGTTAAGCTGGCATTACATAACTACACTTGAAAGCGTAAAAGCATGTCCGGCTAATATCAGCATACGTGGCGCAATCAGGTCTGATGAGATTATGATTCCCTAATCGCCAAGGGGATTTGTTAACCCTTGAGGCCCTTTTGCTTCCAGGTTTTGCCGAACCCTTGCAGTCTTGGTGCTAGTGTGATGCGGCAAATCTTTCAGAACCTCTTCCGGGAACTTGGTGGCGAACTTCTGCAAAAACGCTTATAACAAAGTACTCCGCGGCGTCGGGCAACTACAGCCCTACTCTTGTCAAAGCGTTGACGTCTACTCGGGGAAAGAGCATGCCTGCGCTAACGTTGTCACGGTGCATGTACGCCTTCAGCCACTTCCACTTATTTTGACCAGCTGTGGCTTTCAGGAAGTCCTCCACTATGAAGTATGGGGAGGTGTTGACCCCACAATCCACTGTGCTTGTTGAGCTCAGCAGAGGCTCTTGCTCTCACTGCCACCCCACTTGTTGCTAGCATTGTCAACGCTTTTCTCCTCGGAGCCGCTACCACTTCCATCGTCGTCCTCGTCGCTGGTAGAGGGACCAGCTTTGCACGTTTTGCAGCACGCTGTTGTGCCTGCGTGTGGGTTTGGCATCACCCCTCAATGCGTTGATTTCAGCCAGTTACTAAGCTAGGGAAGCGGTCTACCAACACGCAGGCCCCAAGCTTCCGTGCATAGAAGTGACAACAGCCAGGTCTGTCAGTGTCAAACAAAAGTCGAGCCAAGCTTTCCATCGTAAAAAGAGTGAATGGAAAATTTTTATTGTGTGGTCAAGCTGACTGCTGACCTGTTCGCCCTCCTTGTCCGGACAACCTGTGCTCCCCTCCTCCATGTCCCATATTAAAAAAGCTGCATTTCACTGCAAATATACTCAAGTCAGGTCTTCTTTCAGTTTGAAACGTACTACAACAACCAGACCCTGCGACTGGCAGAAAAAACTCTGTCCTTCATTGTTGATTGCGTGCTATTATTTAAACCCTTTGCTTGCCTGCTTGCTGATTATGTCACCATCGTCGGTCGCACCCTCAGCTCCCTCTACCAGTGCTGCCATTGTTGGCTGCACCAAAAGGCACGCAACAAGTTAACAATAGTGACCACAGCTGCTCCAGACGAACACGTCACTTAGCAACATAATTATCCAAAACTCGCCGTGTTTCCGTTACGAGTACATTTCTTGCAAGCACGCAGCTGGAACAATAATTTGGCTGCATACCAGTCCATTGAAAGCCACCCAAAGAATAGGGTGCACGGACGCTGGTCCCCAACCCTGGCGGGCTCAGCAGGTGCAGATACTGGACGACCGGGCCTCCGGTAAATGCAACAGACGTACTCTGAGAGAAACATAAGCAAAGCAGGTTTATTTGTCAAGTCAAGGGTGACATGCACAAGGAACTTGCAAGCAACTCAGGTCATATGTAAGCTGCCAGTCAAAAGTTCCTACCAAGCACTTGCCAGTGGCAACTAAGTGTACGAATGTGTGCGGGCAACGCCAGGCAAAAGCCACAACAATACTTCACAATTGCAGTACTGGTTGCAGTATTGACAAAATCCGATGGGAGGTTGGCAGGTGATGGTTCAAGTGGGGCTGCGTTGAACTGCCAGTGAGCAAGTTGTATTGTTTGCTAGCATAGCGGACACTAACCTGGTCATTGTCTTCCGCTTCCTCCTCACTGCACATAATGTCTTCGTCCTGCCCGCCGTTATTACTGTGTTGCAAATGGTCCGATACTTGAGCAGCATCAAATGCTGGCAGAAGGTCATTTTTCTGGTAGAGACAAACTATGGATAAGTTTGATGGCTGATCGTATAATACAAGCAGCTCAATATGCAACATGTTGCTTACCAGGTTGGCCTCGCTACGTTGGCTGCAAAACACTCTGCCGGGTTTGGTGTTGCGGTCAGAGGCTGACAGGAACGAAAAACAATTAAGAGACCGACTGATAGATAAGAACAGATACTTGCCCAAAACATGAGATGGGTAGCAAGGAAAGCTCTGAAGTGGATCCTCACGTCAATCTGTTCTTCACGGCAGTTATATGCTTGCTGAGTACCAGGAGCTTGTGGTGCGTCAATGCGGCCTGGCACAGGCGCAGGGTCATCGTGGCTTGCCGTAAGAGCTGCGGCTGCTCTCGCGGATAGAGCCTGCAAGTCAACTGATGCTGAGGAGTGCAAAACAGCAGGACCTTGTTGCTCTGTTCTTGCCAACATACCACTTTGCGCTCGCCTCTTCCTGATGCCCTTCCAAAGTCCCCAGTCTGGAAAGAAATCCCGTGCTTCCAGCCAGCGACCATACAAAAAACTCAAAAACCTCATAAAAATCTTCAATGGTCAACTGACCAGTGCTCTCCTTCTCCTTGAGTTCCTCAAAACAAGCCACCTTGCTTTTTCGAACCTCTCTGCAACACTAGCCAAGCCCTCTGCAACGGCACACACCTCTCGTAAATTTTTCACTGCAAGTTACAATCTCAAGTACAACGGCAAAGAGCGACAAACTTATGCCTTCTTGGGGCAGTTTCCCTTCAGCCCTCAACTCGGACTTTCTCTCAAGCACATCTAGATCTGTCCAATTATTTTCATAACTTACAAAGACGACGCCATTTTTGAACTCAAAGCATCTGGCATCCAATAAGTGTATGCTCGCTTTGCAATTACGGACCCAAAGGCAGCGGATGTGAAGTTGTTGCTTCCAAACATCATGGCCAAGTTGCTGTTGGCTTCCCTCACGGCTGCCTTTGCTGCGCTATTTGCCTCTGCAAATAAGCCCCATATGACACGGCAATACAGAGCATTAGGAACTTTTGTGCTCCTACAAGCTTACTCTGAGCATCGGTGTAGACTTGAAGAGGTTTTAGGAAACACCCTATTGTTACTGGAGGCAACTGGCAGACTAGAGAACACCAAAGAAGCAATCAAGACAAGTCATCTTCTCTAGTCTGCCAGTTGCCTCCAGTAACAATAGGGTGTTTCTTAAAATCTCTTCAAGCATTTCCGGCGACTCCATGTGGCAGGTAAAGTTCTACATACATGAACCAGTGTCAACAGATGCCCACGATATTGCTACAGATAATTTGAACGCAAGTCAAGGAAGAATGCCTTCGCGTGCCGTTGTCTTCCTTGTAGCTGACAACGCCGAGACTGGCAGACCGATTCATTAACAGCCCTCCGAACCCTGATTACACCGCGCTGAAAAGAGCATTACAGGTGCCTGAATAGGAGATTCTCGGACATTATCTATACCCATTACCAGACTGTAGTATTCCTTTAAGAAGTCAAATTCGTAACAACAGACGTTTATTTCAACAGCACAGAGCTCACCAGATCTTGTGACCGCCAAGAGAACGGCTTGTTTCCCGTCACAAGGCAGACCCTCAGTCTCGCTGCTTCTTTGTTCATTTTCCTGGATAACACGGCGGTGGTCCTCTCATATATTGTATGGGATCTCTTAAGTTGTTCGCATCAACGGTTTCGCTGCTCATAGTGGTCTATGGCACGGCAGGTAGTCTTCTTGCTCCTTTTTCGACCCTGAGCGTTTTAATTCATGCAGGATATCTCAAGCAAAACCTCCAAAGCTGCTGCTGACCTTTCCTTCGCGCAGTACGCGCTGCAAGACTGCGATGTGGCGAGAAAGGAAGCCAACCTGGCTATTGGTCTACAGTCCGCCTTGCATCAGATTTCTTTATGTGGCAAACCTTAGACCCGACGTGCCCCTTGGTTGATTGCATCAGCAACTACTTAGAAAGCGAGCACCAAGTCCCATTCCCAACAATATTAATTTTTGGCGACTCAGTGGACAGGTTTCTTATAGATGACTTCCACCAGGTAGTTGACGACAAGGTTGATATGCCGGAAGCTAAGAAGGTGGCACTGAAATCCAAGTTTACGCGCCACCACACTCCTGGCGTCAGCCTAGAGGGCCCCTACCATTTAAATGAAGTGTTGCCGAAGTCTCCCCAAATGGTCATTGATGAGGTAGGGGTGAATCTTGTCACCAAATACAGACACTGCTATGTTTCTTTGTTACACTTTAACATGGCCTTTGGCCCACCTCAGAAATGAACCCTTAAAATAGCAGCTTTTGAACTTCACCATCCGTCCTTTGAACGCTGTGCGGCAACGAGTCAGCTTAGCCACTCGACCAGGTGTTTACTCTTTACATACATCTAGAGTGCTTGAACCTTTGTGTTTTGTAGGCCAAGCGGAGCTTTGAGAGCTTGGCCCAGGTACCCGATGTCGTTGTGTTCAACGCCAACTTGTGGGATATTGGACGGCTCTGGGCATGGGATCGTGGAACGTTTTCTCACGACCATCTTGACGAGTCCTTCAGTAGAGACTGGCTGAGGAATGGATCGCATATCCTGCAGCTCATACAGGCGCGCCGACCTTGCAAGCGTCCTCTCTCTCCTCAGTTGGTTCGTCGTGACATCAAAACGGCACTGGAGATAATCGTGAGAGTTGAAATACCTTGGAAACTACTACGAGCATCTGGAAATCCAAGAAGAGCGTGAATCCTGCCCCCATCTGAGTCTTTGGGGCTCTCTGCGACTGAGGAGTGCATTTACTAGGGTCATAGGGGCAAATTTTCCAGGCCTCACCTGTCAGTACTGACAGTCAAGGCTCCTGAGCTGAGAGAGCTGAGCTCCTGATAGAAAGTTAGAGTTCAGGCTTGTTGGGTGTATATGCTGCTGTGTGCACTGCTTGTTCCGCATGGCTCTCACCTCGCCTGTCTATTTAGGGGCCCCGTCAGTTCTTATGGTACAAACATATATTACTGCCAATTATCTGTGTGCTTTTGCTGCAGGTATCTTTTGCTTCGAGTGTGCTGATCGCACACACAACCGCCCTGCCTGCGCTGGAGTCATGTGATACAGACAGACATGCTCAAGCACCAACTGGTCGACGCACACACGTAGTCCAGTTGAATGCATTGTTGCGAGAGTTGGTGCTACAGAATCCACGATGGCATCTGGTAGATGTGGAACTGCTAACTCTTCATTTTTGGCCTGTGGACAAATACTTGCGCGATACCCATCACCCTCTGCCGTTTGTGACAATGAACATGTTAAATGTATATTTGAATTTATATCTAGATTATGTATAATATATAGGAACGTCTTTCAGGGCAGGCAGCCCGTGCACAATACATATATTATGAATATAAGTAGTGTTATGTATGTAAGCAAGTGAGGTGATCGATGCACATCGGCAGAAGATTGGGAGGCTGGTGTCGCTTCTCATTGATACCCATCACGCACCCTCTGCCGTTTGTGACGAAAAATATGTTAAAGCTAGTCGGTGCCCGTGTAGTTAGCATGGCCGTGCAGAGGAGACAAAAGAATAAAGTGATGCATGACTGGAGCATCTTAGAGGCAGTCTCATGCGTTTGTTGGTCAGGTGAAGCGCCACAGAAAGGAGTTTTAATGTATTCAGTAGATGTGATTACATTGAATGGGGAACTGTCGTACAGGTGAACAATCTGCATGAGATGGGGTGTGAGGGATGCAAGGGTGTGTCATGCAGGCAGGCGGGGCTGATCAGGGTGGCGGTGTCAGCGGCGCTGGTGTATCACTTTGACCCCCAGGACAAATCAGGGTTGTGCATATGAGCGATGCGCCTCGCCATGGAGTGCTCTTTAGGAATCTCTGCCTTTGCAAGACAGCCTTGCTGGCAACCATGCACGCAAGTGCTGCCAGGCGCCGTGGAATCGGGCAGCTTTACTAGCCGTGCCTCCATAGCCTTGTTGCATGATCGTGATCCAATGGCATTGTGTGTGGAGAGCCAAGGAACAGTTTTGGGTGGAGTTGAGTTGGAGGGAGAGTCTTGGGCGGGCTTAGTAACTTATTAGTGATGCATGCTTCAGTACTTACTCACTTCAGCATTTTGGTGTCAAATTGTCTGTGTTGTATCTAGCCAACACTGTAACACCGCAGATGCTTACAGAACAAACACATCAACTCTCAATCTGCTTTGTATTCCCACTTGTCGCGCACAGGAAAAGCCGGTCTGTCAAGACCGAGGTTCCCCGATCGTCTTCTCGTCCCTGGCAGTTCCTAGCCTGAACCAGGCCCGGCATCCCCTAAAATTTCCCATCCTCGGGGATTCGCAGGTTCGGTGGATCTGGTATTTTGCAGGACCGGGGCGTCCCGGCACGTCCCAGCACCAGGGAATCCCGGGATTGCCCAGCGCCGAGCGCAGTCCCGGGGTTTCCTGTGTCGAATCGCACAGGAATCCGCAGCGACAGGGAATTTCCTAGCAAAACGCAGTGCTACATTCCCTGGTAAATCCTAGGTTCGAAAGCCTGTCGAGGGTCCCTACGTAACAAAAACAGAGTTGAACTCTTGCATCCACCCCCTTGCAAACTCCTTCGCAACATTGCCAAAATCAGCATTCATTATATCCCATCGACACCGTGGGTTATTTATGATTGTTTGATGGGATGTGTGAAGCAAATAAGCCTTATCGGTAGGTATGTTTGACTTCAAGTGTCCTCTATTACGTCCTTTAATGCGCCGTTTCAAAGTTTGAAGAAGACAGTAGGCCCCTTGTGTGCAATTCCACATGCTACTGTGGGCGCGCAATCACAAAGTTGGCCCAATAAACCAAAGCACCGGACTTGCCACCTCCCCAAAATCGTTCAGATAGCAAGCATATTGCTTGTGGCAGAATGTAGCACTCGGTCTTGTGGTCTTCTAGGTGCAACGCCACGTTCCACTCACACGTTTTCCGGCGTCTTGTGGCCCCCTACAATGATGCATTTCCAATCAAGGCACGTTCTCACATCGCTTATATGAAGTGTAAGAGCATTTCCTTCTTGGGTGCTTTTGTATGCAAAAGCTTCCACGGCCTCAGTGGTGCAGTAACTGCCCTGGTTGCACGTGACAAAGCAATTAAACTGTTTTGCACGACAGTGGTGAACTAAACAAGACCAATTGGGTTTCAAGACACCACAAGCTGAGCTACCGATATTCTTTTCTGGGCCCTCCCTTGAAGAAAGGTTCAGGAATGCTTAAGACTCTTTAGGGGAGATAGACGTAACCGATAGGCTTCCGCAACACATCTCTAAGTGTAAGTAGGCATTAAAGAAGGGAAAGGGATATTATTCTTCCGCTTTCTTTACTCTTAAGTCGTCTTAAGGAAGCATATCAGACACATCTTTACTTTTGAGAAGATGCAGTATGTTAAAGAGACTGTTTAAGAAAGTCCTAGATATTGATAAGACCATCTTATGGCGTTTAAGAGCCTTTAAAGTATAATTAAGGAAAGATGTTGTTATGCATGCGTGATGCCGACGGTGCTGAGCGTGTTGCCCAAATTTTCATTGACGATGTGATCAGGCATCCTGGCCTCCCAAGGAGCATTGTGTCGGACCGAGACAGTCGCTTCACAAGCAGATTCTGCCAGAATCATTCTGGCAATCTCTCTGCGACCGGCTGCAGATTGACAGACTGATGTCTACTGCTATTCACCCTGAGACTGATGGGCAGACTGAGCGTGCAGATCGTACCCTCATCGACTTGCTGCGGCACTGTGTGAACCCTTTGCATGAGATTGGGACGAGCACCTCACTGCAGCCGAGTTCGCCGCCAACACTGCCTGGCAAGAGAGCATTCGCATGTCGCCCATCATGCGGGCAGAATCCGCTGACGCCCTCCTCTCTTCGCATTCCTGGGGTTGAGAACCCCCCTGCGATGAAGGTGACGGAAGCGTTGCAAGAGCGGATGGCATGTGCCAAGCATTGGATGGAAAAAGCTCAGCAACGGCAGAAAGCCTATGCTGATCAGGGGCGCCGGCCTGCGTCGTTTGAGGTGAGACAGGACGTTCTCCTGATTACTGCCAATATCAACTTCAAAGGCCCGGGCGCTCCCAAGCTGATGCCTAAATGGATTGGCCCGTACAAGATTGTGCGCAAGATCCCAGGCAGTAAAGGGACAGCATATGAGCTGGAGGTCCCTTTTAATCTGCGGATTCACGACGCCTTTCATGTGAGCCTGCTCAAACCCTACCGGGCCGATGGACGGGTGCAACCCCCGCCACCTGAGCTGATAGTAGATGGTCAGATTGAGTATGAGGTCCAATCCATATTGGCACACCGCGAGCACAGAGTGGCCGCTCAAGCAAGAGGGAATACCTCATACAGCCTGTGTGGCGAGGCTATGACCAGAGTTATAATCCCTGGGAGCCAGAGAGCTGCCTCGCCAACTGCCAGCGTGTGCTGAAGCAGTATCTTGAGGCTCAGGGCTTGGCATGAGTCCAGCTCAAATGTCGCGTGTGCACACAGGGCTCATTGATTGAGTCTCCGCATATACCGTATATGCGTATATGTAGTACATTGTGGTATGACGGGTACGACAGGGTCGTTTCTGGATAATTTACAACCTATTGTCGGCCCGGGGCATTAGACAGCATGCATGTGGAATGTTTCTATCAGTGCTTTCTGGTCCAAAACTTGGATTCGAGAGGGTGCTGAGCCACACTCTTGTTCGGAGCGTCTGAACCTCAGACTGATCTACTGTACGTTCATACAGCGTTTGAAAGGTGCACTACAGGAGGGAATTCCCAGCTGAAGCTGGGTTTTAAAAGGGGAGTGGTGTAACAGATTACTATATATTACTAAGTAGTTTTTTGGGGGGCTTGCCACACTCAGTATCTGCTGGGCTCCGGGGTAGCCAATTAAGATTTGGGCACCTGTTGCTCAAACAGCCCTTTTTGAGTGGTTTGATTCGGAACTGGTTGTCACTCAAGACTCTCCAGAAGAGTATCGATATCGGTTCACAATGTTCTGCAAGCGCCTCTTAGGGTTCTCCATTTCCTATGTATTTGGGTTCACTAGTCGGTGGATGATTTCTCACAAGCGTTTCCGCATTGGTTCTCTTCTGCAATTGGACTTTCCTGAGCTACAACCGCTTCTTAGCATCTGCAGAGGACAAGGTGCATGCAGACTTATCTATGCCATCGCACAACACTTTCGCATGCAACTCCCTGAATGGAAGCTCCATGCCATTGAGCGATAAGCAAGCTTTGCATCCACCAGATACATGATAGCTTGCGCAGCGTAAGCGTCTGTCAGTACTTTATGCATGATTGTTGAGTCTTTTGGCAGCATCTGTAAAATGTATGGGAAGATTGGGTACGTGGGACCAAGCGCCTGTAACCGCACGTCCATGGACGACCCTGCAAAACAGCAAGCACCGACCACTGTCAAGCACAAAGCTTTTGCAACACACACTATGACAAAGGACCAAGTCGCATCTTCGTACCTGTTTCGCATTTTCGGGGTTTTGCGAGCCAGATACGACTCATTTACTATCTGGTTGCGACGCAGTTGCGCTCATTTGCAACTCAGATGCGACCTAAATGCGTCTTGCAAATCGTAACAAAAATGGGGGAATTGCGATGCAGATGCGATGTTTGAAAGTTGCTAGGTGATGGCACCTGAATCGTAATCCATGCTCGCAACCCGAGACCGCAGCAGCCGTGCGGCGAGACACGTGACCTCTCGGAATTTTGTCGAGGCATTTGGTAAATACTAGTGTCAGAAGCACGTGAATTAGCATGAAAGATCGAAATAGACGGAACACCTTGTACAAATTCGCTATTAGGCGTGCACAGAACCGCGCAAGATGGGGATGTCGCCTTCAGGAATGTGCTGTGTGGCTGAAGAACATCATGGCTTAAATGATTAAACTTCGAGACAGTAGATCAAGAAAGGTCCTTGGCTCGACTTGGCTCGAAGTGTTGGGACTTGTTGGGATTGCTCTCCGAGAGTCTGGCGGGGGTTGTGCCCGGTACCTAGAACCTACTCGCAAAATTCATAAGAGCTATTCAGGGTTTTGAGAATTCGTGGTTTTGAGAAACCCAGAAATTGCATTTGGCGCCTGGCGCAGGTTGTTAAGTTACTTATATTATTACTGGTCGCCAAACCTAAAGCTAGAGGCCATAGGCCGGCCATACCGTATGTAGTACACGCGGACTGGCAAGGCATCCATAGCGACATCTTCGGGGCCCACATAGTACCGAACTATGTGGGCCCCTAGTGTCTGCCACCCAGTGTTGTTGCGCATTAATCGCCTTTGAACAAGCTGCCCTTATTGGGCAAGACTCGCACACATATAAGATAGATTAGTTGAAAAGACAGGTAAGAATTTCCCGAAACTGGCAGAAATGTGTCGTCAATATACAAGTTGTCAACAATCTCCGAGGGTTGGCCCCGAAGATTTTTACAAGAACTTTTACAAGATGTAAAATAATTGCCCGATGAGCGTGTCTGTCGGAAGGGTTTCGGACGAGCTGCCACGTGTCGCCCTCATTCGAATTACAGGTCACAGTCGCGAAGTACTGAAATCTCGGCTCCGCCACTTGAAGCCGGTGTGCTCGTAAACACCACTTGGCAAGCACTATGCACTCCCTGTCACACTGGAGCAAGGGTTCAGGGTTTCTACATACCTGGCAAAGCTGGATCCAGCCAACAAAGCTGACAAACCTCAATAATGAGCCAAATCCGGCCATCCACATGACAACCCTTACACAGCTGCCAAAGCCTACAAAATGAACGTAGCTTACACACCTTACAAAGCTGCCAAAGCCTACAAAGCTGACAAAGCCGACACACCTGACAAAGCTTACCCACCTTACGAAGGATACAGAGCTGTCAAAGCTTACAAAGCTTTCACACCTGACAAACCTGACACACGTGACAAAGCTGCCAAAGCTGACAAAGCTGAATCGCCGGCCGCGCGTGCCGCCCCGTCCGCCCTACCCCAGGAGGACTGGAAGGAGTGGCTGGAATTTCAAAAATGGCCGGAGTAGGAGTGGCATGAGTACAATGAATGCCATGACATTGTCACCTATGTCAGCTGTACCACACTGTGAGGACTAGAGGGTCAAAATAACATGAAATTATGTCAGTACCACAGGATTATCATACTAGTTAGGGACCACAGTTATAATTTTATGATATTACCATGAAACCTGTGTGGTGCCAGTATGTTATCATAATAGCATGAAATTTCCACAATAGTCTTACGATTTAACCATAGATCATTCATGTCTTTTTTATGATGAGATCAAAGAAGAGAATTTAATGTGTCATCCAAAAATAACGTTCTTCTCATGCATAAGTGATGTATTTACATAGTCACCATCAAAGAATCCAGTGCTAAAAGCTATTCAATTTTTATGGCTTCCGGGCGTGATTAGCATTTGAAGTTATACCCTGTAACTGCCTACAAGTTAGTTGCATAGCAAGAAGTAGGCTTAGGCTTCTATCATCCAATGAAGCTCTGTCGCAGGCATGCATGCACATTGCTGGTGTTCACACCTGCCTCTAGTGCAGTCACGCTTTCAAGGTAGATTGATCGAGGAGATATCTGCAGCGGTCCCTCTCACACCCTACAACTCTGATGCAATTTATGCACCACTGCTGTACTGCACAACTTGTATGATTGTAGCACGATGTTTACTTGCTGCATATCCACCGGTGGGGCAACCCTTCCTCCAGCTTCTGGCGCTCACCTGCAGCTGTCTTGATGTCTCTTCTGATGTTTCCTAAATTGTATTGGGTCCTGACAAATTTGAAAACATGCTGGGATATCATCCTCAGGCAGGAACCTCAAGGTTCCTGCCTACAGCTCGGCAATCCCTAGCTACTTGGCTTTGCGCAGTATGATCCCCTGAGCATGCTGCGGCTCGAGACTCTCGTCCTCGCTTCTGATTCTGTGGATGCTTGAAGAGCTGCCTCTCAGGCTCTCTTGTTGCCGAATCCTGAGTGGACATCACCTGCTTCGTGCATATGCAAATGTATCAGTGTTTCAAGCTGCCCATGCATACACTTTGTGAACGCCTGTAGGCTCTCTGAGTCCTGCGCGGTACCCAAGAGAACTTTCTCTTGCAGTTGAGGCAATGCAGGCAAAGAGGCAAGATCAACTTGCACCTGATGCAATGCAGGCGTTGAGGTAAGATCAAACATGCCCAATGCAGTCTTTTGGGGTGCAAATGTGTGCCTGCTTGACAAGCACTACTCCTCAGCGTAAATCCCATCGTCAAAGGATGCATGGTGATTACTTTGCACATGACAGGCATCGTACCAGGAGGTCTGTGTCGGTGTAGACATCCAGCTGGAAGCCTGGGTCCACAAATGTCAGCCGTCTGGCCATAGGGTGCAGCACGCTTCACTTGTGACCTCCAAATCCCCTCCAAGCCTGCTCACTGCCCACGGCACTGTCAAGCGAGCCCAAAGGCATGCCTTTGGTCATGACCGCCCGGTTTAAATGGATTCGCCTCAGCCTGGGGCTATTATACTCTGGTCCTCACAGTTCTGACATACACCATTCCCCCTTTTCCAAGCCATATCTTATTTTCTTGATTGCTGATGGAGGTATGGGAGGCGTGATATTTCCTAATATGTCATCCCAGCTAATTTCCCGGGAGACCCCATCACCCACTCCTGGATGCTCGGATGCACGACGGCCTTTCTTCTGGTCTTATGGGACTGCGATGATTTTGGTGGTGCTTGGGGATCCTGGTCTTGCGTGGGTTGGCTGCTTCGGAAGGCTTTCAAAGTTTTTGCTATTTTCGGCAGTCGATTCCAGCAAAGCTTTCAATGTTTCGTGATTAGCTAAGACACATTCGTTGCGAGCTCTTTTGTAAGAGCATTGTGGAACGAGCAAGGGCCCTTGCATTTCAAATCGTGGTGTTGGGCACGCCGTTGATGTCGTGCCCACTGTATGGCCAAAATTGGAGTCTGGGCAGCCATGGGAACGTCATCGGGCAGGTCGATCTGTCGTGCTCCAGTAGTGCTGTATCCACTTTTCCTAAGACCTTGTGATTGTAAATATTTGGCCAGATGCAACCCAAGAAAATTGGCCAATCAGGAGATAATCCGACGAGTCATTGCAATTGCATGCAGGCCGGATGTGTGTGATCCCGGCAGACTGGCGCTTAAATGCTTTGAACTTCAAATTTTGAAGATTTGCGCATGCCCGCTGGAGCAGTGGTCGCCAACGTTGTAAGGCTACCTAGAGATAAGCAGTGGTGGGTACTTAAAAAGAGAAATTTAATTGCACTGTGGCAGGCTCAATTGAGCAAGAGCTTGGCACTGAGATCTAAATCGTGCTTGCTGGGCCACCTCCTGTCTCAGGGCTCAGGCTGTGAACGTAGCCTACATGCCAATGCAGTGCATATTGCCCCATGAACTGTCTATCATGGTATTGATCTGCACACTATGCTGATATCATGATGTGATGACAATATTTTAACATTCATGCAGATATCATAGAAATTTCATGATACTGCAACCCTGTTGTCCTCACAGTGACCAGCTTTGCCAGGTTTGTAAGGTAAACCATTTAGCATGTTTGTAAGGTTTGCCAGCTTTGTCAGGTTTGTAAGGTTTGACAGGTTTGTACAGCTTTGTCACCTTTGTCACCTTTTTCTATTTGTCAGGTTGGTAAGCTTTGTCATGCCGATGGCCAGGTTTGGCTCATTATTGAGGTTTGTCAGCTTTGTATGGCTAGATCCAGCTTCGCCAGATTTGTAGACCCTGAATCCTTGCTCCACTTTGAATCCCTCCGGGGTGTGACCGCCAGGGGCATACGGGTGACTAGGGTGTACGGTTGCCAAAATAGGACTTTCCTGCCATTTGTGCTTTTGCTGTCAGGACGCCGAGCTGCACGAAGCAGCTCCGACTTATTATGAATCTCAGACATTGTGTCCACGTTTAGGAGTGACTCACAGAGATAAGATGATGAATACGCGTTTTCCATTATGAATGCATGATGCATTACGAATGCGTGTGGCTCTAGCACGAGAACCCGGATAGTTGCTTCACTTTTAATCTTGAGGTGAGACTCGAGTGTAAGGTCCCTTCGTTTCCCAAGCATTTTCACAGCAGAAATCCTGTTGCAACCAAGTTTAAAACCTCTTCCACTGAGCGCCTAAATAGAAGCCGTACGTGCCACTCCACGCGTACGCCATTGTTGGTTTCGGAGATCGATCTACGACCTCTACCTGTGAAGTGGAGCCTAACTTCAAGCCTTACGACAAATATGGGAAGAATGACGAAGGTATAGCACTTTGAAGCCGCTTTTGAGACAAAAACACCAAAAACACCGACCGGACGGATTATTGCGAGTTCATCTTACGAAGCACATCGTTGAGGCATAGCGGCGCGTTTGAGGACTCAAAGACTTGAATTCGCTGAGCAGAGAACGTCACTCGCATCGACTTCGACGAGGACTTCGCCTTCAAGGCTTTGTTGGACTATTCGAGTGAGGAGGATTCGGAGCCATCCGCGCATCTTGACCCTCAAGGCCGCCACCTCAAGCGTGTTCGCACTTCGATCGCCGCTGCCAAGCCTTCCAGCCCGCTTGTGGAGTCTACTTGCGAGCCCAAGCCGCGCGAGGAGCCGCCTTCATGGAGTCCTTCTCGTTCTAGGCGCCCATCAACCGTCAAGCGCCCGGCATCCCGTGTCTACGTGCCCAACGTTCCTATCGTCAAGTCCCAGCCGGCCGCTCACTCTCGACTGTTTGAGCGCTCTCCACGCCGTCGCTACGCCTCAAGCCAGCCGCTCAAGCGCGCTCTTGAGCGATATCAACCCAAGCCGCTCAACGGACCGGTCAATCCCAAGGATGTCTTCCGCTCCAAGCTCATCGACGTGAGCATCCAACGCTTCCAACGGACGCACTTGGACACCCACCGGCAAATCCAAAGGTCGGTGGAGAGGAAGGCCAACGTCGCCTCGGTCTCCTTGAAGAACTTTGAGGAGCAAATTGGAGACATAGTTGTCACGTGTGGGCAACTTGTGGAGATCGTAGGAGGAGTTTTTGGCAAGCTCACGGAGTTCACTCAACTCCTAGCCGGCCAAGTTGTGCGCTACAAGGAGGTGCAAAAGGCCGCGGAGGAAGCAAGCAAGGACATCGACGGTATTGGGAGAGGCCGCTACACCGAGATCAAGGCCGCGGAGCTCAAGATTAACGAGGCCACGGAGCACTTGGGCATTGAAATGCACAACTTTGCTGATAAGGCATACGAGTTTGGCAAGATCAACGGTGCCAAGAAGGCCAAGGGCGTTTGAAGGACAAGTCATATTGCTAGATTGGACTTGAGCAAGGAGCAATTGGAATTGTGATCGGACGATCGGACTGTGAATAAGTGGAAGGAGAAGCACACTTGTAACGACTATTGGTGGAGCACTTCTCAATAATCAATAAATAGTATTTCGAAAGCATTCGGAGCTGTACTATACAAGTCCACATAGCTACAGGACAGAACGGTCACGGAACGCCGCAGAACGCACCTGCCGCTTCCGCGAAACGCCCCCGACCGGCTGCCCAGTTCATGGCACGCCACAGAACAGGTTGCGATACCTGCCAACGCCGCTGTTCGACTGCAAAGCCTGCCGAAACGCCGCAGAACTGTTCCGACAACAGCAGCACGCCGCTGTACGGTCTCGGAATTCTGTAACTAGCGGTTACACGACGATCGACGATCTCAGGCTACCGTTTTAACTTCACCGCGACGTGCTACAAATTTATTCTACGACGTGAAAGACCTCGACTGACAGTTTATGCGAACTAGAGAACAAGCAAGACAAGCAGCCCGACGTGCAACGATGCCAAACGAACCCAATCCCTATGGGGATGCTGGCCAACAGCCACCTGAGGCTCCCTTGGACCTTCGCGAATCCTTGGCCACACTCACCAACGTGGTGACACAGCTCGCCAGCGCCCATTGCAGCAGCTGCAAGGCGACCAACTCAACAACGCATTGACCTTGCTCGTTCAGCGCATTGGCCTGCCACAACCCAAGGAGACCTACCCCGTCTTATTCACGGGAAAGCAGGCCGAGAATGGAGCAGAATGGCTGATAGCTCAGTGAGCAAGTATGAGTATCTTGCGGTGGAGAACCGCTGGCTCACAGACAGCCACAAGATCCGTTCCATCGGCAAGTATCTTAAGGAGGCAGCTTGGAACTGGTACTGCACTGACATCCGTCCCCGGCTGGAGGACATCACTTGGGACGAACTCAAGCCTAAATTCCTTGCGCGCTACAGCCTCACTACCGACCAAGCGCTGCAGAGGGCTTTCAACAGGTCCCAAAAGGAGCAAAATCCCTTTGGCCTCTATGCACCTGCACACAAAGCCAGATACTCTCAGGGTGTAACACAGAATCCAAACCCTCAACCTCAGGAACAAGTGCTAGTTCGACAAGAAAGCCTACACCCCCCTTTGACCGGCCTACACGAGATCGGCCAAACCAATGAAAACCTGGCACATCTATATGAGAAGAGACATGCTCATAAGACTCTTGCACTGCGACTATGTGCAAGCCCCTCGTGAACAACATGCACCCTATCTCCTGCTGTTTACATGCACGGTTTAAGCCCTCAATATTCCATGTGCCTGTGGACAAGTGAGGGCGGGATGCAGAGGAGGGAGGAGGGCGCAGGGGTAAGTGGCGCTGTTGCTGTAGTGGCTGGCGGACAAGTCTGGGGTCCCGCGGCGGCACAAACTCCACACTCCGGTGCAAAACGCAACGCCAACAATATGCCTTCCTCAAAGCCCGGGAGACCAGCACCACGCCATGCACAGCCAGGATGGCCGAAACGTCGCGCGGTAGCGACAAGTGCACCGTGGTCTTTTTCCTGCGCAGCACACCAGCACCAAGCCCTGCCCGGCCAAGACCAGTGAGACATAAACGAATTTGCAAAACATCAAGGCTCTGCTGCACCCCAAACAAAATCACATGCACCCGAAAAGTGTCCCCAAATGCAAGGTATCTCTCCCGCAGCTGAGCTGGGGAGAGATGCAAGTCACAAAGCAGGTGTGGAGGCACAGCACAGCTTGGCATGGTATTGGCACAATCCCGTCCCCGCAAACCATTCACTGGCCCTTCTAGAAGCAGCTACCAACGGGCGAGAGCTCAACAGAGTGCGGGGCTTTAAGGAAGGCACGTCATGAATGCCATCTTGCCTGTGCTGAAGTGATGCAGAAATGCGTCCATCATTAGGCCTAGGGCCAGCACTAGAACGCGGGTGCACACCCTTCTTGTGCCGGGCTAGGTGCCGCCCCCTGAGATAAGCGATCGTCATATTGGTTGGTTGGTAGATGAGCCCCTCTCGGGGTTGCTGAGTGTGAGTGCCAATTAGCCTCTAGAGATCTCCTGCAAAGTAATCTGTATGAAGCCCCTACATCGCTTCAGAGTACTATGCATCTTGCACCCTTTTGATGACACTCAGCCACCTGCATGCACACCCTCGAGTAAGCTCTGAATATTTTCTAGTACTTACATACAACATGTAGCAGCAATTCAGGGGCGAAAACCTAGGGCACAAATGCAGGGCAAGAGTCAGAAGCCTGTCTGCAGATGGGAACTGTCATGTGACAGAACGAAGTGATAAGGTCCCCTGGCAAATTCAAGTGCAGCTGCACTCCAATTTCTCCCTCTTAAACCTCCGTCGTTGGCAAGCTGCATTTGCCTCTAAAGGTGTGGGACCTGGAGTGCACTCTTGTTGCCAATGGGCTCCTGTACACAGTGCTCAAGACACAGGCAAGCTCACCGCACGCTTCAGGGCCTCGGTACAGAATTAAAACAAATTCTTACACATATAAAGCACTGCGAGTAGTTTGGAACAAGCATGAACAAGACGTAAGAAGCCAACGGTCAGAATTGCTTACCTTGCTCAAATAACACTCAGAGAGCCTCGTAGCCTCTGATACCTCTGTCAAAGTACTAAAAAAACATGCAGAATGTCAAAGTACTAAAAAAACATGCAGACATTCTGCGGAATGGAAAACGACGGCACACTAGCTGTGTATCGTGGGCCAAACTTACCTGACAGCCAGATGGCCGAAACCAAGACCTGTCCTTTTACCTGCGGCCCACCTGTTACCCATTCGCAATCCTAAGGGCTTATGTAGTCCATTACATTCCACAGTCCACATTCCACCATGCTTATGACTTGTGCCTCTCAAGGACTCGTATACGCTCCAAGTTCCTGTGATCCAAGTTAATGTCAATGTATAAGTCCCAGTTATATGCAGGGGACATGCAGCGTGCACGAGGAAGCATCCGAGTACTTGCCCCTTAATGGAAGCAGGATGGCATGATCAGCCATTCGCCGCCATGTAAGCAAGCCCTGGAGCGCCGCTGGGCCATCCTCCCCCATCCTATAGGCGCCGGCAACATACGCGCATCTGTGAGGGCCCTATCCTGCTGTGGGTCATGTTGTGCATCTGCTAGGTTACTGCACTTTCTAATGTTAGTCGCATATGATGACAGCAGTGAGTCGGCGGTGATGGTGAACAACCAGCAGCGGTTTTCACACTAAAGAGAACAAGTGCCGTACACCACTTGCCCAAGGGCGGCATTACATGATAATACATGTCTATTTATTTATGCCTGTTGGTGGAAGGGACCTCCACCTGCGGCTTGCATGCGGGTGGCTGCAGGCTTCAATATGCTGACCTAAGCTGTGCCACTGCAGTCAGCTGACACTTCAATTTCACCTGAGCATGGATTAGGCTTTGCTTAAAAAGCCTTGTTATTGCTGTGCATGCTTCGGGGACGCGGTGGCTGCAGCATGCATAACATGCGGAACGCGTGATTGCACAATCACTGCCCTGTCATAGATGTCAACCATAGGCGTATGACCAGAACACCGACATCCTCATACATGGTCCCACCTGGTCTTCAAATGAAAGCACTCTGTGCACTGGGCTCCTGTAGGCGCCTCAACGACACCGCAGCCTCACCGCCGCACCTGTGTGATATTGGTTTTAGAATTTTTTAGATCTCCAGCATTTACCCCACCCTCAGGAAACCGCAGACGACCTAGCCTTGTATTTTCCTGGAAAAGGGGCTAGCGCTGGAAAATCCTGGGCTGCCCGGCACAAGGAATTCCCATATTTGCTCTTGATGCTGGGAAATCCTAGGAGCCCCTGACCGCAGAAATTGTTGGGATGTGCTGCCGCTGAGCAATTCTGAGCATGGTCAGACTGGGAATTCCTGGAAGTAAGCATCACGACAGGACTTCTCATGCTTGAATGGCCCAAGATTTTCTGGTTCCCGTCGCCTGCCAGCAGTGCTCGGAAAGCCGCAATCGTAAGTCCCCCCAGGAGGCTACAGAAAATCCGAATCAATTGAATTCTACTGCCTCTTTTTTTCGTTCACTTTTTCATCTATTTTTGCACAGTGGTGTGCTCGCAGCATGCAGTAGACAACTACACATTTCCAGGAATTCCTGGATTTAAGTCGAGCCCAGGAATTCCCAGGAGAATACAGTGGTAGGATTTTGCAGAAGTAGGAGAAAAGCCCGGGAATTCCCAGGGCTGGGTTGCCCCAGGGAGTCCCGGGGCCAAGCGGAACATTTGCGATTTTCCAGGGACGGTCAATATCCCTGAGCTCCCAAAGCAAAGACTGTGACTGGACTGGACTGGAGACAGTGACTGGAACGCGGGTGCACACCCTTAAGGAAGCTTCTTGTGCCGGGCTAGGTGCCGCCCCCTGAGATAAGCGAACGTCATATTGGTTGGTTGGTAGATGACTCATGGCTCGGAGCCCCTCTCGGGGTTGCTGAGTGTGAGTGCCAATTAGCTTCTCCTGCAAAGTACTCTGTATGAAGCCCCTACATCGCTTCAGTGTACTATGCATCTTGCACTCAAATGATGACACTCAGCCACCTGCATGAACACCCTCGAGTAAGCTCTGAATATTAACCAGTACTTACATACAACGTGTAGCAGCAATTCAGGGGCGAGAACGCAGGGCGAAAATGCAGGACAAGAGTCAGAAGCCTGTCTGCAGATGGGAACTGCCATATGACAGAACGAAGTGATACGGTCCCCTGGCAAAAAGCACTCGTGTAAGAAGGGGTGTAGACCTGTAGGCTGCAAGGGGTATATTTGCGAGTTGACAAGGCTGCAAGTCTGTGCATATCAACCCTGGGCTCCGGTTGCAGACGGACCTGTGTATGCCCTATGGCCCTCTGGGCTCTGGGTTCGCCACTCATCATTTTTGAGAACCATTTTTACTCCGTAAAAAATGTATACTGCGGGATTTGGAAAGTTGGGGATGAGCTTCGCCCTAAATTCCATGGTTTTCACAATCTCGGACGATTTGCTGGGAAGAATGGCCGCAAAGCGTATCTGCACAGGGTCGTTATTAAGGGTACTCAATTCGTATAACCACCGGTTTTTTTTCCGGCTGAGACCATCATCATCATCATCATCATCATCATCATCATCATCATCATCATCATCATCATCATCATCATCATCATCATCATCATCATCATCATCATCATCATCATCATCATCATCATCATCATCATCATCATCATCATCATCATCATCATCATCATCATCATCATCATCATCATCATCATCATCATCATCATCATTGTTTATATTATAAAAGGCTCCCGGATCCGGAGCAAGCTAATAGCGCTATCAGCTTGCTGGCATTTGATGCGTGACACCTGATCGCGGAGTAACCGTTACGTGATGATGACGATGTGGACAGACTTCTTAGAAGCTGCCATGTCTTAACACCGATTGAATGGCTATAATAACTGTACATTATATTAATCCTCAAAACGTCATCTCACATCTCTAGGACCGCACACCGGCCATCAACTCTTTGAAAGCGATCATAAGTGCCCCATGGCATCACTGTAAACCATGTATGCACACTCCAGACCCGGGCATCGCTGCTACAGTACCCTACACTCAGTCAAACGCACCACATGCCACATTGTGCCGGTCTCTGCACTGGAGACACAAGCGCAGCCTCAAGGCCCTCACCCAGCCTCTAAGCCTGAATGCCACACAGCAAATCTCAATGGGCGTCCCTGTCCCATCACCACCAACGCATACACTGTGTGCGTTGCTCCCATAATGAGGCGACGCAAGGTGTGTAAAGATATACTATAGTATACATGGGTATATATAATTATACGGGACTCCTGATGAGCATTGCATTGCTTCTCCACGTTGGTGTTTCACCCTCCGGAGGGATCCCCTTAAGGGGCTTTAGGAAGCTTCTGTTGGTGGCAAACACCTGAACTTGCACTGCCTGGCTACCCTGAGATACCTGCCTTTGATCTGCCAACTTCAGCTTTAGGCTTTAACTTAAGCCTTTAAGGAATTTACTCAACCCGCAGCACGGGTACCGCACCGCATGACGCTATTAATGCCCCTGGAAACTGGGGCTGAAGTGATGACTAACGGGAACTCGCTTTCTGATCAGCACCGATGCTCCAGTGGAAGCTGTAAGGTGCAAGCAAACCTACACGTGTAAAGCTAAACTGCAAATCTGGAAATGCCAGCTTCAAACAAAGCTTATCCCAAGGCAATTCGATAAGGTGGTTCATTTAAAGCAATTTACAACGCGAAAGTGGCGATGAGAGACTTCGGTGAGCTTACCTTATCGCCGCCACTGCAATCGTCTTAATTTGTGCATTAATATTTTGCATTTATACACATGTTTAAGTAGAAAGGAAAAAATTATACTTATAGTTGACCCGTAGGATGGAAGCTAACCTTGACGGGCTTCATCATTTTGGCGGCGTGGACAAGCGTAATCGTGGCGACAGGTCCACTTCATTCTCGAAAGAAAGCTCTATCACTATGCGTGGACGAAGGGAGAACGCGCACGATCCGTTCATGGAATAATGTAACAATCCCGGTGTGCGATCCAAACGTTTGTGACAAGCGCGGTCGTTCAATGGACCCTAGCGCACATTTTTTCAGCAGGGCAGCGCCCAGAGTAGCCTCGGATCGGGTACATCGGCTTTTGGGTGTCATCGAACACGCTGAAGGTTGGATGATGCCAGAGCATGTGCTCTATGTCTTCCTACTGACATCGAGGCAACACGAAAAAGGAATCTATGGTTGCGTTGCTGAAATAGGTGTGCATCACGGAAAATTTTGGTTGTCTATTTCCGGATTTGCCGACAAGAAGGAGCCTGTAGTGGCCATTGATCTCTTTCACAATCAAGTGTCCAACTTTGATCACTCTGGTTATGGTTCCAAAGAACTTTTCTTAGCGAACGCAGAAAAGGCTTTGGGCTTGGGCGAGGACGACATCCATATCGTGACAGCTGATTCTTCTGCTTTATTTGCAAGCAATTTTAGTGCTCTAGGCCTCCACGATTTTCGATTCTTTTCTGTGGATGGTGGTCACTCCCTTGAGAACACTCTCCGTGACCTAACTTTAGCGAGTTGTTTGCTTGTTGATGGGGGGATCTTGGTTGTAGATGACTTCATCAATCTGGATTGGTTGGGTGTTCCTACTGCCGTTTTTAATTGGATCCCTGAACAAATACGGGTTGCGCCGTTCCTGTGGGCGTACAATAAGTTGTATTTCACGACCATCTCCCATCATTCAGCGTATCTTAGTATGGTGAAGGCTTGGAACTCGGATGTGCTCACTTGTCGCCATCAATCACATAAGTCTCGTGAAAGCATTGGTGCATACGAAATATGTGTCAGTGTCAAGGTTACTAGCATTGGTTTCAATGAGACAAAAGGTGCAATATTGGCTATGATGGAAAATTCGGCACGTTCTATTGCCTAAAAGCCGCGTGCTGATTTGGCAACTAGATGTGGACTGGCGACATAGGGACCTTGACTGCAAAGCTTGCAAAGAAAGCCAACCAAAGGATTAGCTCGCTGGTCTCGCTGAATTGTGTGGCATATATGAGGATATATTGGGCCCCGGCTGACAGGGGGCGGTACACATACTGAGCACCGTGCCCACGGTCGATTGGGTCTTGCTTGGATCTGGCGAGTCCAACAAGGGGTAGGATTGTGGCAGCCTTAAACTGCAGCTCGTCTGCAGGACGTACCTTGCTTTTTGGCAGGAAAAACGTGTAACACTAACAGTAATAATATGAGAATATAGAAGATTTGCAAATCAATTGTCCCTGTTTGGCAATATATCAGCAGTATTGCCAGCAACATCACTGCTGGCAGCAATGCAATTGTCAATGACCACACCAAGGTGGTGATAGGGTACGTATACACTGTAAGTGGTGGGTTTCCGCACGTTTTGGTACGCTTTGCATACGTTTGGAACGCTGTAAATATCTGATATTACGTGGAGATACGTACGAAATACGTTATGGTGCGGAATCAAAACGTATGGTAACTTATTATATGTACTTACAGCCGCTGTGGCAAATTGTCATGAAAATTTGCTTGGACTTCATTTATTACTATTATTACACGCTTTTCCTGCCGAAGTCAAGGTGCGTCTGCTGACAAGCTGCATGCAAAGGCTGCCGAATTCCTACCCCTTGGTGGACTCGCCAGATTCAAGCAAGACCCAATCAATCGTGGGCACGATGCTCAGTATTTGTACCGCCTGTCACTGTGCAGCCTACGCCTTGCGCGTAGGCTGCACAGTGTCTGCGTCTGAGAATGCCGATGCGATCTGAAGGCGCAAATCCTGCTCACTGAGTCCGTGCTGCTGTCTGCACCCCTGGGCCTCCTTTGCTGCCTGCCGTCTGCGCATGAGGACTGCTGAATTGAATCTCATCTGCTGCCACTGCAGGAGAACGCAGAGCATGAAGTACGTCCGAATTCCTCCCCATATGGGCAGGTGCGTCTTCAGCCAGCTGTGCCATTTCTCATTGATGCTGGTTCCTTGTATCAGATCCAAATGCTGCGTCGTCGCCCACAGTGCCGCAAGGACCACTGGCTTGTTAATGAGCTCTATTGCTTTCAAAACAGCGGGTGTCGCAACTCCAGCTGCCTGCAGCCCACATTCAAAAATGAGCCAGTGGCAAGGAAACCTAGAGATCCTGCCCCTATATGGCCAACGCAATCAATCCACTAATAGCCAGTAGTACCCCGATAACAGGGTGGTCCTACGAGACAAAAGGCCTTCTAGGACCGAAGTTTCCTAGTAATAGGAAACGGTCAATCAGACGACCTGGGTGGACAGCGAACCTGTGATCCGATCTGAGTCAGAAGCAACAGACAAAAAAAATATTCCTAAAGCTTTCTTAAGAAAAGAAATAGCACGCCTCCACGGGCTTCAAGTCAAGGAACTCGTCAAGCAAATATGGGCACACGCATGTTACCGGCCGGAAAAGGTGGGGCGACGGTTCGGGCGACGGTCAGTCTCCATGGTGGGCGTCGCTTGACCAAGAAATACTGCAAATCGTTTGTCAACTGAAAATCACCTTTGCACCATCTTGAGCCTCGCAAACGCTCCTTATATGTTCTAAATCATCCCTGTGCCATTCTCCAGAGATTATTGGCCCCGATATGGCTTTGTTCGAAAGGTGATGGGGTCGCTCCCGGGATGATGAAAACACGGGCAGGCAACAGCCGTTCTCATAACGCAGACAGCAATCGTAGCACTGATATTCAAATAAATTCTTTGGGGGGTTTGGTGGAGGCCTACGCAGTAGATCAATTCAGCTAACCTCCCGCTAACAAGGCCAGGCCAGCATATCAAGAGCCTGGGTCTGTTAGCGATGATTTCCTCGAGTCACCTGAACAGCCTCTGCCAGAATATGACTAAGATGCATCGGAATGGGACCGAGGGGGCGGGGCGAGTGAGAGTGACTCCTCAAATGAGGAAGAGGATGAGGCCCTTTCTGAGTGAGTGCAATTCCTTTCAAGTTTGCTGCCACTACTTTAAAATACCCGTTTAATCGAAAATATCAGTCTGATCACATCTGGTGGCATCTTGTGGCGGTCGCAGGGACAAGCAGCAAAGAAGACGTCAAATTGCCTTCACAAAGGAAGGGAGAAAATCCATCAACAGGCAACTTATCAAAAGAGGATCAACGTAGGTCCTGATTGGGGAACAGTTGCCCAGCCTCCTGTGCCTCCAATTGCTGTGGCCTGTTCGGCCTTCCTTGCATTAAACTCAACTCTACTTCACTTTTCATTCACGTTTTTGCCAACCTGAGTCTAGGTTGCTCACGCAGGACACCTTGCTCGATCTTGGGCTTTTCACAGGCACCACAAAACCTGACTACACCGGTTGATCTCTGCGCAAGGGTGATCCAGGCGTTGGGTGAACACCAGAGGGTGCGTTTTGGAGAGCCTCGTGCACACATGCTCCTGTCAATGCTGCTCTGCCCTCAAGGAGCCTTCAGAGAGCATACAGATTTCCTTTGCTTCTGCTGGTGACTGCATGGCACTTTGTTGGTTCTGCTCCAAGTCCAGCCTGGAAGGTGCTGGGCAGGTGCTGGTGCTGAGGTGGCAGGTGCAGGTGCTGAGAAGGTGCTGGGCAATCGGTACCAGAGTTTTTGAATGGAACAGCTAGACCTGCCATATGTGGAGCTGCCAAAGCATCCTACATACGAACGGGTCATGGACATCGCTAAGAAACTGGCGCATGCGCGAGGGTAACATCTCACAAGCTTTCCTGCTGGTAACTTCTGCCAAAGATCTGCTGTGTTTGTGACTCTGCTGTGCGCATGTCACAATCTATCTCATGGCAGTGGCGGGTGCTGTGCAGTTAGCTCCCAAAAGCATGAGCTACACCGCAGCAGAATACACTTGGGTGAACGACAAGCTCATGCGAAAGGGGACATTCAAGGCACAGCGCAAACAGTGAGTCCCACAGCAACTTGCATCTAAACTGAATGAGAAGCCAACCTTTGATTGTCCTTCTTACTATGAGGTTAGGAGGTGGACACTTTGCAGGGCGACACTGACCATGCGTCACCAAGGCTGCGGGCGAAGTGATGACGACAGGAAGTTCATGGTGTCATCCTTCCAGTCTCCAATGATCCGCACAGGTCTTGGGCCTGGGGTTGTATAGGTCTTCTTGCTGCTTCGGATGGGTGGTAACACTCAGGCGGTAAGACACTTTCAGTTCTAGTCCATCAGCTGTTTTGAAGTGTATATTGCAGACAGCATATTGCAGACAGCTCTCCGTCGATGTGGATTTCATTTTGAGTCTTGCCAAGAGTATAGCTGTGATTTGCAGGATGGCAATGTGAACTACATGGGGTACCTCAGAAACCTGGACGCTCTCCTTTGCCCACGAGGCGCACTGTCCCGAGAAGCTGCCATCAGATAGCACTTCAAGGAGAGCTTCCCAGACCCTGTCACGAACATGGCTGGGTTCCGAACCCAACCCAGAACGGTTCTTGGCCATGGTCCTCCATTGGGCAGGCGCGACGGAGGTTCATACCACATATGACGACCAAGCCAAGGAGTTCAAGCGGCTGTGGATCGACAGCAACGTGATCATCGGCAAAGTCATGCATGCCATGCGGCATGCATGCGCTATCTGGCTTGATGAGATGGGGTGAGACCTTCATACCAAATGCTATGTTACATAAAATGTCTTGGAAGTCTAGGATATCGTGCCAAGTACCAAAGGATGTTCACCAAGACAGAGTTCTGGCTGCAGGTTGTCGGATGATGCCATCATGTCCATTGGGAAATGGATGTGTGACAAACACACGACCACTACCTCATGCGCATCAAGCCGGCCGCTTTGCTTGGGGCTGCGGGGGTGGAAACCGCAGGAGACTCAACAGTCTCCTTCAAGTCCTCCTTCTTCGAGCCGCGCTTCCTGGTGCCCATCAGCAACTCTCATAAGCAGGCGTACTTCCCGTGGCTGATTGCTTGAAAAAGCCGAGGACTATGTGCGTGCTTCCTTTACAAAATTCTCTTCTGCCTGTATGACGTACCACAGCTCAGGGGACTTCTTGGCAAGCAATGAAAATTGCTCGAGCCCCCTTTGACCTGCTGGCTGAGGTGGGCATCCAGGATGCGTTGGAACTGATCGACACCTACCCAAGCCACCACCGTGACGCAGCAGCGTCAGGGATGTGTTAACAATGAAAGGAGAGAGCCCATCAACAGGATTCGACCCAACCTCGAACCCACCATTGATGAAAATCCTTGTCAATGGAAGAAAGCCTGCGGCCACTGCCTCGAAGGGAGAGTCGAAGGGAACTTCCCTTTGAAAGGCTAGGCCGCAGGCCTTCACCAGCGCTATAAACGCTATAAACACTGCAATCCTCGTGTACTGGCCTGGGGATGACCTGACAGGAGCACACGTCCTGCTCAAGTCTCCCGACGGCTGGCAGCTGGGTTTCGAAGCCATAGTGGCGACGCTGCAGCTGAAATACCCTGACTACGTTGTGACGGAGGCTGAAGTCAGTAGCCACCTCAGGCTGAGCGGGTGAGAGCAGCTTGCCTTTTCGTTTCACGTCGCAATATTTTCTTGAAAGCTTTGTTGCAATGCTATGACGGTGGCAGGAGTAACTAATACGCCAGATCGTGTAGGAGACTGTCCAACGAACGCAACCGAATGCTGGACAAGCACAAGAAAGCAGTGAGGGTTTCTGAGACCGGCGAACAGTCAGCAGCCCCAACTTCAAGCGCAGCACCGTCGGACAAATGTGTCAGCGTGGCGAAGGCTGCTATCAAGGCCCACAAGCCCTGTACGGCGAGGCTATGAAGGATGGGTCTGTGCCAGATGACATCGCATATGACACGGGCGCAGTTGATGGATCAAGACATATTCCAGATGAATGTTGTGAGTGTTAACAAAGTTGGCAAGTGCCATGTCTGGACCAGGAGAGAGGCTACATGTACTTGTGAGATGCATGCCATGCCCAGACTGAGCAACTATTGATATATTGCGAGTCGCTTACAACGCTGTATCTTGCGCGCAGCCCTTCTCCAGGAGGCTGCAGAGTTGCAGAGCAGCAAGATGCGCCTTCAATCTGCCTGTTTCTCGTGGCCAGGAGTTCCAGACCCTGAAGCTCAACTACCACACGAGTCTGATTTAGGTGTAGTATATTATCTGCCCCTCTCTTCCTGTTTAAAGGCTATATTGAGGAGGAGAGCTCCATGAGGAAACCATCTTTCTTGTATAACCATTAGTTGGAACCCATTTAATAAGAAGAGGGCAGGCAACACAAGCCCGTGGGCTAATCTATATATCCCAATGACTCTGGATTTACTTGCTTGGTGCCTTCAGGGGCTGGAGCGGCTGCGGCCAAGGACTATGGCGCAACAGCTTGCAGAGATGAGTGATCAGCTTGCAAGCATGCACCGCCTCTTGCAAGCGCATTTCTCCACTCAGGTCAGCAGACTCTCAAACTGTCCTGGCATTGAACGCATGCACACTCCACATGGCTAGGTCACCAACCCGTGAGCCTCGTTTGCTGTCAGGGGGTTTACTCCAGGATTGGCACAGTCTGCACTTCTCAAGGCATGTGAAAAGTCACATATGCAATTGCTGCCCAGGATTTGCACAATCTGCACTTCTCAGTGCGTGTCAAGATTGACATCGGGATGTTGCTGCATGTTCATTCTTGAAAGCATTATTGTCTTTACTTCGAAAAGGTGTGCCTGTCAATCATTGGCAGCTTGCCGGCGCTACCGCCAGCGTCAGCGTCAGCAGCCTTACAGCAGCCAGCACCCGCTGCCCTTGTGGACGCGCATTTTGCAGCAGCCATCATGACCTCAGCTACACAGACTGCAGGGCAGGGCAGGAGCGCAGGGTCCGCAGGCGCAGTGCCTCATGCCACCGCCACCTCCACGTCGGCAGACTGCTGCCCAGGCGGCTGCCGCAGCTCAGCAGCAGGCGGTGTCTGCAATCATGGATGCTGCGGCTGTCACGCGAGCGGCAACGCCAGATCCTGCTGAGGAGCCTGCCCCCAGCTCCTCTGTCAAGAGTGCGGTCTTCAAGAAACTCCAATCCGTCGAGGAGGTCAGCCGTTTCCTCTGCGCATATATTGAATCTGCGGTGCTGATACGTACATGCTGCAAAGTGTCCATGTACCCGGTCTGATTACTCAGTCAGTGTGGAGGCGCTCACTTTGTCAATTTGTGCACTGCAGGCTTGGATCGAATATTCGGGTGACATCAATGGGAGGGGCTTGAATGGCCTGCCGCCAATCTGCGCCAGGGAGGCTGCCGGCAGCAAGTGGCGCACTGATGACCCCAAGCAATTTTTAGTATTAATGAGCAAGACACATAAAAACGCATTCGGCACTTTCTGGCATTGCCCTCAATTTTGTACGACCACTGCACACCTAAGTGGCTTATCAAAGATAAGGCTGAAAGGCTCTCACTATAGTATCGATGTAAACGTTGAACAGCAATGGGGCATTCACATCTCCTTGTTTAAAACCTGTGGCTACACTAAATCAATTCTCTGCTCTGCCTCAGTCTGACTGCATAGCACAACTTGTGCCCAAATGCTTTTCAATCAGATCAACAACTTTGCCTGGTGCCCCTCTGCTTCTCAGAATCAAACTCGAGTATCATACATAACACACTAGGTCAACATAACCATGGTACGATACCAGCCATCGACTCAGCAATTCATACGCACACTAGCTGGATCATTAAATGTACATGTGACATGTCAACAAGAACGGAAAATGGCTCATTAGAGCATTGGCCTTGGGCACCTTCAGCTCCCTGCTTTGGCAAGTGCAGACGAGTATATTGCTCATTGCTGCTGCACAAGGCCTTGTGGGAGGATCAAGCACATATATACAAAGGACTTGGGGCCGAGATCCGACCAGTGTTGTGGGCCAGATTTGAGCTAGGTGTCCATTTTTGTGCATGCATGGGCCCAAGGCATGCTTCCATGGAAACACATAGTATCGCCTTGCGCAAATCTAGTGGCCAACTCTGTGTCAAGCCTTGTCGGAGGTTCAAGCACACATATACAAAGGATTTGGGGGCCAAGAACCCATCAATGTTGCGGGCCAAATTTGAGCTGGGTGCCCCTCTGGACCTTAAGTGCAAGTTGCACGCTGCCTGATAAGTTATGCGATTTGTTCCAAACAGTGTTTCGCAAGCACAGCTGATCAAGTCAGGTGTGCTCTAAGTCTTGAACACCTAGTCCTATGTTTCTGCTCCTGCCTTGCATCTCTTGCTGTGCCTTTGCGGAAATATCCTGAGAGCCTTGCTATTTGCTTTGCAGGCGAGACGCGCTTCGGTACCAATTCCTTCCTGTTGCAGCGGCTGCTCACTGTCAAGGATTCTCTGGAAGCCCTGCTTGCTGACCCAGACTGGAAGAAGTGGGCATCTGCTCCAGAGTACGCTGCAGCTGCCAAAGCTGCCAAGAAGACTGTCTTCAACAATGAATTCTGGCAGACTGCAGAGGAGTTGCACGCTGTCTCTATGTGCGTTCCTCTTCATATCATTGTATATTTGCACTGCATCTAATACTGTGAAAATACAGCTGCGGCCGCCGCTAAACAGTGCCCAGTCTATCTACAGAAAATGATCCGCTGCTCAATGCATGCAGGCCCATCCTAAACTTCCTGCGGCTCTGCGATGGCGATCAGCCGTGCTTGGGGAAAGTCTACCAGCACTCGCAGGACTGTGTCAAGGTGGTGGAGGGGTTAAGCATGCCTGCTGCCAGGAAGACGGAGCTGCTGGCCGTGTGCAAGAAGCGCCAGCGGATGCTGCTCAACCCCCTCCACAAAGCGGCCTTCACTGTCGATACAGAGTACTGGGACACAAATCTGTCTGAGGAAGATGCCGAGCTGGAAGATCCTGACGATCCAGACAGCGCCAAGACGGTGAGTGCACCTGCCACAGAGACACCTTGAGTGAGAGCCTCAATAGAATCTTGTACTCCAACATGGTGTGTTTGGCAGTGGCATCAGACAAAATTAGACAGTGATACACAAGCATGTCGCACAATCTGCCCAAATCTGTGCATCCACTAATTAGTGTCACTGTGGCACTGCAGCCGCTGGACCACTTCTACGATGTGGTGGAGTGGTGGTACCCTGACGCCCCGGCCAAGCAGGCAGCCGCAGCCAAGCAGATGGGGGCATTCAGGAACAAGGAGGGGGCAGCATGGAACAGGGGGATTGTGCAGTCATGCGCAAAGGAGATGCCTGCTTACCACTGGGCCAGTGGTGGCAGCAGTTTGGCGGCCATGCTCCTGAGCTCCAGTGGATCGCTGTGCGGCTGCTCAGCCAGATCAGCTCAGCTTGCGCGTGCAAGCGCAATTGGAGCACCTTTGATTTCATACACAGCGCAAGGAGGAATTAGCTGTATGTGAACATAGCCTACAAGCTTGTCTACATCTTCAGCAACTTGCGGCTGCTTGACAAGCAAAGTGCAGACGACTACCACGAGAAGTTCCCAGCCTGAAGGGACTTGGGGCTTGGATGCCGAGAGTGAGGGGGCAGAGGATGGGCTGTCAGAGGGCAGTGCCGAGGAAGGGCCAGAAGGCAGCCAACAGGAAGAAGCAGAGAGCAGCTACAACAGCGAATAAGAACAAGCAGGGTAACAGCAGCAGCAAGTCCTAGCAGCTTCAGTGTAATGAAATGGCCCAAAAGCCTGCTGCTCGCATTTTATCGCATTCTATGCCCCCCAAAATAACATGCTATAAAATGCTAGCATTCAATTATATCTCGCATGTTTTGCATTTTCGCATGCGGTGACCCTGGTCTGTTCAACATTTACTTCTTTTACCCGTAACTCGCTTGGTGCACCTTACCCTACTTTTGTGACTGCACTTGTCACTGCTGTTCAGGAGAGGGACCCCGCTCAGTGGCCCTCTCATCCAGGACACGGCTTGGATTGTACAACCGTGTCAATGAGGGTGCAGGTTTGAAGGAGTACTTGCGCCGGCACATTGATGGGCACAGGGCAGTACAGATCAGATTTCACTTTCGATCCGGTACCTCCATGCTTGCACACCACCGCCCTGACTTCACCCGCGTTCATGTTCATGACGAGGACGCGGAAGACTGCCCTACCTGTAACCAGGCGAATGCGGTGGAGGATGTGCCTCATGTCTCGTTTGTCTGCCCAGCTTGCCATCCTTTGAGAAGGCCGCCTCTTTTCTGAGAGACAACTTCATGTATGCTGTCCCTGCCCGGTTGTCTGCAATCCACCGCCTTGTGGACAGTTTTTCTAGTGGACCTTGTGTCTCACAGGACCTCTTTGATGGCTGCTCAGTGATTGGACCTGTTTGTGTGCCATTTTGTGAACAATATTGCTGAATGCCCTGTGTTTTGACCAACACCCGCAATTGTTGCGTGATGACATGATTGACCGGCTGCACGGAAGTGGCTGCAGACGCTATGTATGCCCTATGGCCTCTGGCTTTGGGTTCGCCGACCTTGCAATAAAAAATAACTCAAGCATGATGCTTGCACCAGAGGTGGAGAGTGCATGAGGGATAAGGTGGAATTGAATTAAACAAATGTGTCAATGCATAGGCATGAAGGGGTAGAGGTGCCACCAGTGTGCCAATAGTGTTAGGTGGAGATGAGGAATGTATGAAACGAAGGGTGAAGTTGTGAGGCGAAGAAATGAAGTGAATGAAACGAATGAAGGTATGCGTGAAGGGGTCGAGGTGTGAGGTGAATAAATGAAATGAATGAAAAGTGACGTGTGAGGGGGTGGAGGTGTGAGGCGAACAGATGACATGCATGAAGAGTGAGAAGGGAACTTGAAGATTTCTGAAATGAAGGAAGAGGGATGAATGAAAAGTGTAGGTGTCTGAAAGAATTGAATGAAGGGGGATGGATGAAGAGTGCAGGAGATTATTCATTCATTTCTCTTCATGATTGGGAATGAAGGCGATGAAAAGAATGAACGCCATGAAATGAAGCCTAGTCTTTCCGATTCATGCTAAACAAAGCGCACCAGCTGCCGCATGATGCTCGGAAGCTGCAATCTTGATGTGCCCTGTCCAAGCTAAGTATCTCGGCCTGCGTGTGCAGACCCCTCTCTGCGCATTAAGATGGGTCAAATCAACATTCTTGCTCTCACAGCAAGGGCGACACGTCGCGTGCACCAGGATAACCACCGGTGCTTGCTTTTGAAAGCCTTGCCGAGTTACCATTCGCGCTTCCAATACACCACACACTGAAGACCCAAGGGCGCTGGAGATTACACGACATCTGAAATTCCAGTTTGAAAGGTGTCGCTGCTTCACGCAGAACACAAGCGAACGGCTTTTGTAAGCACACCCTCCATTGTTACATTTTGAGCTGTCGCTGCTTGTGGTCCTGCACCTCGCTCAAGCAGTGCACCACGTGGCCACAGAGCTAGGTTAGATACCTGATGTATGAGTCATGTATGCGTCGAATGCACTGGAGCAACCGCTTCGCAGCACTGGGATTTCAGTAAAGGCTTCAATGCTAAGAGGCCTGTCTTTGACTTTCAGCCAATTGGCAAAGAGGTCCTCGTGAATGCAAAGTCTGTCTGCACGGCAACGATTGTCTGGCCCAGTGGGCTTCGTATCTGACTGGTCTTGTGTGTCAAGATGTGAGAATAGATTCACGAACACTGCACCACTGGCACTGCCTGGCAAGAGAGTTTGAAAGGTGTTCCGCCAAATTTGGACTTCTGCCAGAAGTCTTCTGGGCCGTCTGGACTGCCCACTGGCCCAATGGGACTCGGACTTGTGTATGTAGTGCATATTCACAGTCTGAGGACCGCCAATATAGGTGGTGAGGACCCGTCTGAGGACCCGTCGTTCTATGACGCGGGTCCTCAAGTTGCGATATGCGTTCGCTAATGTGGCGACACAAATAATTGATAGATCTTCCTCAAAACATCTTCGTTTTGAGAGCTACGAAGCTAGAATCGTTCTATACTTACATCTACGATGCAGGTGCAGAGCAGCTCGCTTTACGTGTACATCCGTGACTCTATATCTCCCAGAAAGTTCAAGCAGTACGAACACAATCCCCTTGCACCGGGAACAGTCGCAGGCCGGACTACTCCCTTAGATCGATTGAATATATATGTTTATTGTGTTCGGAGCTTTCAGAAGCTTTCGAAATGGTCCGTTCCTTGCGCTAATACATTCCGACCTGCGGCCGTCGGCTGCCGTTGTCTAGTCCAGTCACCTCCGTTGTGCTTCAGGACTACGGCACGGGTTCTCACATTCAAAATATGTTCTTCTATCTGTCCTGGAGAGTCTTCACTGAAGGTTGGGCCCGGAAAGCGGAGATGATGCACTTTCACACCGGTACTATAGGTAGTACCGTACACGGGTGACCGGTAGTGGTGTACCATATTCATGCACGTTTACCATTTGTGCGCACATCTGGCAGATACACAAGGCTTGATCAATGGAGCTGATCATAATAGACCACCAGGCTGAATCCATGACTTCCAGGTGTAGCGCGTATCTACCCCCAAGAGCTATGCATATGCGGGGTTGGATGTGTTTCTCGCTGGCATGCCAGCACTTGAGACATTCTAATGATGTTCAACAAAGCTCTGGGACTCCATGACGTTTCAAAGACATATACATCACATCCTCCACAAGATACTACATTGTAGTCATGACTTTATGCCATAAGTTTGAACCGTCATTAAAGCACACTAATAACACAGTTTAAACTACGAAACTAAAATTTTATGACCGTCATAGTGCGTGACGCCAGAGTCCTCACAGTGCGTGCCACGGTTGATTGAGATTTGCTTGGATCTGGCGAGTCCAATAACGGGCAGGATTGTAGCAGCCTTGACATTATTGCAGCTTATTTGCAAGACGCACTTTGCCTTATGGCGAGAACAGCATGTGGTATATTTAAATATATTTAAATATATTAATGTATACTATACATAGTATGATGAGTGAGTGATAGGCTGCAGACTACTGAAGGCCCCGCAGATGTGGCTGCAGACGCCCTGCGTGTATGCCCTATGGCCTCTGGCTTTGGGTTTGCCGACCTGTAATAACAGTAATAATTAATGGGGTATATTAATGGGCCATGATACTATCATGGCCCACTAGTAGTCATATATACTATCACATGGCATGGCATGGCCCGGCTGGCAGGGGGCTGTACAAATACTGAGCAACATCATGGGCATGCCTCACTAAATCTAGAGTATCGTGAATTTGCCCAAAGTTGAAGAGGATGTCAAATGACAAATTCCCCCAGGGCCCATTAATAATGTGGAAGGCGTGCATGCACATCAATGCCAGCTAAGCTCATATGCACTCCAATCACAGCCGCATACGCTTAGCTTAAATTGACGCAGCCATGCGAACACCAAAAAAATGAAGAAAACAGAGGACCTACAGAAATCGAACCCGCGACCTTTCGAATACAGCACAAGACACACTTCTGCCACCCCCAAACGCAGTCGACATTCTACAGCTCTTGAAATTCGCTGACAATTGTCGGTTTTGCAATCCAGATATACCACACAAACAACACAACCCAATACTGCCGATGCAAGCATTTTTATCTTAGCGAAGCACAGACACTCCGCCGAAAAGATTGAAAGTGAATATTTGTAAGAAAATCAGGATGTTGCATTCGAAGTCTTGCAAATGTGTCGCACATGCCGCATTGGGGGACTCCACAGAGGCCTCTTGGTTGTGAAAATGCATAAGAAGGGTGTGTGCATAATTTGATACCATACATGAATACCATATTGCTTGGATCTGCCGAGTCCAACAAGGGGTAGGAATGTGGCAGCCTTTAACTGCAGCTTGTCTGCAGGACGTACCTTGCCTTTTGGCAGGAAAAGCGTGCAATAATAATAATAATGATAATAATAACAATGAATAACATGTCACACAGTGTGTATTTTACGTAGAGGGCTCCTTGCGTGCATTCATGGCTGGCCTATCCGAGCTTGGAAACACGCGTGGCTCCGGGCTGATATGATCACGTGTCCTTGAGCAAACAAGGCATTCCATGTGCTTCCTTCTCGATGCCAAGTCTACATGCGCATCATGTTGAGCCGCAACCACGCCCCCATGCAATGGTGTCAATTGACATCTGGGTCAACTTTTCGTAAAATGACGGATAGTGAACTTTAGTGACGTGATGCCCACGGTTGATAGGCCCTAGCTGGGCCTTCCGGGCCGGGTCTAGCATGGATCTACCAAGTCAGCGAAGGGGTGGAAGTAAGGCGTACAGCTTGTTTCCGACGCACCTTGCCTCCTGGCAGGAAAGGCGTGTGATGATAATAAGAATTAAAAATACAACCAAGACTGTTTTGTAGATAAAAGATACCTTCCGCACTATATATGCCATTGTGATGACTGGTCCAGTGCCGGGAAGTGGGTAAGCAAATGCTCTTATTTTCATCAGCAAGGACATTGCTTGAAAAAAGAGAGTGTTTTCAGTATTGAAAAATGCGTCAAATTATTGATATAAATATTATCCACTATGTTGGGTACTTAGTAAGTAAGCAACAAAGTGGATAATGTTTATAGTAGTAGTAGTAGTCCCCGATTTCCGCCCACAAGGCCATGCATGGCTACTAGCAGATGGCATATGAGGGAGTAGATTTAAAGCTACTGAAACTACTAATTTCTTTCTTAAGCTTACTTGATTGAAGTGCATTCTGTAAAGGTGCTTTATGCCAAGGTTAATGAACTCTCAGACTTTATAACCGGTACATAATCCTGCAGGTTTAAAAACTATCTGCCATGCATCCATTAAAACATACTATACTTCAGTAAATTATACTGTAGTGCAGCTGTGACTCCCGACTGCACACCGTGTGACTTATAAGGAAGTAATGAATATTCAGTGTTAGCATCGATCACACATCAATCATCACTCAAGGCTAGAGTTTGCTTGGCATCCTGAAAACATTTTCCACATGTATCCGAGAAAATTCCCAGTGCTTTTTCGAGTAATTGTTTCGTAGATGACGAAACTGGCCAATTCGTAGCAAAAGCCTTTCTTCAGGATAATAAGGTACAACATTTGATGTTTGGAAGCCAGGAGGCACATCGACAAGAAGCAAGCCACCATTACACCGTTCAGCATATCCCCAGGACACATTCTTTACCTCCAATAAATTGCTCCTTGATCCACCAAGGATGCTTGATGTAACGATGTATTCGTTCATGGGATGCCAGCCACATCCCCATGAATGGAAGGCTCATCTCAGATTCGTGCATGCGTTACAGAGTCTGTAACGCATGCACGAATCTGGCTTAGTGTCCCTTAAGAAAGACCTAAATTCGACTTGTCATGTCACATACCGTCTGTGTTTTGGCATCCCGAGAAATCCCGGGGTGTGCTCCTGTGACTGGGAAAGCACACTCTTCGCTACCGATTCTGGGAAGTCCCGAGCGCGATTGTGCCTGGAAAATCCCGAGCCCAAGCATATCCCCTGCTTGTACAGATTTGCTGACTTTTGTGGATAGTCTCAGTGCTGCACCATGGCCTGGTCAATCAACGTGTAGCAGGAATACCTGCCATAGAAATGCTTAGTACAACAAATCACACTGTAAAAAACGCATGCGCTGCCTCTTCCCTCAGAGCATCCATGCACTTATCATGATCACCTGGTTTGCAGTGGCTCAGAACCTGCTGAGGTGCAGGGGCCCTTTTTGGGTGCACATCTTGGCGTACCCAAGGCACTTCACATGCGCAGGGGGCTTCAATAATAAGCCCGTACCTTCTACACACACCCTTTATCAATCCGCGTCCTAGCTGTGCTGTGCTTCTCATGACAGCAGCGCATGCTTGGCCAGAGATTTCCCCGGGCCAGCCAGGGCTCACATGCACCTGCAGGCTTGTGCACCTGCTGAACACATCTGGAGGCACAAACTTGATGCCACCAGCGGCAATTGGAGCCAACCAGGGGGTGATACAATCACAGTGTTGTACATATAGAAGTCAAGTCCGCTGCCTGGATCACAGGTATAAAGCTATACACCAGCCTGAATGAGGCCCTCCAAGCAAGCTGACAAATCAAGCCACTTGGATCTATCGATACAGTTCATGTCAGTGATGCACTGCCACAGCGGCAAGAATTGCGCAATAGCTTTGCGCGTCTGCTGCCTTTTAACGGAGATAAGGGCGCCTGGCACTCAGGCAGCAATACACAGCTGCCCTGCATAGTGCAGCCCTTCAAGGGCTGTCAAGGGCAAAGTTTGGCAGCACTTGAGACCCTCCTGAAGCCCCCTGCTGATTTTCACGTCTCACACCTCGTCTATGGTGGAACTTGTAACAGCATCAAATCCGCCCAAGGTCTGATCTGCGCACTCTGCAACCGGCCTGCACACAGGATTCTCAAAAAGCAGGTTGATTGGAAGGGCACCAGAATTTGTGTTGCCAAATCATGCCGTGTTGGCACAGCCACCATCACTGGCTCAGGTGCAGCATTCTTGAGCTGACACGTAAAGGCTTGCGTAACCAGATTTCAATCATTGAATGTTTCTTCTTCTTGATTGGGATCACTTTCTGTACGCATGCACATTCAGCCTTGCACCACATTCCTCTGCGCAGAAACTACATTTTCGGCTCTCACCTGAGAAAGTCGTGGGTAGAAACTGCCAAGCTTCCATGGGCAGAGTTTCTAACGACGAGATAGAACGAGGGACACAGGACCTGTTAAAGGGCGTGACAAGGACAGGGGACTCTTTAGCACCTGCGCATTGTACAATCGCCCCCATGGCCCTAAACTTATTTCATCATGCACCGATTGCGATCCGGCAAATGCCTACACCGCGAAAGATGTGTCCATTAGCGACTTGTCGACATATCAGTGTAAGCCCTTCCCGCAGCATTTGCTGCCCCGAAAACGGCCAATCTGCACTATAGCGACCCTCATATTTTCTTTAGCAGTATTCGACTCATATGATAAGTCGAAGATGCACAGCCGACGGTGTCAAAGCCAGCCATTGCTCTTTGCCAGTGTCCACAAGGCCTGGCCTGTTGTTTTCACCAGGTTCCAATGTGCAGAATCGACCGATTATGCTTTAAATTGAAGCAGGCCACCTCGCCACGACTTGGAGCGACCGCGTCGTTAGAAGAAGTACTGCACATCTTTCAGCATTTTGAGACCGTCAGGCAAATGAACATGTGCTGCTTCAGTCGTGCCCTGAAAAGGCATATGCCTGTGAATGATGCAAATACATGCCATCTCGATGAGCGCCGAGGACGCAGGTAGAAATAGACGTTCACTGCAGATGCTTCCAAGGGGCCAACTTCACCAAGGGCCTGTTCACTGCGCCAGCTTGGCGGTAACGTTACCCGGAACCCAACAAGATTTTTCGGGAGAAGAGTCACGACCCGTGGAGGAACACTAGGTTTTGCAGAGTCTGCCCTACATGAATATGTCCTTGGAGATGAGAACATGCATCGTATAACTCGAACAAAGGACACCGACGGTTTCTTCGAGAAGGGCCGTGATTAGAGCCTGCCCACTTCTGTCATCCTGCAAAATTGGATAGTAGAGAAAGAAAAAGCGAGAGAAGGCACACAGCGCCCAATCTTCAGCGATGAAGAACACACTGCAAAGAGATCTCCGAATAGTGGTCGCTGGGTTTGAGAATGAAACGCAAACCACCCGGTCGACCCTGCCGACTGTAGCTAGTTAGCCCTTAGCAGATTATCGAAGCTCATTTGGGATGTATAGCAGTCCTAACGCATCAAAAAACTCTTTTATTTTGTTCATAGGGCTTGTTGTACTGTATGTCACGTTGAATTCGCTTCTTAACCTAACGAACAAACGGGTTCTTTCCAGCAGCATCGGTTACGGGTTTACATTCCCATTAGCTTTGACTTGTTGCCACATGGGTTTCATTTTTCTTGCGTTAATTCCGCATATGATCAGCGATACTATGCGAGGGACACACCGCGAGAAGCAGTGGAAAGGCTTGATCGCCACTGGCGTGGTTACTAACATAGTATGGCCGCTAACATCGCCTTCAATAACAGCAGCCTTGTCAATATGAGCTTGTCACTCAACCAGATTATAACGTGCGCCCTGATCACTGCAAGCGTCCCTGCAGCGTGCCACCTCACGACAGGCACGTTCGAGTTGTGGAGATCGACCAAGAAAGGTGGACTGCGCTTGGGTGTGCAATGCATTCGCACGCATCTCCACCAAATTTTTTGCAAATCAACGCGCTGCTATGCAGGGCTTCAATTCCAGTGATGACTGCGACCGTGGCAGTCGCCGTGGAGCGTCAAGTGCCTGGCAGGGGTGAGGCAGCAGGACTCGTGGTGTTGACAGGAGGCGTCATGCTTTCGGTGAGCTTTTCAGCTATTATGCATGACCCAATGCTATGCATCGCGCATGCTAGCAGTCACACACCAGGTGCAGCATGCCCTAATCACGTCTGTCCGGTTCGTTTTGAAAGAGAAAAAATGGTGATAAACGGAACTACGCACACAGCTGAAATCATGCCAGGACCTCGCCTGTGACCGGCAAGCATTCAAGCATTGTGTTTGAGTCAGGGCTTGACCCTCCAAAGAGAAGTCCTTGGGGTTGGGCCAAGTATTCTGGGTAATAAGATGCACCTCTCACCATCCCAGAGCTAATCTCCAAAAGTCAATGCGCGGACCTGCTAGGCACAGGGAAAATTTCTGTGAAGTCCCACGTACGCTAGAAACTAAGCCGATATTACATCCCCACACATACCGCGAGGCAGTCTTTCTCCTTTCTTGGTGCTCGCTCTGCCTTGTATGTCTTCCCTCCATTCTTGCCGTGATTCCCCTGAGGCGCCTACCATGCTGTCTGACAGGTGTACGAAGGCACGGGTTGTGGGCAGCCCGTCCGCACTCCTGTGCTGCATTGCTGGCACAGCATGCAGCGGCGCAATGATGTCATTCTCGGGGCGGCTGCTGAGTGAGAAGCTGGAAGTGCTTCGGTTGGCCTTCTGCACTGCGTTCATGTCCCTCTGCATCTTGCTGCCAGTCTTCTTCATCTTTTTTGGTACCTAACATTCCACTGCTCCCAATGCCCTGACAGAGACACAGTCCACGTAGTGCGCACCTGCTTTGCACAGACGCAACAAGGGTGCTGCTAGAAGAAAAGGTGCTACTCTAGAGATCTCCAAACAGCAGTGCGTGCCCCTCATGGCCAGCAATGTGCTCATTGGTGAGATTTAGGTGATAAAGGTTCTGAAGACAATGCTAGCACAGTCGCCATGTGCATATGCTGGACAAATAGGTAATCCCAGGCCTGGAATGGCATGCTCTGCATACCATGTTTCCACATCCGAACAGGAAGACACACACATGCAGCAGCACACAGAGGAGACTGCAGCTCAAAATGAACGATGCCAATAGCAGTATTCTAAAGCAATTCATCCGTGCGCGCAGGCATCGCGAGTGCAGCTTTTCCTGGTGGTCAAGGGCCACGGCGTCTATGTAATGGTGCTCCTTAGCAGCACTCTGGCATTGTGCTACAACATTGTTATTGTTATTATTATTATTACACGCTTTTCCTGCCGAAGGCAAGGTGCGTCTGCAGACAAGCTGCATGTAAAGGCTGCCAAATTCCTACCCCTTGTTGGACTCGCCAGATCCAAGCAAGACCCAATCAACCGTGTGCACAACATTGTGCACTACCTACTAGTAATTAGAGTTATAACAAGAGGTCGCGACCAATCGATCGATTCCACTTTTACTGTGTATTGTATTTTCTTGGGGCGTCATAGTGTCACATTACGGTGCAAGGCACGTTCCTGCCAGGAAGACTCCTGAAGAAGCGGGCGGCCCCCGGGCTGGTGTGCCTGGCCCGGCCCGGCCGCGGCACTGTGTGACACCGGGTTCAATCTGAACCTTGAAACTAGACCAAGTAGACTTTCGTTTGAAAAAAAATCACTGAGTAATAGCCATGACCATGCAAATGCCCCTACGCCAAACGCGATCAGAAAAGACATCAGAAGAAGAAAAAAAGGAGAAGCGCAACGGATGAGATTCGAACTCACGCCCCTTTCGGGACTCACTTAGCAGGCGAGCGCCTTAACCACTCGGCCACCGTTGCGGATGTGCTTGATACACCTGTAATTTCCACGCTCCATATAATGCTCCATCTGCAACTGGGATACTGGGATCTTTCGTGATGATATAAATATTATTAGAGAGAAGACGGAAGTCATTAGAAAGAAGAAACATCTGCGAGTATCGGTTGCATCTTCAGCATGTTGTCCCGCTTTATCTTAGCTAAAGACGGCACCTTCAGTTGGCCCAGCTTCAGGAGTGGTCTGTCAGATCGTGAGCCAATAGGTGCCTCATCATTTCCTTTTGACTTTGCTGCAATCGCATCCTGACATTTGCTGTAAGCACAGAGCCAAAATGCATCACGTTGCGACGATAGCATTTTGAAACGGGGACCTTCATGGCTGCATCTAGCAACGTTACAGCAAGGTTACCAAGAGCGCTCCTCCTTTTCTTAATGTGCTGCAACCTTCATGTCAATAGGTTCTCAAAGATCTCAGCCGGTTCTCTCATTCACAGTCCACGGGGACCAGAACAGACATTTTTTTGTGCCAGACAGGCAGAACTAAAACACAGCTCAACCGTTCCAACAGGAACAACCCGAACGTAACCCGATACCAAGAATATAGAATTCTACTCGACGCTCCTGTACATCCATTCTGGCACCCCTTCACAGATTTAATTGGACTGAGACAAACGCCTCACAGGTTCGCAATCCCCTCACACCCTCAAGATCTGGGTCTTGTTTGCAAAGCAGATGGCCACCCAGTCAGGCTGCGTCGTGGACCATTGCAGCTGATTCACCTCCGCCCCAGCGCTGTATGCCAGGATGGGATCTGCGCAGCACAGCACATCATGCCTTGACAACATGTATGCCCCTCAAGCACAACAATCTTCCGCCCACTCCTTCCCACACACCATCAACCCGACGAGCTCCCTCCTTGCAGCATTCCTGCCACATGGACGCCCAGTCTGACAGGGGGCGGTGTAAACACTGAGCTCGAGCACCGTGCCTACGGTTGATTGGGTCTTGCTTGCATTTGGCGAGGCCAACGAGGGGTAGGTTGTGGCAGCCTTTTACTGCAGCTTGTCTGCAAGAATTAATCTTGACTTTTGGCAGGACAGGCGTGTAGCAAATGAGATACACATGATCTAGATCAAGGTGGGCTCACCCAGGGTCTGGTCCATGGGGCGAGACATGGAAGAGAGATCCCAGATCAGCGCCTGAGCATCGTCCCCCGCGCTGCAGATGTGGCACGAGGAGTGGGGGGCCCACGCCACCGCGTTCACCGGCGCCTGGTGCCTCTGCAACTCCGCCACCGGCAGGGTCGGATACCTGCCACGGCACAGCTTTTGAATTCAAGCTCATGCGACGGGTCGCCCCACTTACAGCTCATCTGGGCCCTCTGGGTGAAAAGTACAAAGGTGGAAATAGAGTCCCCGAGGCTCAAGCAGGGTCTGACATCCCAGGAGGGTGTGGACCTAGACGGTTACCTGCCGCGGCACAAGTGCCAAATTCAAGTTTGAAATTCTATTTTCCGAGGCGCACAGGGCGGTGCCTGAAGATGCCTGGCAAGCCCTCCACCTTGCTGGCAGCCATATTATTATTCCTAATTACAGTGTTCATTGTTAATGTTGACATAATGGGCAAACCCAGCGTAGTACACTCCATTCAGCGTTTAAAGAGAGGTAATGGATTCAGAAATTCAGAAACTGCAGAGAAGAGGGCCGCCCGTTACAGTGCAATTATTCAAAGAAGCGTAAGCACAGTGTGTCACCTGATGTCCAGGATGACCACTTTGGTGGAGTCCATGAGGACTGTGGCCATGTAGCGGGGGTCCTGCTTGTTCCACCCCAGCCTCAGCAGCGGCGTGTCCGGCTGCGGGCTGTCGTAGATTATCGTGCTGTGCTCCTTGTCCCTGCAAAAGCGGCACCTCAATGTGATGCACTGTACCCCAAAGTTTGAGGTAGACCTGCAAATATGAAGGCACCAGATAGGAGGGCGGGGATGCATAGCCTGCATGATATCTGCAGGCAGCAATGCACTCCTTGCTGATCAGCAAACAAGCCCCCCGCTGATCACAATCACAGTGCCAAGGAGCTTCAAACCTGCTTACAGACTTCTTCGTCACTCTAGCAGTCGCCAAGAAAGACCTTGGCAGCAAGGGAAAGGAGTGCAATTTTTTCGGCGCTTTTGTGAGACCCAGCAGCTGGCACTCAGGCCCGTAAGAGGTAGTCTTCTGTAAACACCAGTACAATGTGCTTCTGCCCTCACAAGTCCCACTTCACCTCTTGCTTCAGGTGTGGGAGTAGGGTGTGGGGCGAACATGGGAGGGCTGCCTTTGTCATCGAGTTCCATTGTCCATGCAAGTACTCTCCTGACTGCTATGCAAGGAAATGAACTCCCTAAGACACTTCCAATATCGCCCAATGAGCCAGCGCCAGCTCATCAATCGACACCTGCCAGTTCAGGGGCGCACCGGAGGTCAAATACGCGCACAGAGCCGTCAGCCGAGACTGACGCAAAGACTCCCACGCCGCCCCAAGCGATGTCATAGACCTCTTTGTCATGCGCTATGAGCTGTGTGTCCACCACGCCTTTCTGCAGAGACAATCACGCGACCGCCAGCTCAGCTCAGTGACATGCTCAGTACCGGTCTATCATGTGAGGAACCACCTAGAGGTCAGACTGGCCTTAGGGTCCAGTTGGTGACATACATTGAGACACACTCCCTTATCTGATATGCCACTCAGAGCGCGCTGATTTGACGTTAGGTAAAGAGTCCCCTTTGAGACTAGAAAAGATCTTTCAATAAGATCATACAACAAAGAGTCCCCTGTGTGACTAGGACTGCATGAGGCGATCTGGTTAGGCTTCCATGTAAAGCTAGTCACACAGGGGATTCTCAGCTCAGGGGACACTGTGCTCTGGCCCCTACGCAAGCCAGAAAATATGTGTCTTACTGTAGTTCAAGACCCTTGAAATCATGGTGCAAGGGTGTGAGCGAGTCACCTCGATGTCCCAGATGGTGCACGTGGTGTCGATGCTCGACGTCCCCAGCCGATTCAGGTCGGTCTCGTTCCAGTCGAAGGAGGTGAGCGGTGCGCAGAACTCGCTGTTCTTGTTCTGCGCAGATAGTTCACACATAAGCCACACACAATTCAGCACTGCTAACTTCCAGCGCACAGGGGTGGCGGCTGCACAAGCTCAACTACGCAAGCAAGCCTCAGTCCTGCCAGTCCTGCCTGAAAGAGTCCAGCTTGAACCAGATATTGGGGCGGCTGCACTTCCACTTCCGTGCGAAGATCGACGAAAAGGGCCTTCTGGATTGAAAGACTTAGTTCCGATGTTGAGCTCAGTTATTTCCAATCCGTCAGCCTGAACCAGGAAGTGAGATGCACTGCTCTGATACAGAAGGGCAGCACATCACAGCATGTGGCCCAAACCCATTACCACCACCACACCATGGGTTCCGTCATCTACATGGCAGGCACCGTAAGCTGCAGCCACCACAAATCTCTAGTAGGTTCCTACCGCGTCTGTAAGCCGTATCCTGCCTACAGTGGCGGGCCCTGTCGGCGCGAAGGAGAAAATACACAATTGCACACAACATGTGAAGATTACAATAATTGGTCACTATGCTGGAGCAGGCGCAAATCCATGAGCAGATTGACCAGCTGCGTGCCATCCTCCTTCAGCAGCCATCTGTCACCTGAAGCTTGTTTGCAGCCGCACCTTCCCCCCCTTGGTAGGAGGGGGGTAATCTGACAGCATGTGTTCACAATAACAAGAATTGTCAGGGCTGGGTATCATTGTATTGTTGTTGCATGACGTGCACTTGTGAGCCAGCCCTTTCTTCTATCTTCTAGCGCTCGCGCTGCCTGATGTCTGCATACTTCTTTCTCCATTTGTCTTTCTGAGAGCGGGCGCACATTGTTCAGCAGCTTGATCAGCTGAGTGCCGTCCTCCTTCAGCTGTCGACCTTTACCTGAAGCTTGTTTGAGGCTGCGCAATCTCCCCGGGGGATATCAACAGCGTGGGATACTAATAAACAGACAATTTTACTAGGGAAGGAGGCGCACATTGTTGAGAAGCTTGACCAGCTGCGTGCCGTCCTCCTTCAGCTGCCAGATGCGCAGGTAGTCGCCAGTGGTTGCCAGCAGGTCCGGCTGCGCCCCCTCCTTGTCCGGCATGAACATGATCTTTGTGGGTGGGTACGGGTGCTGGAACGCCAGCTGCGCGTCCGACGTGAACTTGCATGTCGCGTCATCGACTGCGCGCACCACACACCCCTGGTTCATTCTCGAATTTTTAAGTTTGGCAACCCAAGCCCGTCTGCTCAGCCCAGGCATATGGCTTTTTTCATCGTCGTCGCCGTCACGGGGGAATAAGGTTTTAAACCTTAAACCCTAAAATCGAACCCTAAAATCTACACCTCGCTGCAATCATAAACTCCCCCTAACGGCGAATTGACGACGGCAAAAAAGCCCTGATGGGCCAGACAATGCCAGCCCTCCTCAGCTTCTGCAGCGTTGCATCCAGAGCCCTGTCTGCAACGCATTGGTGAGGGTGTCTAGATCTGAGCGTCCGATGTGAACTCGCATGTCATGTCATCGATTGCGCAGACAAACAATGTCTCCCTGTCAGCCTCTGCCAGCCTGTCTCAAGACTGGCTGCAGGCGTCCTGTACAACCGAACCACTCTTTCCCTCTCAGCTTCTGGAGCTTTGTCACCCACGCCTGTCATGGGTGAGAGCATCTGGAATTCAACTTCTGAAGCTTTGCACCCAGAGCTTATCTGTGATGAATTTGCACGTTGTGCTATCGAACAGATAATCGTATTATTCTGCAAGCCTGTCTCGGACTGTCTGCAGGCGTCATGTAAAACCGAACCGCTTTCTCCCTCTCAGCTCTGCTCTGGACCCTTGCATCCCATGCCTGTCTGCAGCAGCTTGGTGAGAGTGTCTGGGTCTCTGCTTCTCAAGCTGCACTTAAAGGCCTGTCTGCATAGAGCCTGCCTGCACAAAGCCTGTTTGGACAACCCAGTCAATCTTTCCCCGTCTGCTTTATGCCTCTGCACCCCAAGAATCTGTCTGTAACAGACTGGTCAGAGTACGTGGACCTCTGGTTCTGCAAGCCTGTCTACACACCCGAACCAAACTTTCTTCCTCGGCTTTGGGCCTCTGCAGCCAAAGCCTGTCTGCAACAGACTGGTAAAGAATATATGGATCTCAATTTTTGCACCCTTGCGTCCATAGACTGTCTGCAACAGATTGGTGAGAGTGTCTGAATCTTAGCTTATGCAAGCCTTTCTGCAGCACCGAATCTATCTTTTCCCCTCTGCTTTGGACCTTCGCACCCAAAGCCCTGTCTTCAACAGTTTGGTGGTATCATCTGATCTCAGTTTCTGGCTCCTTGCGCACTAAGCCTGTCTGCAACACATTGGTGGAAGAGGGTCTGTAAGTGGTATGGCTTTGGGCCATCCAAGGAGTGCTCTACCCCTCTCACCCCAGTCCTACCCTCATGCAAATTCATCTCGTAATTATCATCAAGTTGAGCAATAAACAGCCGGTGGTGTCGGATCTTCCTCTGTTTCTTGCATGTGGCTCAACTGTGGTTTGAGGAGAGTTTCACAAGCAGGGGAGGGCAGGTTCGGTGCAGGTGAAGGTGCAAAAGGTGAGACTAGGACGGCACGCACGTGTGATGATTTCGACGTAGTTGTCGTACTCCTCGATGAAGCTGCCCACTGCCAGGCGAAACTTCTTGTCACGGCGGTTCTGCAGCCCAGCAAGGAGAACAATCCAGTCAGTCTGTGTCTCCAGAGGGGTAGCAAGTAAGAGTGCATGGACTGACTTGACCCAGGGGCAAGTGGAACAATACATAATGCAGCAATTAAATTCAGGAAGATAGACTGAATGGATCCTTACACTCCAGCTCAAGCCATATACGATGTTCTCAGAGTCGTAGGTGTATATCTCCGCCCGTCTGTCATTCAGTCTCCCATCCATTCTACCATTGAGATCCAACTATCATCACTTCAAGATTTGATCCTTGATCCTCCTGCAGAGTTCGTGGTTTTTCCTAACCTTGATCACCAATGGGTGTTCAACAGTTGGCAGCTGCCAAATTGCTACGTGCGATGGTGAACTTGGCACTTATCTGGTGTGCGCTCAAGCAGACAGAAAGAATATTTCAGGCCCCCTAACAGAGAATGAAGTTTTCATGCAACACGAACCCAAACCGCTGCGCACTCGGTTCTGCGGCGTGCCAGATTCCAATGCGCTCAACCTTCCTCGCAAGCTTGGTTTCTCACCACTCAGAAGATCCCCAATGTGACAGTCTAAGTTCTGTGATGCAAACTACAATGGGTCCTTGTCTGCGCATTTCCAGCTCTGGGATGGCTGTGTTTCTTGGACAGGGAAGACTGATGAAGCCTGCTTTTTCAGTCCTGCAGAACATTTGAGGATTCTCGTTGTGCCCTCAATATATTGCATGATGGACCCACAGTCCTCTATGAGCATGTCGCTGCTCCTCAATCAAGAGGTGTCCTGTGTGGTCACTGCCATGCGGCAAAACTCCCGCTGGGCCATGGTTCCCACGAGATACACGGTGAGACATTTCGCTGCATTCGTTTTAGTCCTAGGGAATGACACTTCCTTGGTGAACAATGGTACTAACTAAAATCGGGCATATGCACATAACCCAGTGGTCTTGGCTTTGAAGAACGCACTGAATGTGCGCTTGTACCTTACATTGCAACACATGGATGTTATTCGTAATTTCCTTGTTCCAGGAGAGTATCATATAGAACTCATGCAACACTCTCAAAGAGATGTCCTTTTGGAAGTAGACTTGCAGGCTGTAACAGGGAAGGAGCCAAGCCATGTGTGCTGCCTGCAGAGGCACCAGGATGATGAGCTGAGTGACGATCCCCTGCTGGATGATTTCAAGCTGCTGCGCCGGCGCATCTTTCAATGGAATGGTGAGCAGGGTCTCTGATACCTTCCTGGCTGCTCAATCCCTGCTCAGCATGTGGCCTGGGAAGGCCTCAGGTGTCCCGTGAACGATCACACCGGTCACATGTGGAAAATTGAGTGCACTTTTGTTTGCAGAGTGGTCAAAGATTGAGCCGCTGACATACCTCGGACCCTTTCTGGAGGTGATCAGATCTCCTGAGACCAGCGGCCCCATCACCGGAGTGGCCCTCACCTCTGTGCGCAGACTGCTCGATCAGTACTTGTTCGGTAAGAGATCCCCGTATCCCTCTCTAATTGCTTGCCACGTATCTGTTCTTTGCTTCATAAAGCAGGTCTTGAGGAGACATTGGCTTGATTCATTGTGTCCCTGAGAGGTGTTCATGTGGAAAGCTCCAGCATGACCCATACCAGCCCTCTTCAGATTGAGAAGACAAGATGGCACAATGATTTTTATTGATGATCCTTCCCTGGACTCCTGATGTGGGACATCTGCGCTGCTGCTTTTCAGATCCTCTACATGCCGTGCTAAATGAGGGGGAGCCGTGAACAGGTCTCAGGAAGACATGGGGGTGCTGTACAAACGTGTGGCAGCCCGTTTAGAACAGGTGCAGCAGAAAGGGGATCAGGATTAAGACCGACCCTCAGTGATGCCTGTACAAGCTGGCAAGAAAACCGACATATAAGGCTACAAGGGACAAAACAAATGACCTGGCTCGGTCTCTAGGAGTGTATACTGTGGCTTCCAGGCAAAGCAGCGTCTGGAGTTGAGGAGGCGATGCGAGCCACGGCAGAGGCCATCACGCAGTGCAAGTTTGAGGCCACTGACCCGGCTGCAGATGAAGTAGTCCTGTACAAAATTCTGCAGGTGACCTCCCTGTCAAGAATACTACACCCTTTGGTGCCTGCTGAACAGGTCCAGATTGTTGGTCTGCAAGCCCGCAGCTGCCACCCCTGAATGCAGTTTATCAGCTGACCAGTACGTGCCATCTCTCTGCATACATGGCAGCAGACTGCAGTACTGGCAGATCCAGACATTTTGCATGTGCCTAGATGCGGTCACATTCAAGGCTTATGCCCCCTGCTTTGTCCAGGAATTCTCTCCTGCGCTCCTCCTTCTGGGGCCACAGGTGCTGACAACGTGCATGTACTGTATGAAAGAGTCATAGCCTGCACCTAAGCCCATGCAGCAGGGTGGATCCGCGGTGGACCTACCGTCAGCAGCACTGTCAAGCAGACATGCACCAGTCTGCTCAAGCACAACTCTGGTGGAGATCATATTTGTGGCAGGCTCTGACACCGCGAGCACACAAGAATGAAGTGCAGATGACACACAAATGACCTTAGGTGACTAAGAAGTCTACTTTTTGCTGGCAGGTGCTGCTGGCATGCGTGAAGTGCCCAGGCGGGCAGCTGCTGAGCCACGACAACATCCTGAGCATTTTTCAGGCCTGCTTCCGCATCGGGCACTACCAGACCGAGCGCAGCAAGGACATGTCAGGTGGGCGCACAGTCATCGCCATGCGTCCGTTTGTTTCTTGTTGGGAGCAGCGGAGTTGCACTGTCACAACCATGCAGAACACAACCGGAAGCGTTGAGAGCAGGATGTACCGTCCTAGAAATTACAGGTAGTGTAGCCGGTTGCAGCCATGGTTGGCTACTTCAATTCGTAAGAGGCTGCCGCAACGGCTGCAGAGCAACTCAAAAGGGAATTTGCTGCGTCCAACGGGCGACACTTGGAAGGGAGAGTGTCGCCAGAAGGCGAATATCTTTTGGCACTTGTGGCTGATCTGTTGTAGCTGTTGTGGCGCAGAGCTGCTGACTCAGGCGTCGCGCCAGGTCATGATAGAGATGCTTGCCTTAGTCATGGCACGCCTCAAAGACCTCCCCCTGGACTCAGCGCCGCTCACAGCTGCCTCACAGCCGCCACCACCCCCAGCCTCCAATGGTTCGCTGCCATGCTTGATGCTCAAATCATTGCCCATCCTTGGCCTGCCTGACTCAGGGGGTTCTAAACAAATATTAGTAAATGCAGCAAGGAGTATTTTGTACCCCCTACCTGACTGCCCAGCCTAGGCCTCAGTCGAATGCTTGCATTTTCCAATCAGGAACCACAGAAGTATCTGTTCCAGGCAGTCCATGCTGGGTGTCACACTATCTATTCGTAGTTGCTGATGTTAGGACCAGGCCCCTGTGATGAGCAAGCTACATTCACAGGCAAGTCTGCCAATGGTCTCTGTGTGCAGAAACAAGTTTGGCTGGTTGTCTCTGGGATGACAAAGGTGTGTCAGGAAAGTGAAAGACAGGGCAAAGTTCTTTGTGTGGTCATCTCTGCTGAGGATGCTACTTGGAGTCTTGTGTGCACAGAAACAATGTTGGCTGATTCTTTGTGACCGGCCATTAAAAGGACGAGATCTTACCAACAGTGGTCGCTGTACAGCGGGTTCTGCGGAGAATGCCTGGGTCGCTTGATCTTTGATGTGTTCAGATCATGACTTGACCTTTGATTCAATCTTCTGCGCAGGCAACTTGGAGGAGGATGGGGACACAGCCAGCCAGTCTGCGGCCGCTGCTCCTGGGCCTGCCAGCAAGGCCTTGAGGATGGAGAATGGAGATGCTCCTGCAGAGGAGGCCAGCAAGGGCACAGGTTGGCACAGTCACTTCCTTAGCAACTATGTCAATTTCATGGACACCACTGTGAGACTATGCAAGTGACAGCTTTGTGTTCTGTGGACTTCCACTTTTTTTAGGCCAAAAGCATCACACACAATCAAAGAATCAGCTTCATCAATATCCAGGACAGCATCACGAGTCCTTAGAAGCCAGTTCGTGGGTCATCAATGCTTTGCCTAGGCCTTGCTGGGCAGATCAGAAGTATGCAGAATTACAAGCAAGCTGAACCATATACTGATTACCAATGTACTAATGTCTGGGACAGGAGGCCATTACAAGTAAGGCTTAACATAATTGATGGTGAGGGGTCTGCTGAGAGACCAGTGAAATCTTGGACTGGACTGATTGTGTGAGAGCTGACCTCGATGAAGTTGGTCCCAAGTATGACTGGTGGAGATAATGCAGAGACAGGGAATATAGAAAAAAATCTTTAGGCGTGCTGCTGGAACGCACGTAGCCTTGAAAAGGCTGGAAAAGCGTGTAATAACACTGTGCTAATCAGCGCATGTGCTGTCGGGTGCGCAGAGGTGGGCCTGCAGACGTTCCTGGACTTGCTGGAGTTTGTCATCTCACTCATGGTCTCAGAGGGCGAGGGCGTTCACACAGGTGCTCACTGCCCGTGCTCCTGTACTCAAACCAATGCATCACCTTATCGCAATGTCGCCTGAAGCTCTCACGAAATTACAGGCCAAAGATGTCCAGGACCAGAGACACCTCAGATTGTCTGGTGTTACAGCTTGCCAGAAATTTATACAGGCACCAGGGTGTCTGTTTTCGGGGGCATAACTTGGTATATAGGGATCTTGAGTGTTATCAGTCGCACCCAATTGACTGGGCATTCACGAGATTGCCTTGCTGTGCATGTACTTGAATTTCAAAGAATTCACTTCTTAAACATCTTGATCGATCAACCAGCAGACAGAATTCTGGAGCATATCTCTGCAGGCATCTCCAGAGGCACTGAAGCGCGGACACTGAACCATTTGTTTAAATCTGCAGACTTGGACATATTCGGACTGGAGCTGATGAATGTGGCGCTGAACGTTGGCGGATCCGCGCTCGGCCGCCACGGAGCTCTGCTGCAGCTGCTGCGGCAGGACGTGTGGGCTGCCCTTGCTCTCGCCGCCTGCCGACCCAACCTCGCCACCCTCTCCCATGCCTGCCAGGTGTGTCATCCGTCCTACAATCACCGGAGCCTGACTCTTCATTCCTGGACATCAAGAGACCAAAAATTTGCCGGCCATAGTTGTCCTCTCTTGCATGGTCAGTTTTTGCCTGCAGACTCAACCTCGCCACGCTTTCAAAAGCTTGCCAGGTGTGCAAGCAGTGCTCCCTGACACAATCGCACCCGTAATCTAGCAAAAGAGCCATGCACAAATCTCCAGTCAGAAGATAACATAGGCAGACGTGTGGCCTGCCCTTGCGCTCGCAGCCTGCAGACCCACCTAGCCACGCTCTTCCAAGCCTGCCAGGTGCGCAACCCCTACTGCGATTATGATGCAAATCCCCTGGCAAGACTAGTGCCAATCTTATTCGTGGCCTGCCAGACCAACCTTGGCGACCCGTTCCCAGGCCTTCCAGTATGCAAACAGTGCAACCTTGCAACCCTACCCCAGGCCTGCCGGGTGGGCGCCGGCGCCCCTGCTGCAAATCCTTACCGTATGATTTACTCTGCACACATAGTGTGCGTGCGCAAGTTGCCCCAATGCGGTTCATAGACCCCAAAACCATAAACCTCACGAAAGAAAAGAGAATTTTGGGTGTGCCGGCTCTGCGCTCAAGGTGGCCATCAGCGCTGCACAAAGTACTTTGATCCTTTAGCTTGGGGAAGGGTACTCGAACAAAACCTGCATGCATGCGTAGGTTGCGCTGTCACTGTACGTGGCGTTGGGTCGGCGGGTGCTGCTCCAGTCGGAGGCGTTCCTGGGCCGACTGCTGCTGCCGCTCGCAGAGGGCAAGGCTGCCACTGGGGTGGCGCGCCAAGAGGCCGCCCTCGAGGTGCTTTACCCTCTTCCAAATGCATTTTTAACCACAATTGCATGCCAGGCAACTTTTAATTTCCGCTAAGCTGAGCACGCCAGCGTTTCCACCTGGTTCAGTGCCCATAAGGTGCTTGCCAGGGGAATTTGGGTGCAGGCTGCTCTTCCTACTTGTATAAATCCTGTTCTGCCCAACAGAGTTCTGCAATGGGTGCAGAGAAATACTCAGTCATCCGTCAGCCGTGCACTTGAGGGTGCATAACGATCCACGTATTGCTGTGTATGGCGTGCGCAATGAAGGGGCGCCAGCTTAGGACACTGAACGTTACTAATCGTCACCTCATTCACACTATTCAGTACATGATCCTTACAAATTCCTCTGCGCAGGCCATCCTGGACTTCTGCAACCAACCGGGATTTATGGCGGAGGTTTACCTGAACTTGGACTGCCGAATCGAGCGCTCGAATCTCTTCGAGACCGTCTGCACGCTGCTGTCTAAGACGGCGTTCCCTGTCAATGGCTCCCTCGCCTCTGTACACCTTCTCTCCCTCGAGGGCATCCTCTCCATACTTTCCTCCCTTGCCGCCAGGTGGGTTCCTTTTCCTCCCTTTGCCAAGCCATGCAATGTGCTGAGTCATTTTGAAAGTCATCGGGCACTGCAGTGACCAATGCTCGCATGGGCGTGCCATGTCACGATGATAGTCAGGGATGGTTCAGTGTAAAGGGCCAAGTCTGGGTGATAGTGACAGTAATAACCATGTGTTCCATAGTGTTGGTCTCTTGACACATGCAGGCATGCTGGCAAGCGAGCAAGGCAATTCAATTTTGCACATGGCACTCATTGCCTGCACGTGCGTGGCATCTCCAAAGCAGTCAAGCTGCAACGAGGGATTTCATGTATTACCTGTCATCTCGGCCTCGCTGCTTGCATCCTCTGTATCCAGGAGGATGATACCTAAGACCATATTGGGTATCTTGTGCAAGTCTCAAAGGTCCATGTCTGCGGCGGGCCGATATAAGCACTGAGCACCGTGCCCACATTGGGTCTTGCTGGTCTGGCGAGTCCATCAAGGGGTAGGATTTGCGGCAGCCTTTACCTGCAGCTCATCTGTAGACGCACCTTGCCTTTGGCAGGAAAAGCGTGATAACAATACTGTGATAACAATGATGATTAGATCCATGTCCGCTGAAAGATGCACCCCGCTCACTGCAGGTGTTCTCAGGCCACCAGAGTCGAGGCTGCCAGCGCTGCAGAGGCTCCATCAGACATCAGCGGAGTGTGGGACGCTCTCTGCAACGGCTTGCCTCCCCCGGGGCCCTCAGATTCAACCCAAGCGGACCGCACAGGCGTGTCTTTTACCCCTTACAGTGTCAAGCCTGCACGTATGCAGCTATCTTCACTTCTCAAACTCCCCCCAAGAGGGCCGCACAGGCGTGTCTATTTACCCCATCACAGCTGTTGACAACTGCATATATATCTTTGATCAAACTGGTGCATCCAGCAGCATTCTGCTCCAATCTTGCCAAGAGAGAGATGTTGTGTGATAGAGCTTACAACATGAGAACATGGCTCAACATTTTTGAAGGCAACTGGCGCTGTATTGCTGGCTCTTCCATAATTCCATGCACACATGGCAATTTGGGTGTTCTATTCGAATTTATGTGCATTTGTTTGGGAGCTGACTCTGGAATGGCTCTTCCATTACAAGGCACACATGCCAATTTTGGTGCTCTGTTCAAATTGATGTGCGTTCCTTTGGGGGCTGACCCTTGCATGGCTGCCGGGGTTCAGGGGTCAGCGAAGCGAGCACGAGTGGAAATGATAAGAGCGAGGCGGCTGCGGCGGCCGCGGTGCTGAGGGAGAAGCATGCAAAGAACCGGCTGGCGGTGGCGGCAGACCATTTCAACCGGGACTACAAAAAAGGATTCCAGTTTCTGCAGGTGCGGATTGACATCAGTGCTGCATCAGAATCCCACAATCTGTCAGTCACCCCTGTGGATGAGGGGTAAAGCAGCTTGAAGCGGATTGGCCCTTGTCCCCTTGATATAATTATTGTGTTTCTGTGGACCCTAAGGCCTCGGATGACCTCTATGTGGGGCAAACCCTTTTTTTTTGTTTTACTCCTCCTGCCAGGAGGCAAGGTGCGTCTGCAGACAAGCTGCAGGTGCAGGTTGCTGAATTTCCTACTCCTTGATGGACTTGCCAGGTCCAAGCAAGACCGAGTAACCCGCAGGCGGCCCTTGATGGTGGACAGTGTGCATGTGCATCCCTCTTGAGCTGTGAACTACTACTTGCGAAATATGTGCTTTCTAATGCCCTTGCTAGGCTCCTCTTAGTGGCCAGAACTGAGGTCAGGTCTTAACATGTGTCATGGCTTCAGATGCTGCAGACTTCATTTCAGCCTGTACACTGACTTTGTACTATTTGTCACAAGTCGTTTGTCAGCCATTCTTACAAGTATGCCACGCTTGTACAACGCATGGTGTCTGCCAGTTATATGCCCGTCTGACAAGCACTGTTTCCTTATATTGCAGTCATTGGGCCTTCTGGGGGAGAGCTTGGATCCGGGGGAGGTGGCTGTTGGGTTTTGGGGTTGGAGGGCTCAGGAGGTTAGGGTTTGGGGGTTCCAATCAGCTTGAACTCAAAAGTAAAATTTGTAAACAAACAGAAATATCCATGCTGCTTCGCAGTCGTTGGGCCTTCTGGGAGAGAGCCTGGATCCTGGAGAGGTGGCGAGGTTTCTGCGTCACTGCCCCGGCCTCTCAAAGCAGACCATTGGGGACCTTCTGGGCGAGAATGACCAGTTCTTCCTGGACGTGCTTGACGACTTCACAGCAACCTTCAACTTCAAGGGTGCGTTGGCTGAATCTGAGCTGCACTTACATCCGAGCTTTCCAGCAGACCAGTCAGGCCCGTCTGGTCTGCCCACATGCAGAGCCTCAATCACATTTATAGGCAAATTGTTTGCATTGCCATGGTCAATTTCCATGTCCCTCTGCAATCAGTCATCCAGCCCTGACAACTTCACCGCCACCTTCCATCGTCAAGGGTGCGTTGGCAATTCTCAGCCGCCTACTTAATGCGGACTTTATCACTGTAGACTTGTGCCCTGGCAAAGTTTGCTTAGATGCATTATGACTTGCGCCCAATGTCTGTGACCGTGTTATTTTGCTAACCCACTGTCCCTTCCAAATCGTGAGTAGCCATTCATTGGGCTTCCAAGGCTTCAGCCATTGAGCTTTGTACAGGAGATCCGCATATTCTTGGCATATGACTCATTTCAATTTCAGATACAAATCAGATTAAATGCACAGGGCTGCACAACTACCATTGATCAAGCGCATTAGTAGTGCCATGGCATGTTGAACTGCTGCCGGTGTCGTCACTTGAAGTCATTCGTAGTTCAGATTTCGAATTCAAACGGAGGCCTGCCGTTCTACATGGCAATCCGGCTGTACCTGGAGTCCTTTCAGCTCTGGTACCACGCATGAAATTTGATGCTCAACTTTGAAATTCACATTCAAATCTCAATTCAAAGTCTGAATTTTGAACGCAGGGCTCCCCTTCGACATGGCGATCCGGCTGTACCTGGAGTCCTTCCGGCTGCCGGGAGAGGCGCAGAAGATCAACCGAGTCATGGAGTCCTTCGGCAAGCACTACCACGCGCAGTGCCCCGACCTCTTCAAGAACGCCGACGCGGTCTACATCTTGGGCTACTCCGTCATCCTGCTCAACACCGACCAGCACAACATCGGGGTGAGTCACTCAACCCCTGGTTTACTACTGGGTGTTTGTTCATCAATTTTGGGGTTGGCAAATAGGTGTAATAGGGTGCCCCATCTAGAGGTCATCTGGTTACAATTGACCAGAGAAATGCAAATACACATAAAAACGCCTCAAGGGCAAAGTACTGTGTCATCCTGCTCAACACTGACCAGCACAACGTCGTGGTGAGCCGCTATGTGCCTCTGATGAAGTTGTTGACATGGGCCCAGGAATAGCTAGTCAAAAGAGTATTGGATTGCCTGCCCACAGCGCTCTGTGCCCTTCACTGGAGCCTCCATGCATGCCTTCATTGATCTTCTCATCACAAGCAGGAAGTGGCCTGTTTTGCACAGTCCTGATGCATTCATCATGGCCACCAGCAATGATGATGGAAAGGTCAGACTAGGTTCCTTTGCAGGTTCATCTCTGAAGATATTGAAAGAAAGAAGTTTTCCCAATTCCCATTTCCAGCGACAGTGCCACTCCTTTCCCCAGAATACTTCCGTTCAGCAAAGGCCAGAAGTCTTCCCAAAGCCCAACTCCAGCAACATTGCCAGTTTTTCCCCCTGGATACTACAGTTCAGTGAAGGCCGTTCCCAATTCGCTGCCGGCAAATGCGCGCAGGTAAAGAAGAAGATGACGTGCGAGGAGTTCATCCGTAACAACCGGGGCATCAACGGCGGCGCGGACCTGCCGCACGCGTTCCTGCGCGAGCTGTACGCGTCGATAAGCCAAAACGAAATTCGAATCTCGGCGGACCAGCAGCAGGCGGCGGCCGCGGCGGGGCCCGTCTCCGGAGGCGCTCCCGTCGTCAGCGCTGTCCTGTGGACCGACCTCGCGCAGCAGGCGCTGCGGCCGCGCGGCAGCTTCCGCGCAGCTGACGGTGCGCTTACTGATCCCCTCCCCTGCAGGCTTTTGGTAGGGGGTTGTCAACTATAGGATGAAAGTGTAGGATGATATAAGGTCAGGGTCACCTGTTTTACGGACGCATTTTGCGCGGCAGGCGCTGCGGCAGCGCGGCAGCTTCCGCGCCGCTGACGGTGCGCTTACTGATCCCTCCCCTGCAGGGTTCTAGTAGGGGTTCGTCAACTACAGGATGAAAGTGTAGGATGACTCAAGGTCAGGGGTTACCTGTTTTATGGACGCACCTCGCACGGCAGGCGCTGCGGCCGCGCGGCAGCTTCCGCGCTGCTGACGGTATTGAAACCCCCTGCAGGGAGGGGATGAAAGACAATTCAATTGTCCCAATTTTGGACACAGGTTGACGATCAGGGGTCAGCGAATCGCGACTGTTATGACTTTGCTCAGCGATAGCTTCTGCGACACTGATGGGTGGCTTCAGATTTATCTCCTAGCAGGGTTTGCAGCCAGAGAACTCTGAAGTGACCAGCCAGGGGACCTGATAATCAGATTCAAAAGCCACCACCAGCTTTGTGTCGTGATTTCCGATGGGAATGCAGGAAAAACGCTGCTTTGCGAGACACATTGGAAGCTTATTCCAACAGTGCACGCTGCGGCTGCGCAGGGGCATTGACTGCCGTGGACCGCCAAATGTTTGCGTTGCTGTGGGGCCCCACGGTGGCGGCTGTATCAGTCATCCTGGATCACTCGGATGACATAAGCGTGACTCGCCAGGCGCTCGACGGCCTCCTGCTCTGCGCGCGTATCGCCTCTGCCCACTGCATCGACGAGGTAGCCCCCTTTTCAGAAACTTGCTTTCCCATACATTTTACATTCATTTATTTCTTCTTTAGCTTTTAAGGCTGAAATCCTAAGCATAAACCCCTAGATTAAATCATGTAATAGGATTACAGAGCATCAATGAGCGACACCATGATTAGTCATCCCAAAGAGGTGCTCGCCAAAGTGGGCACACATGGATATGGCCTGCCCAAATTTTGTAGGCTGGGGACCTGAACACATCTCAGCAAGGCGACAAACACTGTACATGAGAAGGAGAGGATAGGATATGTTCCTGCCAGTCTTGGGCAGCAGAACTCCTCAACTTATCTCAACTTCTCGCTTGGGGCAGGGAAATATAAGCGCAAGTGCGAAATGCTTCTGTGAGCGGGGGACACAATTTTAGACAGCATTCAAAAGAAGCACCCCGGCAGTTCCCAAAGCTGTGCTGCCAGCTGCAGTTCTGCTCATGACCCGACCTATCTTACACCTGATTGAAACCCCTGCATGTGCTTGGCAGCCTTATCGTGTCCCTGAATCCTTCGAAAGAACGATGAAAAGATTTTCTTAACATCACTACTGGTGCTGGGCAGCCTCATGGTGGCGCTAAAAGAAATTTAAATTAGTTCTTAACATAACTGCAGGTGCTTGACAGCCTAAGGTCGGCGCTAAGTTTTTGTAGAGTATTACTTAGCATTTCATAATCATGCCCTCCGCAGGTGCTGGACAGCCTGATGGTGGCGCTGACTAAGTACACAGCGCTGCTCAATCCGGCGTCCCCCAAAGCCACCGTAGCATTTGGCCTCAACGCCAAAGCGCGCGCCGCAACTGAGACCCTGTTTGAGCTCGCAAACAGGTGCGACCAAAGTGCTTGAAACGGCATCTCTGATGGTTGTGATGCCACCTCATTGACCTGGCAAATGCCATGCGTGCCCACAGATGGTCACGCTCTGATGTACAAGAGTGATGCCAAGAAGCTTGATGTCGAAGGCCATGCACCCCCGCTGGCCACCTCAAGAGAGGGTCTTTGGAAAAGAAATCGCAAGAGGTCATGCATGCAGTGCAAATTTATTATTGCCGCCTAAGTGGTGGCGTAGGATTTGCATACGACATTGCCTTTTGCTCCTGTTTGTTATGCCCTGCCAGGCCTGTCATAGCAGCGCATGTGAGGCCAATCCGTGACCTCCTAAATCTCCTTTCTCCCAACATTCTGGGACGTCTATGAGTGCCGAAGAATGCAAGGCAGATGATGCACAAAATGAATGAACCCGGATGGTGCAGGAAATGGATGAAATTATCTAAAGCAACGTGAGCGTTGCTCGAGTGCAGGTATGGGGACAGCCTTCGGTCGGGGTGGCGAAACGTGATGGACATTGTGCTGCGCCTGCACTCGCTCGGCCTGCTGCCGGCCTCGGTCGCAGCTCTGGAGGGCGAAGACGCGCAGGTGTGATACGCTGTTTCTCTAAACCCCCTTAAAATATCCACGTCAAGGGGTGCTAATAATGCAGCTGTGGGAGATGTGTCTGGTGGCAAAGAACGCGGAATGATTCCCCTGTGATCTTTCACCCCCTTGAAGGTTTGCTATCAAGGATTATTGCTGTGCTAGTAAATGCAGTTGTGGGAGTCGTATCTGAGGTATTGGCCATGAAGGGAAGATTAGTAGACTCAACCTCGAGACCCGTGATTGTGTTCAGCATGCGTATTTGCCAGAGACAGTGCTTGGCAACTTGAGCTTGTTCAATGCTTCTTCACACCTGGCGGATGCCCATGAAATGTCCTGCCTTGTTCCTATCAGAAGCGACATTTTCTTCGCGCGGACACTTCTGGATACGTCCGTATCAATGCGCGAGCAGAGATCTGAGCAGTCTTGTGTCAAGATAATCTTCATTCCCCTTGGTGCAGGCGGCTGCCGGGCGGCTGCCGCGGCCGAGCGCGCCGCGGAACTCGTCGGCCGCACCCTCCCTCCTCTCGCGCGCATTCTCCAGGCATGCACCTTCTGGGAACCTTAGTTCTGCCAAGTAAACTTGCTTTATTGGCCATGGTTGTCCTCAGGCTGTTGTAAAGGGCGCGCAGTACCCTGCTTGCTGTTGTGCTTCTGATGGGGAAGACGTGCAAGGCTGTTATTGCCGCTTTCTGGGGGGCTCCCCCAGCAATGACTATCTGAGGGTTTAGGGTTAGGGTCAAACTTTAAACCCTAAACAACCCCCTGAAAATACAGGCTCCTGTCATGAGTCTGCACACAAAAAAGGGGCAGAACAATCAAGAAAAAGTCCAGGACCCTGTCTAGTGCCAGTCAGCTGAATGTGTGGCTTCTGAGCGCAGCCTGGTGTTCACAAGAGCTCTGGCAAGTCCACATTGGCCCATGCAAGGCTGCATTTCTGTGCCCTGGCTCCCGCCGGTGCCCTGCAGCATCAGCAACACGCAAAAAATAAATCTTGAAAAAGACGAACGAGCAACTCGATCCCGTGACCTTCTGAGTATTTGCAAACCGCTGATGCGCTCTGTGGTTTCTGTGCGCAGTTTGATCTCCATCGAGAGCTCGGACGGCGGCGGGGCGGCTGAGCTGTCGGCCAGAGAGGCAGAGGCTCTGCAAGCAACGGTTGCTTGCATCAGCGCTTGCCACATCGGCGAGCTCTTTGCCGACTCCAAGTTCCTGCAGGTGAGCATCAACACAGAAAGACTTGCGGCTGTCTGTAAATGCATGGTGGGTTCTGGCTTGTCATCACAAGATAGTCCAGATTTGAAATCGCAGGGTCTTGGGATAGTGGGGTGATGGAATCTTGGTCTGCCTAGAATTTTTGCTGTATTGCCGCCCCACAATATTGGGCATGTGACAGATCTCTGGGCAGGGAGTGCTGACTACTACTGGAGTACTCATTCTAAAGACATCCATAAAGCAGTGTTCTTGGCCAAGAAGGGCGGATCTAAAAGACCCTATCTCCCAAAATATAAACCCTATGACAATTTTGCGACCAGATTCTGAAAGCTCTCGACAAGCCCAATGGAGCATTAACCTGGTATATTTGATGTCAGGAAGACCTCTAGAAGTTGCTCTGAAAATTTTCCCGCACCACCGGAATGACTACTGCAGTATAAAGGATCCCTGCGCCTTGGTTGCCAAGAAAGCGGGCACAATAATCCTTTTTACATGCGCCCGGCGCTTTTTTTTTTTTTTTTTTTTTTTTTTGGGCCACACCAAACCCTTCTTGAGGCCCCCGTGAAAATCCTGTGTGCAGGCGGACTCGCTGCTGCAGCTGTGTGAGGCAATTGTGCATGCGCCCGGCCCGGGGAGAGGCATCGCCCCCGGAGACAGCTCAGAGACCGCCGAGGTAATTATTACGTCATCGCCTGCAATTTCATGGCTTGTGACAAAGTCTGCACTTCTGCTCTAAATCGCAGGCCCTTATCGTTGTTGCTGCACAGTTGACAAGCGTGGCTCCAGCTGTCAACTTTGTGTTGCTTTCTCTCTCAGTCTTGCATCTGTCACCTACCTTGTTGGACACGTGTATCGAAATATCAGGAAGGGTGTCCTTGTGTGTTAGGGCACAACTGTATTCGACTGAAACCCAATTGACCTTAGGAATCACGAAGTTTGACCAACGCGCTCGTTGTCATACGTCCCTAAGATCTGCAGGTTCGACGTGTAGATGTGTCACCTTCACAACGCTGCTGCAAGAATAAAAGGGAGAGGAACAAGCAGGAGAGGCGCACTTGCAACATGACATCAGATCAGTACAGTACCTTGGCGTTGACACCACACCCGCTGCGGGTCGCAGCTCTTCTAAAAGTGCTGAGGAATTTGCCTGTCTGAGCGCAGATGTGCCTGGAAATGGTGATTGCTCTGTCGCTGCGCAACCGCGACCGGCTGCTGCTGATCTGGCCCCCCGTGCACGCCATGCTGGCCGCCATTCTGGCGCCGGGGGGCCAGGGAGGGGACAAGCGGGGGGCCTCCCCACTCGTGGCACGCGCTGCGCTGGGCCTGCTGCGCGTCTGCCAGCGCCTGCTGCCCTACAAGGAGGTAGGGTTTTGACCCCTGGATAATTTCCCTGCTGCGTGATGAGGACGTGGGGTTTGACCTGTGGATAATCTTTGCTGGCCGACAAGGCGGAAATATGAAACATGTTTTCACCCTTTTAGCATCAAGATTTTAGCATCAAGATCTCTGATGCTTCAAAAGACTGAGTGCCATAGCAGGCTTGTTATTCATCCCTGCCTCCCCTACCAGGTGTTGACATAATGACCAGGCCGACTTCGCCGCTTATAGATCAATTTCTTACATCTTTCAGCTTTTCTGCAGTCTCCCACTTGTGCATTTCTGTGAGCTGGTTGCTTGCCGGTCCCATGGAGGCTCATTGGATATTCCCGCCCACCGTCCTTGTGATCTTGTGGAGTAGCGTCATTGTGGCGCTGATTTGGATCTGCTCCAAGTTGCAATGCCGGGCAGATGGTGCTGCCATGTGGCCAACAAGAGCATGGCCAATGAGTCTCTTCCGGCTGCAGAAAGGAGGACACTGCCACGCCGGCCATTCACACCCATGAAGAGATCTGCAACCACATTTCACAAAGCTCACTGTCACTTCAATCTGGGCAGGTGACGGCCGACTCGCTGCTGCGGAGCCTGCAGCTGTTACTGCGCCTCAGCCCCGGCGCCGCCTGGGACCTAGCACAGCCAATCGCTGCTGAGGTGCGCCCCCCATATCCTCTGTTGCTCAAAATATTGGCTTGAACAATTTGCATGCTGCGGCTGAGTGCTCACACGGCAAATTGTTGGCTTCCCTAAAGAATTAAGGGCGTGCTTTCAGCAGCTTCAATCCTCTGACTGCCTTTTGGGTCCCTTGCCGGGGAGCTGCACTCAAGGTACTGTAGAAGTCACTCTGAAACCCGCAATAATTTTTATCTGGGCCAAAAAGGATGGATAATAAAGACCCTATCTCTCAAAATATAATCCCAATGATACTTTTGAGATCAGTCTCAGAAAGCTCTCAAAAAGCCCAACGCAATGCAGCATGAATCTGGTATTTTTGACATCGGGAAGATTCTGAAAAGCTGGGGTTGCGGGCTTTAGAACGAGGACTACAGTACGCAGATGAGCCGATGTGGTCTTTGGGAGCGCATCATGTTAATCTATAGCTGGAAACCTACATGAGTACGATTTATGAGTCAGGATGTCATTGTGCTGAAGGGGTTGTATGTGTACTGTCTCCAATACGCTCCTTCCAAATGCAACCAATCCCCTTCCAAGAGTGCACAGATTGCCTGTGTTTCCAGCACTTCTACCTTCAACATTGCTGCTAAGTTTGAATTTGAATTTGAGATTCGAATTCGCGCGCAGGTGCTGACGCTGGTGGCGGGCAGCGCTGCCTTCATCCGCAGCGGCCACGGATGGCGCACAGTCACAGCGCTCATCACAGTCACCTCCCTGCACCCGGACGCCGCTCCTGTGGCACTGAACGCTCTGTCTGTCATCTCTCGGCCGCCGGCTCTCTGCCAAGCCGCCTTCATGCCCGTGCTTGAAGCTATTGTGACCTGCGTCGAGCGCTGCGCCAAGGTGAAACTGCAGCGCAACCCTAATCCATAAATGATGAATCCTGAACACTAAAACAAACAATGAATCCTCAGGCAACAGCCAAGCGTTGCATGTAGAGATCTGTGTAGCACGGCTGCCGGCTCAGAGTGATGACCGCGTTGATGCCCGTGCTGTAGGCAAATTTACCTGTGTTGAACGCTGCGCCAAGGTGAGATTGCAGAACGGCAACTTCTTGCAACATAGACCTTGAGTGCACATAGGACTCTCTTTGGTCGGCCGCCACCCGTGAGCAAAGTTGCATTACTGCCCCTGTGATCGAAGCAACTGTCACCTGCATTCAGCGCTGTGCAAAGGTACAACTGGAGGCTGTGGCAAAGGGCTGTACGGTGTCCCAGGACTTCAGATAGGAACCTCTAAGAGATTGGCGCTGTGCAAAAGTATGAAGTTGCAGCGTGACAGACTCTTGTACCACAGAAATCGTAGCATGCAGATGCACGTCGAGGAGTATGACTCCCCCGCTGCGCAGAGGCGCAGATGCAGCGTGTTTTATGGTCTCATAGCCGAAACAGATGCTGCCCTGTCTGTTTGCCTTCATCTCCTTTCTAGAGGCTGCAGAGCTAAGGTATTTGTTACGCTGCGCGCGCTTAAGAGAAGGCGGCAGAGAACAGGCGGCGGTTAGGGTGTCTGCCATGCAGATCATGCAACCCATGGGGTGATGCTTGGTGACACTTCAGTACTGGCTTCGAAGTCTGTAGTAATGGTGTAGTAACGTGTTTGTCATGCTGCGCCCTCAGGACAAGGCGGCGGAGGACGGGCGGCGGCTGATAGACATGCTGGAGTCCATGTTTGCCTGGCTGCTGCACTCCGCCAACCCATCAGCCCCCGGCTCTGCAGAGGCCCTGACAGCTGACGAAGATGGCCCCGACAACGATGAGTCATCCCCAGAGGTGCCTGCTTTGATCCAGTCTTCACCCACCTTCTGTGTTATGGCACTTCTGATCCTTCACCAATCCCTAACCCCTGGAATTATCAGCGCAGTCCCATTCAAGAGTCAGTATCGTACAGGCCTGTCCTCTCGAACCTAGATATCTGGGGTATAGTGGGGAAAGAAAGTCGCACAGCAAAGGCGCCTGCCCTGATCCGGCTGACAACCCGGCCAGCGCATACTTCCAGGCACTGACAAGCTGCCTGTGCTTAGTCGTGTCTTGAGTAATAGTCAGGGCTCAGCAGGGAACTGACACATCACTGATCCTACTGAAGACTGTGGGATCCAAATTTTACATGACGTGAAAAAAGAGGGCAAATTTCACCAGTTCATTGTTGCTCTAGAGAGAGAAGTCTACTTGGTTACCTGCCCAGCGGAACAACTCCCTGCACTCTGATGGATCCTTATGGCAGTAAACTTTTGATCTGACGTGTGATGTTGGGGGAAACCTCACAGGGGGATGAGGCAAAGCTGTGTGATGTGTTCCCCTTCTTTGACGCGCCACTTCAGGGGTAGGGTGAAGGGTGTTGCACGACAGGGTTAACAATTCGACGCATGCTGCATGGCGCTGGTGTTTTGCACCTGCATGAAATCTGATGTCTGACAATGCTTGCCTGACAGGGGGATAAGGCAAAGCTGTGGGAGGCTCTAGTAAAAGTGCTGGCGCGGCTGGGGACTCTGCAGATGGAACCCCTTCGGAACCAGGCGCTCGTCGTACTGCAGCGGTGAGTCACCCTGGCTTATTTTCGCATACTGTTTCTGGGTGCTGATGTGGCGCAAACCCTCGGAAACCTTGGAATTCCTCGTTGCAAAACCCTAAAACCATGTTCACGTTCTGGCCCTGTGGCCTGTTTTGGCTCTGGGTGCTGATCTGGCGCTGCAACCTAATATGACTCCGTAACCCTACATCGTCGAAAGGACCCCCACTTTAAAGCTAGGAAACCCTGAAAGACCGAGTCAGGTACATTGTTTAGTCATTTGTGGCCCTATCTGTTGATTTGCTTGCCAGCTTGTACAGGCGCTGCCTGTACAATTATATGCTGATCCCCTTTCTGCTGCACGTGTTCTAGGCAGGCTATCACTCGCTTGTACTCTGAACGACATCCCCAAATACCCCACAGCTCATGGGCATGATAGCTGGTGCGTTGCGCAGAAAAATTTGTTACCAAGGTCACCTGTTTACTGAAGGCCAGAAAATTACACAATGGCATGACTCATCGGCGCGCTGCGCAGGAACCTGCCGGCGAGCGATGCGCTGGCGCTGTCTGGCGCTGACTGGGCGGCCGCTCTGGCAGATATCATAATCCCCCTTGTGGGACACTTAGCCATGGCAGTCAATGCGCAGGTGACCCACTGACTCCATTCCTGTTGGTGTAGCTTAGTGCAGGTCTGAGCTTCTCAGAGCTCAACACTGAATGGGCTTCCGCTGATAGAACCACCCTTGCGTCACAAGGCTAAGGAGGGGAGTCAATTTGTCAGGGAACGCCCTCTGGGCTTGTACATTTGTGCAATACAACGCACTGCAGTGCAATGCCCATTTCAAATACACTATACCGCTGTGAGGCCTGATATCATGAGTCCTTATGGGAAGACTACAAGCCTTAGATATTATGCTGTTAGTGCGACACAAGTCGGGGCTTATGGCAGTCAGCGACACTGAATTCTTCTGCTGTAGGCATGTCTTAGCATGTAGGACGGACACACCTGCTCTGCTTTATACTAAGTCATGGGAGGTTCCAGTGATGTATCGATGTTGAGTGACCCAGTCGGAGGCGTTGCTGTGGTGTCTTTTGAATGTGCCAAGCTGACTTCAGCTTGCATGTAGAGTAATCACGGACGAATGACGGCATCTTCCTGAGCGACGCATGAAATGGGTTTCTGTGGGGATTTTCCTGCAGTTGGCCATTTGCTGCCTGCATCTAGAGCGGCGGCTTCTTTTAGTGATGAGCTAGAAATGCATACTGATGTGTGGAACCAGAGCAAAAACATGGTGAGATTCTTCATTGGGTCTTTTCTCTGCAGTCGGCGGCGCTGCGTGGCTCGGAGCGGTCGCTGAAGCTGGCGGTGGGCCTGATGACTAAGATCCTGCTGCAGAACCTGGGCAGGCTCCAAGCGCAGCCGGCCTTTGCCAAGCTCTGGGACCGCATGCTGCAGGTGAGAATTGGCTCCTAAGTTAGAACAGCATGTGCATGCATCGAGGGGCATGTGCGGCTCCGCTCCTCATCTAGTACAGAAAGAGACATGTGGCGAATCAAGGCGAATCGGGCGACAAAGAGAGGAGGAAGGGCAACCTCTCAAGTGAACATCAAGAAGCAACAACAAATACATTTGTGGTCAAGCCAGGCCTGGCTGTTACTGCCATGCACACTGGACCAGCGTGCAGGTCTTCTGGTCACTGATGGCCGGACAGAAATATGTGACTTTCAAATCCTCCGTGCAGGTGCTGTACGAGTGCAAGAGGAATCGCAGCGAGGTGTTGGCGGAGGCGGTTCCAGAGGCGCTCAAGAATGTTCTGCTGGTCATGGCTGCGCAGGGCGTGCTGGCTCCCTCCTGGACGGTGCGCGCACCCTTGCTGCTCCTCTAAACTAGCGGGCTTGAACCCTGTCAGGGTTTTGCATGCAGGGTCTGGAACGTTCAGACAACCTTGGCCTGTGTGTTGCCCACTGCATGGTCCCTCATGTGCTTGGCCTAGAGTACACAGCATTTGCACGGCACTGCGCGAGTTTTTTCTTATCTAGCTCTGGCTGGCTGATTTTTTGGGTGCGCCTATGGGTTTTTGGTCATTCGCCATAAGGCGAATGTCCTTTACGATCGGTCAACCTGGTACGGATTATCTCTATCTTTTGCCCCTTCCCTATGCCATGTGGCTGCTCGTCAGGCGGCCACGGCACGTGAAAGGAACGCGAGGCGCAGTTTAGAGGCCTTTCCAGGGTGATTGCCCCGTTTTTGGCCCTAGATTATCTCTAAATATCTCCCTGGCGATTGGCTTTACGGGCCTGCGCCTGGTTCTGCCCCCCAGCTCGTGTATGACCTCGTGGCCGCCCGCGGGCGCTCCCACTTGTCAGCGTTCCTGACAGCCTGCAAGCTCGCTTCTACTTCGATGAGAATCGTATATTAGCCGTTACTTCCCATTGGAGAGCGCTCCACTTCCTCACATTCTGTCTGACAGAGGGGGCCTACTTTGCACAGCGCGTTTCACTTCCCCAGATCTAACACAGTACAGCCTTGGAAACCGCTTGCGATCTCTCCTCCGGTCCTCATTATTAGGGTTGATCAATACAAGCTCTCATGCCGGGTTTTGTGTATCCTGCAGGATGCGGAAGGGCACAGCCTGTGGGACCTGACCTGGTACAAGGCGCACGCCATTTCTGCCAACCTCACCCCCGCGCTTCTTGCCGATGCTGGTGTGGCCGTCCCGCCGCCGCCGCAGCCGCCGGTGACAGATCCGGCGCTGGTGACTAATCCGGCTGCGGCGACTAATTCGGCGGCGGTGACTGATGAGATCGCATCGCAAAATCAGGCAATTGCGCCAGCTCAGCCTGCAGTGGCCGAAATACAGGACACAGGCGCCGCAGCCGCCGCAGATGCATCTGCAGGTTTGTGCTATTCTTCGTGCGCCATGTTCAAACAGAATGTCGCTTCTGCCATAAGTTTCTTGATGCAGATAAGCTGCAGGCGAAGCATATTACATATCATCCCCATTGTTGGACCCGTCAGATCCAAGCAACACCTATTCCATGTTCCCAATGTGAATTGTCCCATCGATGGACTCATTGAAGGCGCTGAGGGAATGATTGCTGCGTGTCGTGAGCGCTGTGTGAATGCATGCAGGTGTAACGGAGGCGAGCGGCGATGAAGCTGAGTCTGCTGACTCAGCGGTGACAGCTGCCGCTGCATCCGCGGACGGCACCAAAGATGTGCCACCCACAATAGGTGTGATAAACACGGCTCTTTTGAGCTGTGACTCTTTCATCTTTTTGGGTTATTAGAGATTTGCTGAAGCACAGGTTTCAATAAACTCTGGGACGTTTTCTTGTCCGAGGGAATTTTCGATCATCCGTGCTGCAAAGGAATTGCACAATCCACTAGGCATCTCTGCGTAGAACAGGTAAGGCGGACAACTGACCAGTTGGAGTGAGCCACCTGAACTAACCGACTAATTTGGCATGCCTCAGCAGGCTCGTCAGATCCCGGAGCAGAGACTATCCACACTGAAGCAGCCGCGGGCACTGCAGCTGTCCACCCCGCAGCAGAAGAACAGGCAGAGTCTCTTCGCAGCAGCATTCAGGATCACAGTGATACCACAGCAGCAGAGAGTACGGCCGGGCCGCAGCATGACTCATCCACGGCAGTGACGAAAGTTCCCTCTCACCCGGGCGAGGGCGCTACAGACAGCGTCTGGGCCGGAATCTCCGAGGCGCTCGGCACCGTAACGGGGGATCCCATAGCCGCTCACGCACCCCCAGGCCCCATAGATGAGTCACCCTCAGGCCCCATAATGGGCGCAGCCGCTCATGCAGCTGATGATCCGTCACCGAGTTCTGCGGATGAGACAGTGCCGGACAGCAGCCGGCAAATGGCGCGTGATTCAAATGCTGCGCAGACGTCTCCAAAAGCAGAAGCTCTGGTGGCTACTGCTGAGCAGGGCAGTCTGGGGGACGGTGTGCCGGAAGCGGCAGCAGCACCGGTTGAGGGCACAGCAGATGCTTTGGGTGGAAGCAGGCAGCGAGTGAACGAGGATGAAGCATCAGCAGCAAAGGTGGACGAGTCAGCGTCAGCGTGCAAGCAGAGCTAGTCTGCCTACGCCAGGACCAAGATTCACACATAGATGATGATCAGTTGGTGCGATAGGAGGTCTGCACACAGAGCGCGTGCTTGAGGAACCGCGATATATCCATCGTAGGGGCCTTGCTAGATTGCAATTGGCTTCTTGTCTGGAACACTGTAGCATAGGGAATCAGGATGTTGTTTCATTCTTCAGCATAATGATAATGCTTGTCTTTTATAGAATTAGAGGGGGTTTTCCAGCAGATCGCAGTCTCTGTTCTCCAAGGAGCTTCTTGTAGCAAAAGTAAGAGCATGAGCATGGAATTTTAGGGGGTAAAATCCTTGTAAGAAGACTTCCCATACGCGGATGGGGTGAGTGCCAGGTTTAGGCAGTGAAAGCTTGAATATCAGCCCAGGCTATAATGGCCATATATATGAGCCCTATTTACATACCTTCAGCAGGATGCAGCACCAAACCCAAACCAACTCACTATCCAAATCCAGAGATCTTATCTGATCAGCGTGTTACAGAGGATATGCAATTTAAGATGCAGATGGCTGCTTATACATGGCAACTATAAAGCACTCCATTAGACAAGCGCAAACATAAAAATATGGAACAACGCCAGCAACATGCACACACTTCTAGACAGAATAAAATCAAAAGTGAAATTTTCATGAAACGGCCAGAACCTTCTCTATACGCTCCAGCACAGCCTGCACAGCATGACACAAGGGGCATGGTAAATACAAAGCAAGCCCAGTGAGACTGAATGTTTGGCAGATAGCTCAAAAGCACTAATCATTCTGAAGCTCTTTCTGCCGGTCAAGGCCAGGCGCATAGAGGAAGTGAGCTACAGGAAAATGAACTCCATCCTTCGTTAGGGCCCGCCAGCATTAGAAACAGCAAGTCAACCAAGGGCACAGTGCTCTGCTCTGCTCTGGGGCACATCTCACATGACTTGCCACCACTTGCCACAAACAGTCTGCATGCATTGCACAGACACTCAGGCTATCATGGCACGTCTGCATGCCAGTGGCAGGCAGCATATGCGTCCAATAGTCCTGGACGTTTACAAACGGCGGAGTCCGGAACTATTGACCACCCGGTGTCGATAGCAAACGCGACTAATGTGAGCATTCCATGCACCGAGCTGGGTCAGGTTACAATGAGGGAACCCACCTGGACCTTGTTGTCCTTGGCGACTGACCAGTCGAAGTGCAGCATGGAATATTGCTCCACCCGCTTGCTCTCATCCCACACCGTGAACAGGTCTATGTACCTGCACCAGGGTCACCGCATGCAATTGTTATTATTTTTATTACACGCTCTCCTGCCAAGAGGCATACTCCTACCCCTGGATGGACTCGCCAGATCCAAGCAAGACCCAATCAAGCGTGGCCACGGTGTTTAGTATTTATACCGCCCCCCGCCAGCCGGAAACAACGCATATAATTGCATTATGTCTTGCAACTGATCGCATGCGGTGTCTATGTACCTGCACAGCTTGGCGTGCACGTCCTCCGACAGGCCCGGCGCCGGCGGGTGCATCACCTCACGCGCGAATTTTATCACGTGCGACTGCGCACGCACAAACACTCATCAAACTTGATCCGGTGAAAAAAAGCACTTCAAGAGTAAGCACCTATAACACCTGGCTTGTACTGAAGATAATTTTCTGCAAGCCTGGGTGCGGCAGGTTGTGTAACATGCAGGTGCCAGGCTGAGCGCTGCCAGGCACATGCAAACTTTGTCACGTGCGACTGTGCACGCGTCAGAGAGACTCGTCAGCATCTGCTTCCGGACATTGTCTTTCTCGGTCATTCACTGCCTCAGTAGTCACCTTGCAGGAACGGCAACAGGGATACAAACACATACAGCACCCAAGTAATCACTGGAGAATTCCCAGCGTCTTTCTGCAACGCAGCCTTGCTGACATGCTCTATGATGGTGCTGCGCTGATGCATGCAGCGCTTCCAGTTGATTCTCTTCTCATGCTCGAGGAATCAGTAAGAAGGTACTGCGCACCAACATGACGTGGCCTAGTGTGCCAGACGGTGAAGCTACCGCAAAGCTGGGCTTGCCCTGCGACACCTGCATACACACAGCCAGGTTGCTGAAGTCTGCTCGCACTACATCACTGTCAAATACATTAAGCATAGCACTCTCCCAATGTCAGCCAAACTACAGGCTTGTTTGCAGATCAGGACAGTCTGAAACCCAGGGATTTTCTCCTATTCACATTAATGTGCGCAGGTGCTCACGGAGGTGCCTGCTTGCACTTCCAGTGTCATGTATTGTACATGCAATATTGGACTCTCCTAAAGCCATCTGGATCACAGGATTATTCCCAGATCGTAAAAGTAAATCCCAGGGACTCATTCCTATTCACACCAGCCTGCATAGGTGCTCGGGAATGGTAGGCATCCAGATCACCAAAGGGTAATCTCGGATCCGAGCAATGAACTACAGGGCTTCTCTCCTGTTCGCACCTAAGTATGCAGGTGCTCAGGAAGATGCCTGCTTGCACTTCAGTGAAACATACTGCACATGCGGTATCGCACTCTCCTGACGCCATTTAAATTACAAAATTGTTCCCAGATCAGAGTAATGAGAAGTGCAGGAATCCAGTCTTCGTCACACCTGGGTGCGCAGGTGCTCCGGGGAGGGCAGGCTGGGATCCCCCGGGTCCCCCCCTTGGAGGGTCCCGCCGTCCTGCGCCGGGGGGACCTGCTGGGGGGGCAACGCCTCCGCGCTGTGCTGCGGCTCCGCGCTCTGCAGCGCCGCCGCGTGGTGCAGCGCCAGCACTGCCGGGTGGGGGTCCGGCTGGGGGGACCACACCGCCTGTGTACGCAGGCCAAAAGCAATTTCAGAGAAGTGCGCATTTTAATCATAGCCTGCCTCAAGTATATCTTAAACCCAATCCTTTTGCCCAATCAAACAGTTCCTGAGGAATACAATGGAGTATGTTGAAGATGTATGAGCTTCAAAGTTGCTCATTTTTGCCTTGGGGAGAAGGATGGCGGCATAATTCTGCTATCCCACGAATATCGTGCAGAACACTGTGCAAGTGGTGTTAGAAGATGTCGCAGCGGCAAAGCATTGCTTGGGAGCCCACCTGTGACATGTCTGCAACGGTCACAACCCCTGCAAGCAGAGAGACAAGCGCTGTCAGCAATAGTCTGAACAAGGAGCTGACTCTCTGCAATTACCCAATACGTTCCACAGTCCATGCAGAATGACAGCCATTTACTAGCACTGGAGGTAGAACAAATGAATGCTACAATGTGTGATGAATGCTCTCAGGACATCCAGCGTCCAAAAAGAAGCTCTCCTTGTTCACAGGGTCTTTCTTCAGGTTCTAAGCAGACACATTACTGTCAGGAGACAAGATCATTGAATGGCACTGGTAATGTGTGTAGACACTGCTACTCCAGAAGCAATGGGATGATAGAAGCATGGCACGCACCATGCGAGTGGGGCACTGCAGCGTTGTTCTCCAGCTGGTGCTGCTGCAGGTGCCCCCCGATTTGGTGGGGGAGACCCAGGCTGTGGGTTTGGTCCCCCACCAGGGGTATGCTCTGGACAGCAGCATAGCTCTGCGCCAGGTGTGCGTAGGGCAAAGCATGCATCCCCACAAATCCATTCGCGTCCGCTGACGCCAGTGTCGCCATGTCTGGCAGCTGCACAAGGCATCCAAAGATCCCTCAGCATGCCAGAATGCACAAGTCTTGCACCCAGAACCACGGGTTTCATACAAAATATGATCATACATTTCCAGAGTGATGGGCTGCCCTCCCCCAGCCTTCTTTAGCTGTGCGTGACATGGCAACCACTGTCTTAGCATACCAGAATGAACAGCCTTGCACCTACAGAGTGATGCCTAATTTTCCTACTGCACTGTTTCCTTCCATGCTCCTGATAATGCAGCCTCGTGCAGGAAATACCATCACAAGCCAAATGCCTTTATATAAAGGCTACTCCTGAAACAAAGTCCATGCATTTGCAATTAATTGGGATTGAAAAGGCACCGTTGCATAATTGGACGGTGTGACCCAAATTTGTTCATGTGCCCCAACTTGGTGAAGTTCCACTCTTGCAAATCACCCCATCTGTAAGCAGACTATCAACGGATGCCGGCTCAAACTTCTTGGGGAGCAGCTGGGATATTGCACCTGAGCAAGGCGAGCCACGTTCTCGTAGTCTGGATGCTGCTGTTGCTGCTGCTGCTGCTGCTGCTGCTCCCCCGGCGCCCCTGTCTGCATTGGATGCGATGCCTTCCCTCGTTTCCTGGGCGCCTCTGAACCCTCCTCCCCTTCTGCACGAAAACAAACCATGTAGCCTGCACCATCTTTATTGGAAATCCCTATGAGGCCATGCATCAGTGGCGGTGTGCGTTCCAGTGCAGGTGCAAAAGGCTGTTTGGCCCCTGGCCCTGCTGATCAAACAGCAGGTCCTGATTTGCATGGTGCAGAATGAACACACACCAGGCCGTGGCTCCTTCCGGTCCACATTGACCATCCCCTTCTCCTTGTGCTTGTTGCAGAACTGGCCTTTCTCCTCGCCCTTCCAGTTGAATGCTGGTCGTGTGCTGCATCCCGGCTCTGCACACTGCCTGTGCTTCACGTTGACCATACCTTCCTGCGCTCAAAGCAGTTGACGTCTTTGTCACAGCAGAGCTTATGGAGGTCAGGAATACCGTTGAAGGGGTGCGTGAAGATCACAGAACTTCCCATGGAAAAGATCACATGCAATGATTCGCTCAAATAGCTCCGATGCAAATTAAAGACACTGTTTCTGGTCAGGCAAGCAGAAAGTCTTGGTAGTGAAGTGTTCTGCACCAGTTTGTGCTGACTGCAGAATTCTCCTCTGGACTGTCCTGAGATATTGAATGAAGCTAGCGTGGTACACCCGTCCACCTTGCAGTGTGGGTGCACGATGTCTATCATGCCTGCCTCCTTGTGCTTGCTACAGAACTTTCCTTTTTTCTCTCCAACATGGTTGAAGCGTGCGCTAGTTTTGCAACCTTCAAAAGTGCACACCCGCACCATGTCGATCCAAGTGATCTGGAAAGTGTGCACGCACAAACAGACACTCGTTTGTAAAGCGAGGTCAGATTGCACTACGACTGCAGTGCATGTTGTTCCTGTTGTATTCTGATAGTAACCACACTTACAAATGCAGCTTCCTTGTCAGAGGCATCGCTTGTCAAACAATGGTGCAAACCAGAATGCTCGCCATTTGTTTCCCTGCAAGAAGCCCTTCAGCTTTGCTGACCTGTCTACCATGGCGTTTCAGGGGTTTCGGGGACTGTGACAGAACATTGGACAAGCATGCAAGAAGCTGTACAGAGCGCAAGATGTAATGTTCCCGCCGGAAAGATAGCGCATACGTTGAAATATCAGAGGTGGCAAGACCAAATCCAAGCAGCCGCTTAGCCACGCAACTACCAATTGTACCAGCTGGAGATGGGATGTGAATGGTTCTAACTTATTGAGCACTCCAACCCATGAAATTGCATAAGCAATTATCATGGACGTCAAGATTCTCGCTTGCTCTGGTGGCTTCCATCGCACTGATAATCTTATATTGCAAGATTGGCACCACATCTAAAGATACCCAGCTGCAAAGGAGTGCGGGATCTTCGTCACAACATCGCCTGTTACAATGGGTGAAAGCGAACGGAGGCACGGTGCGTCGCGAAGGCTTTCAGATGAAAGCAGTGAAGCACTTTATACAGTTTTACAGATTCTCTCCCGTGAGTCTGCAGAAGGACCCTATAATGTGTCTGGGACCTAGGTCAACCTTTTCATAGACAACGTCAAGGGAAATTGTGTATCTGCAGGCTGGAGTGGGCATTGGGACCGTCAATGACAAGGGCTTGCGCGGGGTGTTTGCCACAAGGAGCTTCAAGGAAGGCGACACGATCATATCCATCCCGGATCGACTAGCTGTGGGACTTGCATCCCATGACTACACTGCTGCGGTGGGGATCTCCAAAGACAGTCAACTTTCTCTCATGTCTCTCCCTCTGGTCATTAGTAACCAGACCTCTAGATGGGGCACCCTAATACAGCACGCATAGCAGGAATGCGCAGACAAGGAACTTCCCCATGCGGATGACACCCCATGCTTACCTAAGCTGATGCACCCGTGCAGGAGCTGACATTTGCACTGCTCCGGCTGCAATCCCTTAATTCAGAATGGTGGGACTTCATGAAGCCTTACTGGGACAGCCTACCGAAGGATGGAGAGGTCCTACGGGAGCAGAGTTTCTCAGATGATCTGCTGGCCTTGCTGCAAGACAAAGCCTTGGTAATGTGCTGCCTTTTGCCCGCTCATCCTGCCAAGAGCCCAGTCACTCCCAGGAACCTGGCATTGTGGGAGCAGCACTGGTGACATAGCTCCTTTCTCTCCTAAGATGACTTGAAGATCCAGTGGCGGCAGCCTTCCTGCATCTCTTCCTTCATCTTTATTGTTCGTATGCCCAATCTAGAGGAGTGCCAGGGTATGCTTTGTTATGGCCTGCCCAAAAAAAAAACCAAATCGAGCCGCAAGAACAGCGGCTGGGGAGCTTGAAAAAGCAGCTAATCACAGCTAGATGAACAGTAGAGGCTCAAACTTTTTCAAGCAAGTGCCTACATGCGGACGAGTCAAATTTGACAGGATGTCCTGTGGCTGCTGAGCAGGCTGCAGAGGCGAGGAAGGAGCGTGAGTTTGCAGAAGCGCTGTATCACGGGACAGCGGAGAGGGGTTATGAGCAGGGCAGCCTAGCACAGGAGATGCCCAACCTCAATATATCTCTGCAGGAGTTCAAACACCTCAGCACCGTCATAGGTGCGCATCTGACCCTGATCCAGGGGCTCTGATCAATTTGGTTTTGAGTGTTTGTGATGCTGCCTGCAACAAGAGCATTAGTGGATGGCGGCATTTGTGCTGAAGCCGCTAATAGAGCTTACATGTCCCCATATTATATCCTTGGCCCTGGCTAGCGGAGGGCGGTCGAAATTTGAGAACCATGCCCTCGGCCGTTTAAGTCTTGCTTGGATCTTGGATCTTGCGAGTCCAACAAGGTGTGGGCTAACAGTAATCTTCAGCTGCACCTTGTCTGCGGGTGCACCTTGCCTCTTGGCAAGAAAAAGCGCCTGATTGAAACAACATGGTATGCTCGTTTTCCTGATTGGAACAGGTGACTGACCTATCATCATGTGATTGGATGTAAGGACTCATCATACGCGCAGGCAGCTACACATTCGCGTTTTCGAGGAAGGCAGGCGAGGACGTCATGATCCGGTACATGCTGCCGCTGATGGACAAGATGAACCACGCAGCGCCGGAGGAGGCGACTGCGCTAGTCAGGCGCGACCACAGCGCAGGGCAATTCTTGGTCATCGCCATCCGGGACATCCGGGAGGGGGATGAGGTGCGCATTCATGCACCTGCACGCACATGCTTGCCTGCTGCTCGCACATGCACGCACACGCTGCCTTCCGCTTTGGGGATGCTGGTACGCCTGGCCGGTGTGCTAATCTCCCAGCACCTGCCAGCACCCGTTGGCTGCTGCTGGCGCATGCACGCATACGCTGCACTTTCACTTTCTATTATATTTGTGTGAATGACATTGAATCCTCACAAAGTGCATGCGACCATCTCTCTTTGCTGCGATGCATAGATGCATGCAAGAGGAACGCTGGCAGAGCAAAAATTTATATGTTATTTGAGAGATAATTTGCTCTCTCTGGTCTCAATCATTGATAAGCGAGATCCTGGAACAACCAGACAACTCACACAGAATTGGGTTGGGTTTGCAGGTGAGATTCACGTATAATCTGTCACTGCTGCGAAACGATGCGAGCCTGTTCAAGTACGGTTTTGTGCAGCAGCAGGACCCCCCGCGGCTGTGCGGGGTGGACCTGCCCGGGGGGTACCTGGGGGGGGTCCAGGAGGGACCCCCCTGGGAGTACTACGCCGGGGGGCGCCTGGCCACCAGGGCTGAGCATGCCAGGCTGACAAAATTACTTTCCAGCTTCCCCACATCAGAAGAGGAAGATTCTCGCATACTGAAAAGTGCGCCCCGCTTCCTGCCCCCAAATTACTGAAATGACTCAAGTGGACTCGAGTTCACCTGCCTTATACAGACCATGCCGGGACTGTGTCCAAGCATCCCTGGTTTACTTTATAGTGAAACGGTGCCCCACTGCGAGGTAACCTGAGGCCGTGAGGTCCAGAGGATTGCACAAATACTGCAAGACTTGGCCATTGACAGACAGGCTGATGTGTCACTGGGGACCCAGATTTCCAGGCTCCTGTAAGGGGGAAATAATATTGGCGTTTTGACGCCAAAGTGGATGGAACTGGCTTTGGCATTTTTATAATTCCCTTTTTTGTCTCCCTGCTTCTGCGGCCAGCAGAAAGCACAAACCATGGCACGCGAGCAGCAAGTGTCTCAGCTAGCATCGCGGATTGTCCAGGCCATGTGCAAAGCTTCTCTCGTGATGAAGGACAACTCTACCTTGCCTCAACTGCGTGAGCAGGCATCGGATGAGCTCTAAGTTGGCTGGACGCAGTGAAATGTGACTGTCGGACTGACGGTGTCTCTGGTGTGCTGTGCAGGTCAGAAGGAGCTAGATCGATGGGCCAGAACCTTCATAGAGTTTCGAATGCTGCGCAAGAGGGCCTTGCAGCACACAATAAAGATACTTAATGACACCCTTTCAGAGCTTTAGTGGGATCCTAGGGTACGTGGCAGTTGGTTTCAATTTGGAAACCTTGGTCTGATTGTTCATGTTCTGCAAGCATTGCAAAAACTTTTCACCTGGGATTCCTCCTTGTTGCAGTAATACCCAACTGGTGCCAAATAACCGACACTGCCCTTTCTGACTGAGTGCGCACCTGTATCCAACTATTTGATGTTACTTCTGACATTCGAAGACATTGTAAAATCTTCTCTAAAGATGCTAGCAATTGGACGGTTTGAATGCTACAGCTGTTTTCGAGTTTTGTGACTAGCTATGATCATGACCGCTGGCTATGGGCCATGACTAAAGGGAGGTGTGGCGCTGTGCACATGCATGGCATGCGTGCATATGCCAATGCATATGTGGGGCATGCCTTATTTCACAAATCTAGAGCAATTACTCTGGTGCATTATCTGAGCGATCAGGCACTGCCCCAGCTTTGCAGGATGTTCACAACAATATTGGTTCCCCAGCCAAAGATATGGCAGGTCCCATAATCGCAAGTCAGTCAGCACTAGTGGCACGAGTCAGGGAACTAGATTCAGTGGGAAACTGCGATTCAGCCACAAATGGCCACTGTCTGCCGATTATATTAGAAAGGAGTATCACAGGCATTCCTTTCCTCGAATTCATTGCACCTCGCCACTTGTCTTCACTCGTTCGTCGCCCCTCCGCCGCACCTTTGCACCGGATCGTTGCACGGCCTGACTGCCCCACGCCCTTCTTGTCCAGGTATTGTGCAGGCCTCTTGAATAGTTGCAGTTGGTTGTGCAGGCCCTTTACCAAGATGCAGCTGACGCAGAGTTTTGCAAAATGTCTCGATCCTTGGTATACTTGCACTGGGTTGAGGCATATGGCGAAATTATGTTCGAGGCAATAGAGTGAATAAAGAATTTTTTCAGGTATGCTGATTGATTTTTAATACATTGTGCGATGTGGCGCAGGGTGCATCCCAGAAGTCTCCAGAAGTCGTCCAAACGAGAAGCACAAGATGACCGCCACACAGCCACCCATATGGCACCTCGCCCAGCCGGAGGCAGACACGGATTTCCTTCCGTACTTCGTGCATCCGCAAGCGTTCGGATACCCGGTCTGCTCCCGGTTCCGGAGGCAGCACGACGATATCATCACAGAGCATTGTCTCGCAGTTTTAGAAAACGTGAGTAGCTCCCCTGTCACTGCAATGCTGAATATACACATGCAATAAAATTGATGCTTTTGTGTGTGGTTCTGAAGCTCAAGTTATCACTTGCATGCTTGTCCCAAGGTGCAGCAACAGGAGCTGTCTCAGGCCAAAGTTCTGACATCTCTGGGTGCATCTGCAGATCATCGCTGTGTACAGGAACAAAGCAGTACAACAAGTGCGAGATGGCTTCTATGCTCTGGCCGTCAGCAGCCTCACCAGTGCACTGGCTCTGCTGCCAAACAGCGTGGAGTTGCTGACAGAGCGGGCGGTCCTGCACATCTGCAGTGGTGACCCAGCGGCAGCTGTGAGCTCCTCTGCCAATTGCACTTGCTGGCAAAGAAAGCCCCTGCAGTGCACCCAGCACTCTTTGGCACCTCAACAATGTCTCTTGCCTCTGGATCTCCTCTTGGACATCAGTGATGGTAGTCTTTCTTGGTGCGTGACGTTTCATGTTCTACCCCTGCAGGAGCTGGACACCTCCATGGCTCTGGCACTCGACGACAGCAGCGCGGATGCAACTTACTTCAGAGCGCAAGCGCGCAGCCGGACCGGCAACATATGGAGCGCGGCAGCCGATTGGCACCGTTGCCTTCTGCTCCCGCGGCTCCAGGAGAATGAGCGCTGACGGTCATGACTGAGCAGGTGACTCATCGCCCCGTCAGCAACTGCTTGCTGTGCCTGATGAGATCTTGTCCGCTGTGCTCACCTGGAGTGCATGTGTGTCGGCGCCACTTCCGCCTGCTGCTACAGCTGTAGCAGTCCTTGCACTAGTCTAGACTAGGGTGATGATGATGACGGAAACGCCCCTCTGATGCGCAGGATCTGATCGAGGCGGAGGAGTACGTGGCCGACATCAAGCGGTGGCGCGCGGAGACCAGCGAGGCAGGCTACAGGAAGATGCGCGCCGAGATCGAGGAGGCATCCGCTGCGCGCAAGGCGCAAGCCGCTGAGCTGGCAAAGGAGGCCCTTGCCCAGGGGGCGTTCCTGTCCTGGCAGCGCTTCTCGGCCTTCGTGCGGCGCCAGCAGGAGGCCGTGTCCTTCACTGCCGCCGAGGACGTCTGCACCGCCGCCCCCCTCAGGTACCCCATCTGTCACCAGCCGCCCCCATTTAGAGCCCCTGCTGCGCTTGCATCTCCTTGAACCAGCATGAAACTGTCCCATGAAGGCTGCAGCACCTGGAGCTGACGCTGCTGTGCTGCTGTGGTGCAGGACCGAGGCGACCTGCGCGAAGGGCGACTTACCCCCTGACAGCCCTCGCAGTGTCACCAACGGTCTGCTGAGCGAATCAAGCTCCCGGCCGGACAGCCCCAGGCATGCCGTCGGACACAACATTTCTGATGTCATCCACGCTGAGGTGGCGGCCAGCTGGCCATCAACCGAGCGGTGTCACAGGGGACTGCCAGACGCGCAGCTGCTGGCCATTGAAAAGGCGCTCAGCGGTCAGCCAAATGACCCGGTCATGCGCCTCGCCAGAGCCGCCCACCGCTTGTGCGCCGGCGACATGCATGCTGCGGTGCGCGTTCCCTCCTGTGCTCCATCTTCTTGTGACTGCATTGGTCATTGTCATAGTCACTTGTTACCTGTCAGGAACCTGCAATCTGCCTGGTGCTGGAGGCAGTGCGAGCCAAGGTGGCTTTTACAAACTGCTGTGCTGAGAACTGACTGCCCTGCAGAAGCTGGACATCGCCACAGCGCTCGGCTTCCAACCAGATCTACCGCAGACACAGCGCTGGCGCCGAAGAGATGCACACTGCTGGCGCCGGAGAGATGATATGCTGCAAGACTCGCACATGGCATCTGCAGTCCAGGAGGTGAAAGCCGCGGCGATTCCCTTTATTCTTTGTTACACTCTGCAGCCAAGCATGATTGACTCCGGCTTGTTGCATGCATGGGTGCCGCCAGACTTTGCTAAGACTCAGGTTGCCTGCTGAGGTGAAGCATCAGCTGGTTTTGCAGATGTACTTAATAGTGCCTGCTGTGCTGCGCAGGTGATGGGCCACCTTCAGAGCTTCCTGGCGGGCCCGAGGGACGACGCCAGCCTGGAAGGGACGGCCGCAGCATGCGAAGCGTGCACAGCGCGACACGCAGAGCTGGCAGCACAGGCTCATGCTGCCGCTGAGCTGGCGGCGTGCAGCAGCACCGCAGCTGCCGCGAAGCTGGCCCTGGCAGCCTTGCAGCCGGAAGCTGATGTCAAGGGTAGCAGCAGCAGCAGCGCGCCAATCTCAGCGCCTGCAGCCGCCAACGCCCAGCCGGCCAAGATCAAGGAGAAGAGGAGGGGAAAGAAGAAGGGCCCCAGCCGGCGGCACGAGAACAGAGTCATGATCCAGTACTGAGACTGCACAGACTGCTATTGAAGGGTTGGCCCATGTTTGATTGTTGGGATGCGGACAGTCGGCAACGGGACCCATTGAAAGAGTTGGAAACGAAACAAACATACTGGAAACGGGTATTCCAATGGCATGCAGCTTATGATTGTTGATCAGAATATGCCAGCCCTTTCGCACAGAACACCCGCTCCCTTCCATCTACATTTTCTCGTCTTTTCCAAATATACACACACCAGTGCCCATTCATAGACACCTCCCCTAGTTTTTGACTTATCTGGATGTCCTTACAGCGTTGCCCTTGTTGCGCAAGCATATTTGCCCTACAAGTTTGCTTGTCACGTGCACAAACCCAATTGTGCGGGAAACCGAGAAGCTGTCATGTCCATGCATCATGTCGACCCGCTCTCTGACATTTACAGATATCAAAACTGTGATGATGAAATTTTCAGTGCAAACTAATCAAAACACGATAAAGTTGCGAGGCCCATGGGCTCTTATATATCACTTGCTTTATTTGGTCTGAATGTTTGGCAATCAAACGTGTATCAGCTTTTCAGGATGTAATTTAGCATAGATCTGGTTACGATCGGGCGTCTCAGCTCAGACAGATGCTCGAAACCCGCTTTGTTGACCTATTTTACGCGGTCGTGAGCGCATTTTTAGTGTGCAGTCATCATGCACATGGCACCCTGTCAACGAAGACGCATCGTGAGAGAAAGTGGACGGTATGTGAAAGCCACACCTCTTGTGTGAAATGCAATTGCCTATATTTTCCGGTTCCAAAGCATTGAGTATTAGTTTCACCAAGAATTTTCTTTTCTATGGATTGTTGTGTGCCACTTAACATTGGCACAAACTTTTGAGGGCGGTCGCGACTCGACTCGACTCTTTGAACGGGTGGTACCTTGACTCACGGTGCAGGAGAAACTTGGTGGCCACTTTGATGTTTCAGCCCAGTGCGGAGCAGGATGGCAAGCTTGGTACCAAAAATTGCATGCAAATATCTTGCAGAAACCCTTATCCGAACAGAGGTTTGCTGTGGCGCAAGTTACTTACAACGGTTTGGGAGATCGGCTGGCTTCGACTGTTTCAGTTTTCTATTTTGCAATGTTGACAGGTGGGCTGCAATTTACCTGCGACGCTTCTCTCAGTAGCTTAGACTGCATAGCCTGTGGTTGAACCATGGCTTAGATCTGCTTATTGCCCATTGCATGTCGGCAAACAGTGTTACATTTAAGGTGATACAACTGCCTTGTAGATTGGACGTTGCCCCGAATTTGGCACAATTGAGCTTCTTAATCGTGTTTCAGAAAGGCACCACATGTTTCTTGTATTCGTTTACCATAGGTTCTGCCTTAGCTATTGCCCTACTCTGTACGCGTGTGTATTCTATATAGCCATGCTCTACTGATGGAATTGTTGAACTTACCCCGCGGCCAGATAATTTGCAAGCTACCACAAGCAATACCACCATTCTTTTGTCTACAGGCCGCGCGTTTCGTATTCAATGGTGGGAGTATGAGGAGACGGTACACCCTGCACTGGAGTCAGCCGTTTCCTCCCCTTACATAGATTGGAAGTCAGTGCCTAGCGATCGACTTCCCGGCAGCACGCACATTGAAGATCACCCTGAAAGCCAATCGAACTTACACCCGTACGCGCAAATAAAAGTACACGAAGATGTTGTCACTAGATAGTACAGGTCCCAGAATGATACTGTTGAATAATAGCCCTTTAAGATTCTGGGCCGACCTTGCGTTTGTTGTCCGAGGCTCCATAAAACTCAGTGAGAACTGAATTTAGAGATGAGAAAATTACCTCCAGACAGATTTATGGACTCAACAAAGATTTGATATTCTTTTAGATTGGACGATGCATTAATTGAGTTGTTCAAATTTGCTCTGGTTTCAGGTTTGGCCACATAAATCTGGGAGATATAGGAAATGTTTCACGCACAGTGTGGTGGAAGGCCAACACAGGCTCTCTTGATGAACTTTTTTATAACCCCTACCACAGACAGCAGGTGAGACATGGAGGTTGCCACCCACGCATGCTTGGTTGGAAAGTAATGTGATGACATTACATCCAAGCATGCCTTTCCTGGTGCTCAACTGGAATGCTTATTGTCCACCCTAAGATTACTGCAGAACCGTATAATATAATATTAATATTATTTACTTAGAAAGTGCCATCAATGTACGTACATGCAATGTACTAATTGATTGTATACCATATATTTCATGATTGGTAACTACAGGAGCTGTTCATGATGTTGATTGGACAAAGACTTGCATAAATGATCATCATCATAATCCAACTTGCTTGGAGCATGCATAAATTTTCATTTCAAACTACACTGCGGTGGCTAGCACTGCTGGTGGCACCTCGTGGGGCTTACTCTGTCTAACACAACTAGTACCTGTTTCCGGAGTCGCTAGTCAATTATAAGGTTTATAAAGCCGAGTGGAATATCACGCAGTTGTTCGATTGGGGTGTACGGCCCGAAACGGCAACTGGCTGCGCTTTGGCATACCTATTCAGGCCCCGTCCAGAGGTAAGCCAAATAGGCACATCACCATGTTATGCAGCTGTCTCAAACAGGCATTGTGATGAACAAAGGGCAGTCCACTGGCATTATCCTTCTCATATAAGGCGTGAGTGTTGACACCGGCCCCAGCTGGCGGGGCGATACAAATACTAAGTTCCGCACTCGTGATATGGTTACTTGGGTCTTGCTTGGATCTGGCGAGAAGTTTTGTTCCCCATTAATTCAGCTTGCACACGTACTTTTGCCTCAGCGCAAGAAATGTGTCCAATAATAAATTAAGATATCTCCACATTAATGAGTAGTAAGGTATGCGAATAGGAGTGGGAATATGTTTATTACGAATAATAGGACCAATAATAAACATAGTAATAGTGGATGCCATGCCATGACATGCCATGCGTAAGAATCTCATTGTAGTACTTACGCAATGTCGTTTCTGCCTGCTATACAGACACTTGATTTGGTACGAGATAACTACCGCGAGCTGAAGGATAAGGCTGCTCTTAAAATAGGCGTGCATGTTCGATATGGAGATGACTACTTAAAAGGAGCTCCTGGCAAAGGGATATGCCAAGGTGACGTTCAAGACAAATCAGATTGGTGGGCATGCGCGAAAAAGATTGAAGAGGAATATCATATCCCAGGGCAGCGTATAATCTGGTGAGCCTCAAAACTCTCAATCTCGGTGGGGACAAACAGCATAAGTGAAATGCAATGGATTGTACACAGAGTTGGTCAAGCATCCTCGTTGGCGTGAATGGGCCCCAAGGCCTGGCTTTGCATGAGCCCATTTAGGCGCAAATTGTGGCAACTTGCCGTTGAACGCGTGTTGCATGGCGAAGGCGGCTCTAGCGGTTGTTTAAGTGCTGATGAAAGACAAGCTGTATGTTGACTTCAGGTATGTGATGAGTGATTGCGCCGGACTGCCCTTCAGAGTGGCAGAAAGGTTTGGAGACAAGGTACTTCTACCTAGCCTCGATGCTCGTGTGGAGCATATTGATCATTTTACGAACAACCGTACCAATGACATACTTGTGCTGCGGTCAACCTTTGCGGAGCATTATTTATTTTCCATGACCGATTTTCAGGTAAAATACTGCCATTGCCATTGCCAGGGCCACTGTGTGACACTGTCAATAGCGCTACTAGCTAGCTGTTTGCACCCATTGAGTTTGTGTTACACATATGACAATAGGGGCAAAATGAACCTCAAATTTTGGTGACACAGCTTTGGCAACATCATTCCATCCCATTTGTTGGCATCATCATCCCATTCGCCAATTGGCAACATCATGGTGAATCCAAATTATGGGAGTAATCTTGAAGGGACCATCAATGTGATACCTTTGATCCTGATCGATGATTTCTCATTGCCTTCTATGTGTGTCTGAAAGAACTCCCACATCCTGCTTGACAGACGACTTGTACGAGCCAATGGCTGATGATTCGAGGTTGATCTTTCAATAATTGAACCAAATCGTCCCTGTTTCTTGTTTGCGTACAATAAGAAGCCTGTCATTCAAGGATTTCATAGTAAAAATCAATATGCTGGCAAAGTTGTAGTCCTATCTAGTACATTGGTCGAAATTATTAACAATGATGCATTGCCAGGTGATCACGGACATATCGAGCTATGGAAAACTAGCAGCTTTGCGATCCCTTAAATATCGTTCCATCTTTGTCATCAAGACCCTTTACCAGGCTGCCAATAAACGAGTTGGATGCCATCGATCGAACTTTGACACTTTTGAGTACTTAGCAAATTCTTGGGTGAAGATTTAAATCAAATCACTAGTAGTTTACCCATTTTATATACTTTACTAGCACTACGGGGATAGAAGCTGATAAAGTACATATAGAACTTCCTATCTCACCTGCTCCCCAGGTAATTGCAACAGGCAAGCGCAACCTATAAGCGCTTCGGCCTGATATTAGAGATCTTCTAGGATATTGCAGATGCATATGTTGCGCTGGTAGGATTGGCCAATGAGGGACAGCCAATTTTGGTGTGAGTTGGTACCGAGATGCACTGAGGAGAGTATGGATTGGCCCGGGATGTTGCTGGTGTTTCCCAGGCTGTGGGAGACCCGTTATGTTGCTTGAACTCCATTGAGAAGCGAGCATTGAGCTGTAGTACAGCTTGCCTGCCATTGCCAAGCAAATCGATCAGTGGCCAATAATGAAGCCTTGGCCCAACAGTAAGTAGCTAGCGCTAGCATAAATGTTTGAGATTAATGGGACATGGTCTCAAAGAGACACTGGGGCCAAAAAATCCGAGGTGTAAGCACAATAGTGTTCCAACAGATTATTTGCCAGGCCAGACTACTGCTCTCAGACCATCCACACGACAGGTACTAGCTGCTTCTTGAATTAGTAGTGTTCAAAAAGCACTTTAAAGTGTTGGCGAGGTCATATATACCGAATTCACATTTTTCAGCGTGGGGTCATGATGTGCAAGATGCTAGCTATCATGCACGCAGTAAAAAATTTTGAAGATGCTTTGAAGGCCGAGCCGCTCCCTGGGAATCATGTACACTGTGCCTTCACCATCGCAAGGGCATCATGCTTTCTAGGACAGCACATAATATATCTTACATTCGATTAAACTATGGGTCGATGAAAGCAATGTACTTCAGCATGCAGACTTAGGCCCCCCGGGACAGCTTCAAGCAAAGCCTTACACCCATCTGTTCTCACTTATGGCAGGCATTTTATTTATTTGCAAGGTTCCCCAAGACCTGACGGGTTTCTTCCTAGGTGAACTAGTTTCCACGGGTCCCTAGCAAGATTTGACAGGAAGGTATCGAAAGCAAATTTTTACAACTTCAATGTGCCGGCAGGCTCATTTGTCTTCAAGCATCCAGAATTTCTGGAAACTGAACATTTGTTCAGCGGCAGCATTGTGGCGCCACAATGCCGGCTGCCAAGCTGCTGGTAGCCGTATGCATCACAGCTGTCTCAATCTCACTACCTCTCATCCCAGGATAGAAGTATTTAAAGGAAGGGGCATGATTGGGTGGCTGCTCACCTCATTCGACAGCTGGCGCACTCTGTCCTGGGCATCCGCCAGCTCATGACACATGTGGGCGGGGTCATCCAAGATGTCGCAGGCTCTGTCCCGCTCATACCTCAACTCCCTGGGCTTCAGCAGAGACGCGCCGTGCCGCTGATTGGCCGCCTCAAATTTCGCCTCCCTCATCTGCACAGTGCAGGCAGAGTTAATCTGGAGTCTCCCGCGTGCCCATTCCCTCTGTCACCGGGGAATCCGGTGAGTCCGCCGTGCGCTCACAACTGCCCTTATTGAATTAGTCCGGCAAACTACTGGTACCACCCCATGAAAAAACTAGCTTTGGTATACACAATAAAGAGATCCACAGAGCTGCCAGCTTTCACTGACCCTTGGGCCCTTTGTCCGTGAAGATCTCTTGCAGCTGTCAGCTTCTCTCCGACTAAATTGACCTGGGCAGTGCAGTGGCACTCACCTTGAATGTCAGCAAGTTGCGCTGCTCGTTCTTCTGTTGCACCAAGTCCTGCTGGGCAGCCAGGCCCGTGCGCAGCAGCCGCCTTGTGCGGTCCAGGTCGGCTGCGCTTGCTGCAATTTTCTGCTCTGCTGTGGCAGCGCGATGAAGAGCCAACTGCAGCCAGAACAGGAACCACAGGTCAAGATCTGTGGAGCCATAATTCAATGAAATGCCAGGTGCAAATGACCCAGCATAATGCAAGGGATGCAGACAGGTTGAGAGAAAACAATGGTGCGGGTGTGCACTCTGCACCCAAAGCCATGACGATGGTTCTGCCCAGGCAATGGGCTGGGCCTTCCTAATTGTTGCGCTCAAAAGCAAGCAGAATGTAGCACTACGCAGCCTGCAAGCACTGGATTCTGACATTCGCTGGGAAAAGTGAAGCAGGCAAGCCGATGCGCCTGCATTTGCTCATCTGGCCTTCCTCGCCTCCTGCGTTGCCGCCGAGCAGATGGGCGGCGGCCTCGGCTCCCTACAGGCCTGATGTGGCTGATTCTGGCGTAGGCTCGCAAATTCCCTCAACACTTTCCGGTTGTGTATGGTCCACGCGCGCACGCTTGGCCTGCAGGCGTGAATGCACAATGATTAGCAAACACGCTTGCTCAGTGTCTGGGTGCCCTGCGATGCCAAACTGGCAGAACCAAGAACTTTAAGCCCTCAGATGCAGGATCCAGAGTTCTGCACCACTTGTAAAAAGTGTGGATGACCTGCTGGCGGTATTCGTCGTCATTGGGCTCGTCAGCTGGTGTGTCCTGGCGATCCCTCTCTCTCTCGGAACCAGTGAAAGAGGTGGCTTTCTCCCTCAGAACCCATTTCGTCCTGTTACAGCCAGGAACACTCTTTGTGGATCAAGCGATTTGTACCTTTATATCTGCAAGAACACGCGTAGACGCGCCAAAATGATCACTGTGCACCAAATTAAAGGCCTAAAGATCCCCCATCCCCCATCTGGCCGCCCTCAGAACAGTCTCTATGGCAAGCCAAATCAAAGAGCCTGCGTCAGCTTCAAATTTACAGAAGAACATTTTTGTTAGTGTCTAATGTGCATTAATTCTACGATGCAGTCCTCCCTCGACCGAGTAAGCTCTTGAGACCGGCCATCGAGTCGGAACATCGCAAGCGTTCATGTTGTTCCAGAAGCTGGGAACATCCATACCAGCAACCTACCTCACCCACAAGCGCCGTGACGTCGTTGACGAGTGCGCAGACGCCCATATTCGCGCGGATCGTGAGCTTCATTACACTCTAATGATCAGTTCTGTTCGGCTGTTGGGTGCACGCTTATGGTTCCACCTGGTCTTACTGCAAGTGTTTTAAATTAATACTGCACAAGATGGAAGCTGAGGCTGCAAATTCATACTTTCAAGATGGTATGATGGAAGAGTGACCTGGAGAGGAAATGATACGCCGACAGATGGAATCCTCGCAGACCCTAGGGTTACAAGCTGCACTGGAAAAAAAGTATATGCTAGAGGGAGGCCATTGATTGCAACGTATCTCTTGAATATCCCTTTATAATCACACATATGACAGAGCATTTCCACACACCACATTGAGTCAAACTAATAGTATGCCGGCAGCATCGCATCAAGGACAGGCTCAGTCAAGGCTTGATCAATGAGTGTGCTTTGTGCAATCGCAGTGAGCGCAAGACAGCCTGTCTGGCAAAGGCAAAGAACGCTGAAGCCTTATATTCTTTTTGAAGGTTCTTTAATAATCGTCTACCGGTGCTGAAGCTGATTATTTGTTGTGTTGGATGAGCAAAGCATGAGAATCGGAACCCTAGCTAGCTAGCTAGCTAGTAGCGTTAGGGTGACTCACCAATAGTCCTGTGAGTGGCAAAGTTGTTCTGGAGGAGACCGCATCGGCCGCAGTGATTAGACTGCACAGACTGTGCTGAAGGAATCGAAGTTGCACTGATGTGACAAAAAAAGCAGACTTTTGCATCAATCCGAGGTACTGAACTGGCAGGCATGCCCAATCTGCCACTTGTGAGCCATTCGACCAGTTCGGTTCTGTTACAATGGCGACCGTCATCACAGCCTTGCCGGACCAGCCATCGTAGGCAACAGGTGGGGATGCTTCATCTGGCTCGTAACCAGTTGTTGTGCATTTCAGGGGGCATGGCATGTGCAACGGCAAGCTGCACAATTGCAATTAAGGCTCTCCGAATCCATTTTTGTTCTAGCATTGATTTATAGAGCGTTTAAAGTCGCCATGGATTGTGTCTCCTGTATTTTGTGGCAGTTTGTCCACAGGTGGTCAGCTCTAAGGTCACACAGATTGACCAATCAGTGATTACGGTCGAGCAGCTGTTGGCAGAGAACAGAGCGCTTCGGCAAGCGCTATCCCGGGTGCAAGGGGTGCCTGCTGGAGAGGTAAGGCTTTCAGACAATGGCTACTGGAATTCTCAAGCACCTATTGTTCAGGGGTTGATGTCTATGATCCATATTGCCCACAAGGCAATGCATTTTCTTGCTGATAGACCACGCCGCTGTGTTCAGGTGCGCTTTGATCTGGTGGATGAGGAGGCTGTATCAGGTGACAGCGCAGCAGCGAGTGCCTCAGCGGATGCAGCAGCACAACAGCCAGCCGGGCGCTCAGTAACCACTGCTCCAGCGCCAAAGGAGGTGACTTTGGAGGTCATTGAAGGGGGCATCAGCTGGCCGCAGCCCCAGGAGGAAGCCTTCTGGGAGCGACCACCCCGATCCGAGGCTGTGTCACTCGGTAAAATCTCTGAACGCCTTGTTGGGCAGTGGCAAGACAGTTGTCTTGCCACTGCCTCTCGCTTTTATACTAAGATCAAGAAGAGCAGGGTTTGATTTGGGCAAACCGTGAAAGGCGTGTTTGGAGCAAGGGGACAGGTAAGGACAAGATGTGATGAGGAGCTGTGGCATGCAGGCGCCTCCAGCTCTGGGCCAGTGGTGAGGGATCAGAGGTCGCTGCATGTGGTGCACATGACAGCGGAGATGGCGCCCATTGCAAAGGTAACCCCAACCTTCCAGCCCAAGCTTGAGTTGCGCTACTCTCAGGGTCAACCCCTTCACTGAATTTTTCCCAAAACAAAGAGTGTACAAGTCAAGATCCTGGTCTCTTGTTTGGCGACCAGAAATATAAGACTTCATCTTTCTCTTTGTTGCCGCCTTTCCAGTGTTCTTAGACACAATCTTCGAATTTTGGCTCTAATTTCCCAGAATCGACACGACTTCTGAGGATACTCACCAAAGAAGGAGCTTTTCCACTGAGTAGTGAGACCTTGAGAGTCTCCACACTTCCTGAGCCCTTTACCATAGGTGCAAGCCTGTGCTCTGGAGGCTTGCACCGGTGTCATTGCAAGGTTCTCCTGTAGCGGTGTTGGTGGGATCAGCGGCTGACTCATTCTCATGGCTACCTTACTTTCATGACTAATGGGTATGTGGGCGGTTACGTGAGCCTGATGACTTATGGCCAGGTTGGCGGCCTGGGGGATGTGGTGACGGGGCTGGCGCGCGCATGCTTAAGCCGCGGCCACAATCTGGAAGTCATGCTGCCCTTCTACGAGTCGCTGCCCGAAGACCAGATCGAGGGCCTGCAGCACGACCGCGACTTTGACTGTCCCAAGGTGACTTGCCTGGGGTGGTTTTTCTTCTTTGGGTGATCACCAGCACCTTTGTTGGAAAGGCTGAAGATGTGTTCAGCACCGAGGAAAACAACACATTTGATCAGCCTTTTGGCTGGTAAAAAAATAGTGTTCCCCTTTTTCAGTGCTGCTGCGTGCTCCTTTCATCCCTGCCCTGCTGCAGACATAAAGGGATTCAGCGCAGTGCTGAAGAACTGTAGAAAACAAGTTCTCATGTGGAATTGCAACCTGTTCCTCTTAGGTCTGACATCTCACAGACAGAAGAAAGAATTGTTGCAGTCATGAACAAGTGTCGAAGCCGTGTTCTCAGATGCACTCGCTGCATGGCCTTTTGCTTAGACAGAACTCTGCAGTGCCTTGTAGACAAGCTTCTCCAACGAGATAAGCACTTCCAATGCCATATTGTTATGGGCGCTTTCCTGGCCTAGTACTGGCTCAACCTGCCTCATCTGACTCATCTGACTTATCCTCACTTATCTTAGAAGATCCACTCTTCTGCAGGGGCGGGTATGGGATGGAAAGATGCAGCCAGGCAGCCTGCGCACGAGCGTCTTCCGGGGGAAGATTGACGGCATACCTGTGCTGCTGCTGCGGCCAGATTGGGGCGCATGCAACATCTTCCGGGGCGGGCGCATCTATGGCGGCAGCTACAATGAGGTTGAGGCCTACCTGTACTTCTCCAGGTGCTGTTCTGCTACATCATGAGCAAGCACAGTGCAACTTAATGTAGGGTGAGAATTAGAGCAATGCATGCTCTCTTTTCAATGATACGAGACACATGGTAATAGACTTGCCTAAAAGGGCTCAGAACCGGGATTGAGGATGATTGCCACTGCCTAAGGAGCCCTTTTGCAACTGTTTGCTTTCTTTGAGCATTTGTCAAACCTGACCAACCCTGCGCGTTCGGCAAAAGTGACCTTGTTGTTGTGGTGCATGGCCTTCTGTGGTGGTGCTACAGCCCACATTGCAACAAGCACTATGGGATAAAGGAGGAGAGTGGCTATGAAAGGACAGGTCCTGGTGTGCAAGTGTCCAACATGAAAGACCTCTCAGGAGCGTTGCATGCTGCAGGGCTTGTTTGGAGTTCTTGAAGATTTCCGGGCGCCAACCAGAGATCATACACGCGCATGAGTGGCAGCTGTCTGCCGTGCCCATGCTCTACTGGTGTCACTTCTTGTCTGCTTAAAACCTCAACCTGCCTTTCTGTGTATGAACATGATCCCAATACACCTGTTTGTTGCCTGAACAAAGGCTAGAGAAACGCTGGCTTGTGGACACACTGGTGGTTTTGGCGGGGCTGTGCTTAAATGAGGGGTTCTTGGAGGTAAATGGATGCTGGTGTGAACATGTTACAGGGATGTGTACCATGCAAGCGGGCTGTCGCGGCCGCGAGTGATGCTGACCATCCACAACATGGACAACAGCGGAGAGTGCCGCCAGGACGAATTCGCCTACACCGGTGCGCTCTATATTTCGGATTTGGATTAAAAATCAAACTCAAGTTCAAAGTTAAAAGGTCCTTCTAGAATGTTTAGCACCGCGCGTACACCGTGAGGCCGCCCTTTCTCTCTGCTTGGCGCTCGCACTGCCTTGCATGCCGTCTTCTGTTGTTTGTACTGCAGCCTGCATGCACGGAACATACGGAGCCAGGTTTGTTTTTCAGAGCATCGGATTCAAGATATAGCAAACTGTGCGTGGCTTATGCTTGGAGCATGGTATGCCGGTGATGGCCTCGGAGCTCCAGCACGCAATTATCTTTCGGTAAAGTATTACTGCGCCTGACTCACATGCACCATTATATAGTAGCAAAGTGTCCGCAGTGACTGCGTTAGGGATGCCTTGGACCTGACATGCAATTGGTAGAGAAATGTAAGACAGGGAAGGCTGGAGGGGATTTATTGAGAGGCTGCTGCAAGGCACCTAGCCCTGAGGGCTGGACCAAGCGTGAAGGAATAGTAAGTGTTCACAGGCAGGGAATTTCTCGCTGAAGACTTTATGCTTGATGTTGCAGGGATGCCGGGAGAGGCGTTTGCTACGGTGGACAAAGCTCTGGATGAGCGCACCATCGGCCACAACCCGGAGCGCCTCTGCCTCATGAAGGTGCGCCAAATTAGACTGTTGATTTGAAAAGAGGAGGCACCAATCTACCGCGTCTCCGGCAAGTATGATTGACAGCATGCTAGCATTTTCAATACTGCAAGCCTTGTAATGTCTAAAACGTGAATCAGTTCATGGAGGGAATACTTTGAAGCCTCGCATGTGTTGCTCTGATAGACTGCTGAGTTTGGTAGACTGCCAGCAACGGCACTTGAGAGTGAATGCCTGGGCTGCGGGGTGACTTTGTGCTCGGCAACAAATACTTGGGCATGTGATATGGCGCAGGGTGGCATCATTTACTCGAATGCGGTCACAACGGTGTCGCCAACGTATGCAAGAGAGGCGTTGGAGGGCGGTGCGGCAGGCTGGCTGAGGTCAACGCTGGCCAAACCCGACGTGCGCGGCAAATTCAAGGTGACATGCCGCACTTTGCAGTATTGTAGAGGCCGCTGGCATGGATGCCCGGGGCATGCACTCATGCAGGCACCTTCTCATGTGGTTCCTACTGTTTCTGGATTGTCAAATTATCCATAGTGGGAGTGCCCTCTGCATCTCCTGGGTGCAATTCTGCAATGCATATCCGCAAGAATACTGAGATGCATGAGCATGAGGATGCCTGAGCTTACATGCCATGCCATCCTGACGCCCTTTCTTTGCAGCCCCTGGGCTCAGGGAACGAGTTGTGCACCCCTTATCACCACCAAACCTCTTACTTTCCTTCCTTATAGAAAAGGTTCAGTAACCCATTCCATGCTCCTGCAGGAGTTCTGGCATATCAAGCCACATTCTTTTCAGGTGGTGTCACTGAAGAATATGTAGATTTGAGTATGGTGAATTTTACAGTAATCCGGCTGGTGCGCGCAGGGGTTGCTGAACGGTATTGACACAGCGCTGTGGGATCCAGCGACGGATCCGCTCATCCCGGCGCCCTACACCCCCGAGCGGATGGAGGGCAAGGCGCTGTGCAAGCGCTACCTGCAGCAGGGGCTGGGACTCGACGTGTCCTTCGACAAACCCATCGTCGCCTGCATCACCCGCCTCGTGCCCCAGAAGGTGGGAACCAAACCTGATCTGCTTTGTGCTGATGTGAGATCACTGAATGACCTCATCTCGGTGTGCATCTCGGCAACTTAGCTCCAATTGGAAGATGATGTCTTTTGGTCGCCATAATACCAGCTCAAGATCACTGATTTGTGAATCATGACTTGATGCATTATCAAAAATAAGTTTGGTGCAAAGCAATGCATCTCAATCCTGTACCCCAGAATACTCGCAGGAGCACGGGGTCTAACTATATATTTTTGATGATCGGGCCCTACTCAGCAAAATTACTAGCGCATGCTCACTCTTGTGCGGGTGAGTGTCAGGGGTGAATTGAGCTATGTGCCGCCACGCAGGGCATCCACCTGATTAGGCACGCGGTGTACCGGACGGCTGAGCTGGGCGGCCAGTTCCTGCTGCTGGGCAGCGGCCATGCGGACGGCGACTTCCGAGCCATGGCCGCCCAAGACTTCAAGGACTCCCCCGATGTCCGCCTCATGGTGCGCTCAATTCTGTGGTGCTCCTCTCTCCTTTTTGTCCTGTTCTCCCTTTCCTGCCATATGCTATGGCTGCCTCATCAGCGCGGACGGAGACTGTGCTGACGCACATTCTACTCAGATATCATGAGATCCCGTGGTCCTGTGATGTCTCTCATAGAATCGAGGAATACACCTAATTGTTGCTTGATTGGACCCTTGATGCATCTTGTCTGGCTGCTACATGTCTGCTACCCAGCCTGGATGCCCCTAATGCGGCTGCCTTGGCATTTAGGGAGCTGCGTCTGCATGTGCAAGCCCGTGACAGAAAGTCGCTTACCTGGGCTTTCAGAACCGATCCCAGGGGGGATAATGGTGGGATGGCCAGATAAGCTCATGCTTCTGTTTGCTGATGGAGGTCTGGTGTGCCCAGAATATGCTGCCCTTCTGCCAGCAAAATATGCTAGGCCACAGTGATATTTTTGGCGTTTACTTAGAGGCACGATGCTGTCTGGGCCACCCTGTGAAGCACTATTCTCCTGCGGGAGTGCTTGCATCACTAATCAGTGAAGTTTGTCCTAGCTATGCGTCCTTGACGCGTACTGGAGAGCGTGCGACTGGCATGCAATGATGAGCCGAGGGATTTCTCCTTGTAACGCCTGTAATATAGCCATAACATGTGAGCTGCACAAAAGTGCCATTGACCGTAGTAAGGCCTCCTCACCATCTAAGAGCCAGAAGCCAAGCAATATTGTGGCATTTACTTGCGAATTGCAGGAGAATACTGAAGGGCAGGATGCTGTGAATATTGCAATACTGGTGATGAAAAAAGTCCCCTCAAAGTTCTTGCTGTGCCATGCGGCTGCAGGTGATGTACAGCGAGGAGCTGGCGCACCTGATGTACGCGGCGGCCGACATGGTGCTCGTGCCCTCGCTCTTCGAGCCCTGCGGCCTCACGCAGCTGGTGGCCATGCGCTACGGAGCTGTCCCCATCGTGCGCTCCACCGGGGGGCTCGCCGACACCGTCACTGACGTGGATGATGGTAGGCGTGCGATCATCGCCTGCCAATTACCTCATCCTCCCGAAAAAATTTTGTTCCATGACAAGCCACTGTTATGCCAGGGCTTGCAAAGGAGTGTTCCTCTGTATGCCGCGATTACGTTACACCCTCTCTTATCTTTCTGGCTGCGCAAATTTCCACTCAAGCCTCACAAGCACTCTGCCATAATCTGAGGCTGGAAGTTGGGCACTGCTGTTAAAGATTTTGGGACCTTTCGTGCATGCAAGGGTTGCCACTTTACTTCGCCAGCTGGGAACCTCATTGCGTGATGATCAAGTATTTGCTGTGTGAGTGTCTGCGATCGTTTTAGAGAGGGTGGGTGGTGTGCAGGGTCGGCGGAGGGCAATGGATACAGGTTCAGCGGCATGGACAACGCTTCTCTCAACACGGCCCTCGACCGGGCCATGCAGACTTTCAGGTGTGCAGCTTATTCCCCTTCGTGCATCTTCGCATAGGTGGTACTTGTAGTCTTTAGAGAAGGAGGAATGCAGACATCAAGGCAGAGCAAGCGCGAGCAGAATACGGGGGAAGGGCTGCCTCGCAAGTGTACGTCATGCAACAACACAACAATGATCCTCTTGATTACCCCTGGCTTCGCAGCAGCTGCAGTGCAGCTTGACCACTGACAGCAGGCATTTGCAAGATGTAAGTTGCTTACACAGTCTTGACCTGCTTGTCATTCTACTGTGCAAATCAGCAATGGCCCAAGTCCAACAGCTCATAGAAATGAGGGCGAGTTCAACACGTAACAATGTTATATTGATATTTTGATCAGGGACGACAGGGAACGATGGACGGATCTGTCAAGGCGGAACATGAGAATAGACTGGTCCTGGGAGAATTCTGCCAGATCTTATGTGGATATTTACAACCAGCTGGCTTCCTATTGATCACTGTTTTTTGGCCGGAACATTTAGCCTGGAGTATGCCAGGAGCTTTTCAAAAATGAGAGGGCTTACATTGAGTTGAAATTTCCAGTCAAAACCCTTGGATTTGCACATGACAGCTGAATATCTTGCATTGATGCTGCGGCTGCAGTGGCAGTGCTGGCATGCAACATTTCAACTTGGTTGCACTTGCAAAGAATACATCTTGTTCCTGCATCTTAATGAAACGTGCCTTTAGGAAAGGGACATCATAGAAATTGCGACCAAAAGCGTTCAGGCATTTCTGAAGCTCACTCCTGCTGATGTCAGCATGGTTTCACAGCAATTTGGCCTGGCAAATCAGGCAACAGTGGGGGTCAGCAGGACTGCACTTCATTTGAAGGATTCTTTGATTCACTAGTGTCGTCACTTGTCATTCCTACTAGATCTTTCAGTGTGTTTGCAAGTCACAACGATGCGCACACTTTACAGAAGGCCAGGCTTCGGTCTGGGCCTGCGTCCTTCTTTTTCAAGGCTGGTCGCTGCTGCTCTGATTGTTGCCTTGGCCGCTCAGGTGCGAAAAGAAATCATCATCGCAAAGTTTCTAAATTCATTCCCAGTGACGCACACCCATCCTTGCCACGAAGCAGGCGTCCTATGTAACCGTCGTAGGATAACGCTTGTACGGCCATCGTGGGCGTGCCGAGGAGCTTTGAGCGACTGGGATCAACAAATATGCGAAATAACACTGCTTAAATAATTATAAATCCTGTTTGCTGCTAGATCTTGTGTAGATCGTCGATCACTTGATTAAATTTTGCCCATCTTGAAAAAGTGCCATGCACTGTGCACAGGGCGCACACGCGCAGGAGAAGAGCGGTCTTCTTGTCACATGCCCCATGCAGACGTCAACATCGGTCCAAAGTCTCAGCATCAAGAGCCTTGAGCCCCTCAGTCAGCACATCGCATCAGCCACGGAATTCGTGGCCTGGCTGTACCCCCAAGCACCCAAGGGCACTCTGCGCTGCAGCCCACAAAACCTGGTCGACTTTGCGCCTGGTACGGTCCTCGATCCTTTTATGGGCGTTGTAACTTGCAGATAGCCAATCACTTTGCCAGACTGTGAGAGAAACTTGTGTCTTTCTCAGCCAGAGTGGCACGGTTTGGCCTGGAATAGAACTGAAAGAATACCGGATCTGGAGGATAGCAAAAATGTGCAGCTGCTACCTGCTTGCAGGCAGTCCCTTGAGCATACCTGGAGGCAGCAGATCGATGGTGGTGTATGGGGACGGCTCCCTTAATGTCACCTCTGGCGGTCAGACCTCCCAGATCCCGATGCCCCTGGACTCCACGGTGGGCACCAATTCCGTTTCCTTCGTTTTGTAAGATGCACTTAATGCTTGCCACACTGCAGCGCGCTCCAGTTGGGACAGCACCTTGCATACTGCTTGTGTGAGGTCATTTAATTGGTGAAGTTCACCACCAGATGAAGTGATGAACTAACTAAACAATTTGTTCAAACGTTCTTTCATGCCCTCTTTGACAATCCAAGACCTCGCCGGCAGGCAGCGCGGCAGCGCCAACCGCCTGTTGGGCATTCGCCATTGGGCCAGCAGAACAGGGCATTCCCACCTTTGCTGGGGAGCTGCCCATGCATGCAACCAGGATACTACTGCACATCAAATCAATCCTGGAAAATAGTGCTAATCTGCTGGGACATGTCGTGCGCAGGTGGAAGCGTGCCGGTCGGGGATGCTGTACCTGTTGAATGTGGTGGGCAAGGACGGCAGCGTGCTCAGCGAAGTCGCCTTCAACAGCCAGACCGGCTGCATCGGCGCTAACACCGTCCAGGTGGCTGCAAAATGACCCATCTGGCACCGCACTCTGCAAAATGCCTTATCAAAATGCCTTTGCAAAATTGAAGCCGTGCTGTGTCCTGCATTAACAAGACCCTGTCACCTTGTCATGCAAGAGGGCATGACAAGCATCGGATTGAATCCACCTGAGGGATTCAGGTAGCTGCCTAGAGCTCATCCAGGATGTATATGCAAACAACATCCCATTCATGTTGCCGGACGTCACCGTCCATTACTTTTCGTCTCGTACAGAGACATGCAAGCAACAATATGACTGGCAAAGAAAACACCTGGCACGGTTTGTTAGACCCTATTTATACAGAGCACGGCACAAGATGATATGTGCAAGGGGGTAGTCGTGAAAAGCCGTTGCTCGGCGGCTTCTTGATCAGACACCGCATGTTGCGACAGGTGGCGAGCCTGCAGGGAGGCACCTCGGCCGACACAACCTCCGACACGGCCTATGCAACCCAGGCAGGCATCCCACTGCCGGCAGGATACACTCCGCCGGCCGCCGACTCAGCCACGCCTGCGCTGAACCCCAACCCCTGCCTGGGCCAGGACCCCGGATTCTCAAATGGCCTCTCCACATCCTTCTATGGCCACAGCGTTGGCAAGGGGCAGTTTGACACGCAGAACCCCACCTTCCAGAGGCGCGTGCCCCTCTGTAGAAACCCTGTGAAGCTCTACAATTCAAACCATCCTCGTGTTGACAACAAACTGCTCAGGAAGCCATTGCATTGTACGTAATCGTTGGTCACAAATTGCAGAAGGCAATGCATTTTTGCATGCAGTATATGGTGTCCTTGCGCAAGTGGACAAGGGACCTAGCAAGTATTGCTTGTGCAGCTCAGCTCAACTTTGCATGGGGACAATAACACTCATGTTCCCTACGAGCACTCTTTGGGTCGGTGATCAGCAGATCTGCTTTAGATTGGCACTCATGATGACGGGCTGCTCTTTGACTCTCGTGCAGGTGCGACTGCCCCAACCACAAGACCGTGAATGGCTCATGGCCGGGCTACCCAGCACTGCCGCAGGGTAACTTCATCGATTCCTACGGGGTGCGCCATTTTCTCTCCTTTTCAGATGGAATACATAGTGTGACTGTCATGATTGACCTGTGGTCACGCCATTGAAGTACGGCAGAACTGTTCATGTAGCGTATCACAATTGTCCTGTTCGAGTTTAATGAAAGCTCGCCTGACATTTCTTGGACCAGCTTGCCGTTCAGCACTTTTGATAGAGGCCGTTTGCTGCACAGATGCACCATCGGTTGTCGATTGATCCTCGAGCCCAGCTTCAAGCAGATACTAATACTACTAATACATCTAGTAGATGCATGCAGACCAGCCGCCACCTCTACCAATCTATGTGCACCATTGAATGATGCAAATTAGACCCCTTGAAGACTGCTGGATAGGCCTTATGTCCAAATGTTACCTGCCTTTCTGACAATCTTACTGTCTCAGGGAGAGAATCCGTAGCTGCCGAGGGGGGATAACATATTCAACAGCACTACAGCGATGCTGCAGATGTCAAGTTGAAGCGGCTGTGCTGTGTCAGGTGCGCATGGTGGGTGAGTTCCTGGTGACGCGGCCGGAGGACGGTGTAGTGGGGGAAACGCCAGAGCTCTTCCCGGCAGCGTCCGACTACCACCTGGTCTGCCTGCAGCACGACGACTCCGCGGAAATGATCATCGATGGTGCTCACTCCCCCTCTCTGTCGCCTTTACAGTAACAACATGTCGGACTGTGTCCATGCACAGAAGTGCTTGCCTACCCTGCACTGCTTGGCAGCCATTGAGGCCTCTGTCAAGTACAGCTGCACTGCTGTCCCTGTCATCATCTCAGAAACATTCCAGAAGAAAATGGACAAAAGTCAAAGCATCTGCAGTAGGGCAAATGGCCCTGCATCAGGGCTCATTTGACACCACCTGAAAACTTGTTTGTGGCGGGGAGTGCAGGAGCATGCTGGTGCATACAGCCAAATCAAGCCCAATTGGGATGTGCATGGAAAGCGTTGCCTTATTCACTTACCTGTGCAGGGGAACCAGCAGGGGCTTTGCCCCCGCCTGCTCTCTCCATGCAGACAGAAGTCTCGGGCAACACTGATCCAAGAGAAATGTGCGCTGTGCGCAGGCAACTCGTACTACTCGTCGGAGTCCAACACGAGCACGGCGGCGGGCTTCAAGCAGTACTGCGTGCCAGTCCCCCTGGCGCCCGGCTGGCACGGCCTCGAGCTGCGCTACTCCAAGGCGCCCCTTGACCGCACCTCCGTTTTCCGATTCTTCGTTGTCGACGCCGAGCAGGCGCGCATTACATGCATGAGCTGCTGATCAGTTGGTCTCTGTGCTGCAGAGACTTTTGCAGTGTTACTCTGTTTTCGCTTATGCACTTGTTGGGATCATATTCCTGGCAAGAGTACTGTCATTATGATAACAACAGCTTCGTTTCATCTTAGGAACCCTTTCTTGGACCTTGTGCTTAGTGCAAGCTGGGGCAGCAAAGGCAGATTAAGACTAGGACAAGCATAAATCAGGGCTTAGATGGCAGCTGAGTAGATCCTTGATGACAGAATGGCCTTGTCACCATAAAGGTGAATCCTATGGGTATTATTATTGTCTTAGTTTTGTTCTTGCCTTCGGTCTTATGAGGAGTTGCCAAAAGCCTCACGAAAAACGCAGAACTGTAACATGCCAGGATCAAGGCAAAGACAACATGCAGGATCGTACATTGCATGTGGCAATTGTTTGCTAGCTATGCTTGTTGTCAAGCATATGAGATGAGGAACCCAAGATGATCAGATCATGTGCGTGGGTGCAGGTGGAGACAGTCTACACCAGCGGGGTTGCCTCCAACCAGATCCTCTGGAAGGTGTGTTCCTGTCGTCATCCTGAAGCTCAGCATTGGCATGTGCTAAATACTCTGCCTGAGAGCGTGGGTGGCATCATCGGCAACAGTGAAAGCAATTGACACAATCGTAACTGAAGTGCATGATAAAATCCTGACTGGCCGCCAATGTGAGACTCTCCTTGCATTGCAGGGGCAAGGCAAGTGCTGCACCGGGGGGTCCGGGACCCCCGGCTGCATGGCGCCCCTGGACTGCTGCAAGTTCCGCAACACCGGTTGCACAGTCCCCCCGCCGCAGCTAGCTCCCGCACCCGCCCCTCTCGTCGCCCCTCTGCTCATCGCTCCCGCCCCCGCGCCTATCATCATTGAGACCCCCGCCCCGGCGCCAATCGTCATAGAGACCCCTGCGCCCGCCCCCATTATCATAGAGACCCCTGCACCGGCGCCGTTCGTTTATGAGCCCCCGGCACCCGCGCCGGTGCCTATTGAGCCGCTGGCGTCGCCGGCCGCCGTGAAAGATGTGTTCCTGACGCGAAAACGTGTCGTGACCACGGCAGCGCGTGTTCCTGTGCCGGCACCTGCACCTGCGCCGACGTGAGCAGTGCATTGTCCTTTTTGATGGAACAATTCGCGTACATCATGTTCACACATGCGGCTCTTTGCTACGGTGAATTTGATTTGTCGCGTTCTCTGTGTCATGCATGCAAGGATCTTATGAGGTGCAAACAGGAGGCTGAGGTGGCGTGTGCGCAGGTGTTCTCCCATCTGCCAGTTGTACGCTGTGGACATGGCTTTCTGCGGTGGCGAGGGGCTGGTCACTTCCAAGGCGACTGCCACCTTCATCATGGTCTGCAGCCAGGTGACACACTGGCAGCCAACGTTTGCAGCTGTCAGGACTATCACACTGAAAGTGAAAGGCATTGTGGCTTACAGGGCGGAAGTCAATCCTTTTCTTATAGAGCCTTGACATGTATGAGGCAACTGCGAAAGAGTGTTCTGCTCACATCGTGCGCTCATGTTGCAGGCGCTGTCAGTGTGCGGGGACTGTTTTGAGTTGACTGGGCCAGCGAACACCACCATCTCATTCTTTGACTATGGTGCAAACACAACGACCACATACCAGCTGCAGCTATCCTGGGACCCCGCCTACCTTGGCCCAATCACTCTTGCTATAGTGCCTCCTGTCAGGTGTGTAATACTCCCAGCTCGGCGCATTTGTCTGCTCTTGTGTGTGTCTGACCTTGCACGCATCTGGCAAGGCCTTCTCTGGTTTGCCCTGCGTGCTTGCTGAATTGCTTCGCTCTGAAATGGGCATGTTTGAATAGTAAGTTCCCACTCGGAATGTTTTCTGTGACCCCAAATGTTGCGGCATTGCTCAGTGTTTTCTAGAGTGTTGTGCAGGGCAAGCTCGTCCTGCTCACTGCTGCAGAACACCACAAGCGCTAGCTGCCGAGCAGTCAACCCTGTGCAATTCGTGGCAAAGGAGGCCGTGCAAGTACAGGCTGTGGCATATAAAGTCCTCACGCAATGAAGAGATCTATTCACCCATTGTGCCCCTGAGCACTGTGTGGTGACATTGCTATTTTCTAATCAGCAGCAGCTCAGTGAGTTGGATTGACTGCAGTGCTGCTGTCAATAGGAAGGAGCTCTTGTGGCCAGACTTCCAAGCTTGAGCTGGAACTGGTGTACAATAGAGGCAGGCAATGAATCGTGTGGTGTGAACAAAGGCCTGATTATGGGCCAATCTATTGTGAATGAATGAATGAACCAGTGCCCAGCTGAAACGGAGACTCTTACTCCAGTAAGCGTCAGGAATGTGCAATGGAGGGTTCATGTGAGCCAAGCTCTGTGAAGCAAAGGCTGATCTGGATACCAGTTGAGATATTTTCCAAGCAGGTCACTGGACTGTACATTTATATTTTGAGCCCTACATGCACATCCACTTGAACGAAACCATTTGGACATGATATGTCATCATATATTGCACCTATCCACGACTGTGGTGACCTGAACCTTACACAATAGATATGGTGGCCACCCGGGCGCACCATGCTAATCACTGCACCAGACCATCTCACACAGACGGGACCCATTGCTAAGCTCTGCGTTGATGCAGATGTCGCTACCATGAGACCCTTGTGGGAGGGCAGAAAACCCACTAAGTTTTTAGGGCTCAAACATATTCACAAATGTCAGTGGAAATCTCGTCATGCCACGGCCACGGTGGAATTCTGATTAGGCGTCATAGCAGCCAGGTTTTTTCTTCAAGTCGCGGGGCAGCCGCTGGGTAGACCTCAAGAGGCAAGTATAGGACATTGCTTGGAGCGCTCTGGGCCATAGTGGCGGAGCACCGGGCAGTACTGCGGGCTCTGGAGTCCGACAGCTGGGCAGCGCTAACACCTACTGCGGAGACTCTGCTCGCCAGGCAGAAGGCTCACAATCTGTTGCAGGCGCTCAACACCGAGGCAGCGAGGCAAGGGGGCAGCGAAGGGCGCTGCTGTGCAGGCAGGGATCGTGTGGCAATTTGAGAGCAAGCAGTCCACATTGTGCATCTACTTCCTGTCCAAGGAGAAGCTGGGCCGCACGGAGCTGCAGGCGTTACCAAACTGGATCAGCATCCGACAGCCCATGGGTGATTCTAGACCACCCAGCAGGGCGTGGGTGGCGGATGTGCTGCGAGCCTGCTGCAATGGAGAGTCCGCTGCGGGCCTCTTTGCGGCGCAGTCGGTCACACAGGCAGCCCAGGATGAGCGCTGCACAAGGCTTTGGACAGTCACCTCTCCCCAGAGGCATCATTATAAGCAGCAAGGGAAAAGAGGGAGAGCGAGGCGACGGTGCAGAGCTTGAGACCGCTGTCATCAGCCTGCCGCGCAGCAAGGCACCTGAGCTGAATTGCATACCGTACGAGTTCTGACTTCGCTTCTTTCCCGTGCTGGAGCGGGCGCTTCTGGCCCGTCCTGGAGCTGGATCTTGCAAACATGCTGGAGGAGGCCATCAACAACGGCGCTTGTCGGGCGTTGCCGCCGTCGCTGATACAGGGCCACATTCCTATCCTGTGCAAAAGAAGTGGGGTAGACAGGGAGTGAATCCTTCCAGATAAAGGTCCATCACGTTGTAAACCACGGACAATGCGGCAGCGTCGGGGATCGCCAGCCGGATTGGGTCGCTGCTACACCATGTTGTGGATGCCACCCAAACAGGCTTCCTCCCGAACGCTAGATTGGGGACTAGCCCACCTGCAGTCCCACCGAACAGCAGCAAAGTGGATGATTAAGGGGTAAAGGCGATCGCGGAAGGCGAGCTGCTATGCTCCGGGCCCCGAAAATATTAGGAGACTACTCCTGTCCAGTCCAAGCCTGGCCCCAGACTTTCTTTGTCCTCCAGGCAAGGTGCCGCCTGCCTGCATTTGTGAACCCTGACTTCAAATTTCCTTAATGCATAAGGCATACGGATACCGATCAAATCCACCAGTGACAACATAGGATTCCGGGCAGCGCACAGTTTGCCGAAAATCAGCGGGAAGGAAACATGGCCGTGGTGACACTGGCGTTGGCCTCTGCAGAGGTTTTGACATACCCAAAGGCAGACCTCTGCGACTGCCACTGTTGCTCACCCGCCATGCCTACCTTGGCTGCCAGGGTGGCACCGCCGGCCCGCAGGGAGTGCAGGCAAAATTGCTTCGCAGGCAATTCCACAGCCACAAAAGCCTCCATCACACCCTTGTGCAGGTACTGATAAGAAGGAGTGGTGCTATAGGAAGCGACATCCCCCCGCATCGCCGCGGCCGAAAATAGAGGCCTCGAAGTGCCGGCCAGACCTGCCTGGGCCACCAGGAGCTTGACCAGCTGCATGTGCAAGCATACGAGCCATCGAGCTGGGTGACAACACTCCAGCTGCCCTGCCCGAACTGATCATTATTCCTAGATGGAGAACGATCTCCCAGTGCGAATCTTGCCACTTGAGATTACTAACACGAATGTGTGCCAGGTCGTCATATCCAAAGAACATACAGAATGCTGGACTGACAGCAGCAGCGAGCGACAGATTGCGCAAGCCTGGCATAACGTAGCCCCGAACCGAGGAGACCACCGCCTTGTCCGTGATAGCCGCACAGGTGGCAAAGGCGTGAAATGCCGCATTCGCTGCGGGGAAACACACTTGATCGTCGAGTACGATCGCCCAGTCTGTGTGATCTGGAGCAGGTACATAGCGACGACCACCGGCAGGGTCGGCAAGTACGGGAGCTCACGTTCCTTGCACCGAGCAACGAAGCGCTTCGAAAGAGGGGCGTAGCGGCGCATCGTATTAGCCGCCTTGGAGGATCTCAGAGCCGCTGGCAAGGCGCCAAGGTAACCCACTAACCTGGCCATCTACACTGGTGTTTACAAGGTCGTGAGGCCCTCCTCTCGAGGGCCTTCCCACAGGGCAGACTTACAAAGTAGGACCTTGAGGCTCCCTAGCCACAGATCAGTGAGAGGCTGCAGTCACAGACGCAGCCATAGTCAGTTGGGAGGGGGAGAGAGGCTCAAGATAGAGTGTTACCAGGGTCCTCTCCCACATCGGCGATCGGACGGGTCCGGAGATGCGCACCACATAGCGGCCGGTGGCTGCACCTGGATTAGCGCTCTCCAGGCTGCTGGCAAGGCAGCCAGAAGGATGGGCACGCGCTCTCGCACCATCCGAACCGGATGCTCCGGGCCGCGCACGACATCGCGCAGGTGGCTGATCCTGACCAGGCCAAGCCTGGCCCAGTCCTCCCAGGCAAAGGGCTGCCTGACTGCATCCGTGAGCTGCCTGTTGAAGAACAGTGGCTCACCCATGACTGCGTCGTAGCCGATCGCTTCCGGCTTCCGCAGGTGATGGGGCCGCAGCTGCTGGTAGGCATGCAGGTACTGCCGTACGCGCTGCGGGGCCTCCACATGCTTCGCTGCAAAGGTTGAGAAGAGCAGGAATCTTCCCAGCTGCCAGATGTGCTGCCGCCGCGCTGACACCGTGCCGGGTTCCTGCGCTGCCAGCCAGGCTGTGCTCCTGTACAGCCAGTGGTCGAAGTAGGCCTTCCAGGCCAGCTGTTCCGGCTCCAACAGCCTGCCCACCACCTTGGCCTGGAGAGCCAGGATCTGGGCCTTGATGTCCACCAGCGCGATGCCGCCGTGTGCGGCCGCGCGGAAGCAGACGTCCTTGCTTGGGAACAGCGCCGCCGCTGCGCCAGGGGTCACCGGCCGGTTCGCCGCGACGAAAGTGTGGATGGCTCTGCAGAGCCTCTGTAGCAAGTCTTGTGGCACCGGTATGAAGGTGGCATGGTAGGTGACCATGGAGGCCAGCACCTGTTTTGCGACGTACGCTCGGCCCAGCAGGCTGAGTCTGAAGCCGGACCAGCGGGCGATGCGGGCCTCCACCTTCTCAATGATGGCTGTGTATAGGGCTGTGGCAGCTGCAGCTGGCTGGGTGGACAAGGGAATGCCCAGGTGCTTGACGCCGTCGCTCGAAGCCGCGAAGGTGACCCCCGTGACTGGATCGGGCCCGGCGAGATGGCTGAGGCTGCCAAGCCCTAGGGCCTGGCTCTTGCTGCGCTGCAGCCTGGCTCCTGTGGCTGCGCAGTGGAGGCCCACGCTGGCCCCCAGCACGATCTGAGCATCCCGGGGAGTCCGCGCGTGCACGCTGGTGTCGTCCGCATGCTGGTGCATGACTGGTGCTGGCTCCCCTGAAGGCAGTCTGATGGGCTGGAAAGCTAGCTGGCCTGCAAGCATCCTGGCATGCGCGGCCATCGGCTGCGCGGCAAGCACAAACAGCAGCGGCGAGAGGGGGCTTCCCTGGAAGACGCCGGCGGCCACCGGGAAGGCATCGGTGTGCCAGCCGTTGAAGGCCACTCGCGCGGTCGTGCCGGAGTGCAGAATGTGCACCCACCGCTGCACACCGGGCCCGAAGCCCACCGCAGCCATGCACCGCTCAATCCAGGCCCTGTCAAGGCGATCGAAGGCCTTCTCGAAGTCCAGGAAGACCTGCACGCCTGGCTGGTGTGTGGCCTCCAGGTAGCTGATCTCCTCCAGGTGTGCCAGCACGTTGTCCCCCGCCCAGCGCTTAGGCAGGAAGCCTGTCTGTGTGGCATCCACCACCTGATTCAGCAGCGGCCCGATCCGGCTGGCGATCGCCCGCGCCGCGAGCTTGTAGTCGGTGTTGAGCAACGTGATGGGCCTGTAGCTGGCTAGAGACTCCCTGTCTGCCCCCTTCCCCTTGTACAAGAGAGTGATACGCCCCTGCGTCAGCGGTGGCGGCAGCGCCGCTTCCCCGCCGCCGCCGAAAGCTTCCTGCAGCATCCCTGCCAGCTCCAGCCCTACCACAGGCCAGAAGCGCAGGTAGAACTCATATGGCAGGCCATCCAAGCCCGGTGCCTTGCCGCGCGGCAGGCTCCGGAGGGCAGTCTCCAGCTCTGCGACCGACACGCTGCCATCACCGCGCTCTCCTTCTGCCGCTGCAGCTGCCTGAGGGGACAAACGCTTGTCCACTGCCTGCAGCAGCTCATCCTGGGCTGCCAGCGACACCGGCTGCGCCGCGAAGAGGCCTGCCGCTTCGTCGCCACTGTAGTACTCCCGCAGCACCGCGCCGCCCCGATCTCTGCCGGCTGGGTGATCCAGGACAACCCGTGGGCTGTCAGGGGCTGGACCTGTCCTGAGGGCCATCAACTCTGTGCGGCCCTGCCGCTCCCGGGCCAGGTGGTGGAACCAGAAGGTGGACTGCTCACCGTAGAACTGCCATACGATCCCAGCCTGGAGTGCTGCCCCCTTAGCTGCCTCCACATTGAGGCCCTGCAGAAGCTGGTGGGCATCCTGCCATGCCAGAAGGGTGTCTGGTGCGGGCCGCCGGGTGAACGCCGCGAGCGCTGCGCGGCTGTCAGACTCCAGAGCCCGCTGAGAGGCCCGGCGCTCCGCTGCGAGAGCCCAGGAACGCTGCATGGCCATATCTTTGACCTGCCACTTCAACTCCACCCACCTGCTGCCCTGCGTGACGCCCTCTCCGAGCGGGTGTGCGGCAAGATACTCCGGAATCGCTGCCGTAACGCGATCGTAGAACGGCTGATCGTCCAGAAGATGAAGGGGCAGCCTCCAGGCTGCAGAGCCATACAGTGTGCTGGCTGGAGCTGTAAGGCTCAGGCTGACCCCCAGGTGGTCTCCTGGATAACCAAGAACCTGCCCGATCGCTCGCGGCTCCCGGCTGACCCGCGCCCGCAGCGTCTCCGAGACCAGCCAGCGGTCGAGCCGGGCAGCTGACTGACCTGTGGTGGCAACGTGGGTGAAGGCACGACTGCTGGGGTTGAGGTCACGCCAGACATCGTAGAGCTGATGCTCAGTCTCCACGAGCCGCAGGCCGGTCCAATATCCATGCGTCCGCTGACCGGGCTGCCCGGCGGCCATGTCCTGCTGGCCTGCAATGCAGTTGAAGTCCCCTCCCACCAGAAGGCAACGTGCTGCTGGAAGGCTGGGCAGCAGCTCCTGTGTATAATACTGCTGTCGCTCCGCTGCGGCCGCAGGCGCGTACACGGAAGCTACCGTGTAGGGCTGGCCACAATAAGTGAAGTCCACTAGTAGGGTGCGTCCGGTGGTGCTGCAGTGACGCACCGTGATGGCTGCTGTGGAGGCTGTGGGTCTTAGTAAGACCGCTACGCCGCGTGACTGGGAGGTGAAGTGGCACCAAAATGCGGGCCCGCTCCAATTGCAGCGAAGCCCGGCAGGCCCCTCCTGCGCCCATGCTGTCCCCTCCTCTGTAGAGCTGTGGTGGGTCTCCTGAAGGAGGATGATGTCCCACCTGTCGCGCTCCAGAAGGTTGAAGAGGCAGCGCCTCTTGTCTCTGTCCCTGAGGCCGTTGACGTTGAGGCTGAGAAGGCGCAGTGAGGGCGATCGGGAGCGAGTCATGGCTGCGAGGGCCGCCGTGCCGGCGGGCCCCCACTGCGAATGCTCCTGGAAATCCTGTGCTCTACCCGCTGCCGCTCCTGCTGTTGCCCCTGCTGCTGTAGCCACCACTCTGTAGGCTGATGCCGCGTACGCGCTGAGCGCCACGGAGCCGGCAGTCCCGCTAGTGCGATCTGCGCCGCACGCTGCGCTGCGCGCGCTGCGGCTGCTCGCGACTCAAAGCCCGGCGGGACGGTGGGTCTCCCCTGCTGACGTGCAATGGGTGCTGCTGGGACCTCTGCCGGCTGCGCTAGGTCCTCCGGTGTCAGAGCCGGCAAGCCGTACGAGTCGTCCGGCAAGCTGTCTGCTCCATGGATGCGACGCAGAGCATCGCAGAGGAGCTGGTGCCGCAGCTCCCTATCTGCTGGTGCATCCCCTCCCGACACGAGCGCGAGTGGTGCATCGCTGTGCAGCCGGCGAATCGCTGCCGCGCTGTCTGCGGGGGAGAAGTGTGTATGCCCTGCCAGCCACTCCAGGCACTCCTCAATACGCTCAACCGGGACGCCGCTGAGGTCCAGGTGCGGAGGGCGACGGTGAGCCGTCTGGGGTGGATCCTCGGTGTGAGGCAGATCCCAATCCATGGGGGTGGCTGCACCTTTATCGCGCACGCGCGATATCCTGCGTCGCAACTCTCGCTGCGGCACCGAGTATGCCTGTGTCTCCCACTCCATCGGTACCGGCGGCGGTGGCGGCGGCGGCGTGTCTTCCTCCATGTCTGTCAGTGCCTGTCTAGCAGCAGGGAAGACCTGTGCACTTCGCGGAGGGGTGCAGTCCATCGGAGTAAGCGGGCCTAATCGCGCTACACTGATGGAGCCAGACGCACCCAGGCCAGAGCGGTCGCCACCGGGCGCGCGGCTGGCTTGTACGCGGGCCTCCAGCTGCTGCAACTGGGCACTGGGTGCTGGCTGTGTCCGCTGCGCCGCGGCTGCGGTGCGCGTGTGGGCCTGCGCAGCGCGCTGCCGCTGACGGATCGGTCGAGGCCCTGAGCGGCGCGACGGCTCCGGAGCTAAGCGCTGCGACTGGAAGGAGGATGGCTGGCTGGGCTGCCGCAGCTGCCCCGGCCGCGTGATATTGATCCGGGTGTCACCGTCGATGAAGAACCGCTTTGGTAAGCGGCCCAAGTGCCGGTCCTCATCCGGCGTCTGGATGTATGCAAGGCACGCATTCCCGTTGCCGACGCCATGGGTGCCCACTGCCAACGGTCCTGGCAGGTCGCCGAGGAATTCGCCGCGAACAACGTATGTGTCCCTGGGGCAGCCAGCACAGTCCAGAAGGGTCTGAGTGAGACCCTTTCTGCAGTACTCGTACGGCAGCCCGTGGATGATGATGCAGGTGTGCTGGCAGTGGAACCGCCCAGCAGTGAGTTGCACCGGCACCGCTACGTCTCCGCTGCCCGGCACTGCACGCAGCCGGACAAGCTGGTCCTC